AGTGTCCATCTTGTTGATGGCGACGATGAGCTGCTTGACACCCAGGGTGTAGGCGAGCAGAGCGTGCTCACGGGTCTGGCCATCCTTGGAGATACCAGCCTCGAACTCACCAGTACCGGCGGCAATGATGAGAATAGCGCAGTCGGCCTGGGAAGTACCAGTGATCATGTTCTTGATGAAGTCACGGTGGCCGGGAGCGTCTGTGCGGGAATCGTTAGTGCCGTGTCCGAAGAGACGCGGTGAGGCAATGGATCCACATACCAATGACGGTGACATAGTACTTGGGAGTCTCGAACTTCCAGAGGGCAATGTCGATGGTGATGCCACGCTCACGCTCGGCCTTGAGCTTGTCAAGAACCCACGCATACTTGAAGGAACCCTTGCCGAGTTCGGCGGCTTCCTGTTAAGGGGAAGATGGTTAGCATCGCGAAATACAGCTGCAGTGATGATGACGCGGACGAGTGCAGTGAGACTGTTGTAGGACACAGCAAGAAAATAGTGGTCTGAAGGCAGTAGCGGGGTTGCTCGAGATGCACCCCCACTAAAATTGATGAAGCAGCAAAAAAAATTTGCGTCGCTCAAAGGAGGGGTAAGGGAAAGCGGGGTGATGGGCAAGTCCCTGTCGAAACGGGCATCCGTTCGACGACAAATATTGGGCACAGAGGCATGAGGCGGAAAATGGGCTCGAAACTGAAGGATTTGAAGCTTACCTTCTCGAACTTCTCAATGGTACGCTTGTCGATACCACCGCACTGGTAGATCAAGTGACCAGTCTGTAGGCAAAGTTAGTCTCGCTTGTTCATCGCAGAGGCGCCCCGCGTAAACCATAGTTTGACGTCGTGGGAGGGAGATGGGTGTAACTCACGGTGGTAGACTTGCCGGAGTCGACGTGGCTGTCGTAGCAAAGTCAGTATTGTGTGTTCGGTCGATCTGCTTCATGATGGTTGATGGAATACGCACCCCTAGGAGACGCTGTTAGCAGGATGATCTCGTAGAATCAGAGCGGCGATGGGAAAGTACGTACGATAACGACCACGTTGATGTGAGTCTTGTCCTCCTTACCCATTTTGACGGTTTGTGAGATGTAGCGGTTGAGCTGTGTAGTTCTTGACTAGATCGCTGTGAGGCAAGCAGAGTCAGCTGGAGATGTTCCTCAGATGAACGGCAAGATGTAGACGCAGATGATGATGATGATCCAGCTGTTGGAAGATGGAATCACCAAGCAAAGGGTCGGAAGGAAAGGCAGCACATACAAATTCGCAGATCGGATGCTTGAACCGGGTATGCGAGACGAAGAGCAGAAGAAGAGAAAATTTCGAAAGCAGGTGGTGGGAGGAGGAGATTTAAAAGGTGGTGGGCGGAGGGGTGGAGGGGTGCAGTGCCAGCGCTCGTGCTGTATTTTTTTTTTTCTGCCACGCGCGGGGCAGCAAAACGGGGCTTGTGAAAAAAAAGCCTTAGGAGGGGCAAAATAAGCGGCGCCCGCCTGCTGGTCTAGCCCTAACGAGCCAGCCCGGACGAATCAGCGTCTTGCAGCGGCTCCCGCTTCCCACTCAATGCTGCTGCACACCCGCAAGATTTTTTTTTTCCTCGCCCCGAGCGCCAGTGGCTGTGGCTGATCTGCCCAATCAGCGACGGCTTTTAGAGCTCGTCCTTTCCAAGTGTCCGCCACGATACGATCTGGTATGATGGTGGACAGGCATAGCTGAAGGTGCGAGTTCTCGGAAATTCGTGAGAAGGGTGATGGAATCTACTGGTCAGGTACATGGATGGGCTCTGCTACGCATCATTCGCAGTCTGTTGGGAGTACACATTTGCACGAGGCCTGTCCTGACGCTGGTGAGAGATATGACATCCTGTTGATTGGGGGGCCTTCATCTATCACTCGCAGCAGTGACCTATCCTTCTTGCAGTACGGGTGCCCAGCGCATCAGGTAGGTACGCACTCCCACTGGTTTGATAGGCAGGTATTCAGTAGCCAGTATCCTCGTGTGCCGTGTGGTGGCGTGGTGTGTGCAGTCGCATTCGAGCCTGGTCGACTGCAGTACATGCATCTCAGTTGAGAGTCTCTGCGCATCCCAAAGAGTCATTCGCCGCTTTCCGGAACTTGACGGAAGCTTCGTGTCCTGGCTCGGTATGACACAGACAATCAACGACAAAAGTTTACTGTAGCCTACAGATCCGACATAACCCATGGTTTGATATTGACGCCGTAGGCGAGATGCCTTTGGCCTGGTGCTATTGATGCTTTGTTGCTGCATGTAGGGATGCCTTTTCTTACGGCCCAATCCACCCACACCTCTGCTACTGGCGCGCGCCTGATTTTGCCCAACTCGCCGCTGTCGTTTGGGTTTCATCTCATGGGGAAGTAGAGGTACTACTTCTAAACTCCTATCTTCCTCACCTCAGACCTCCCGCTGCGCGACGGGTTACACAACAGCAGTGAGTCAACGGCGGTGAGCGAAGCCGTCGATAGATGAGAAGATCTCGGTGTTTTACCATCGCTGCCTTGAAGCATTCAACGAAGAGTCTTTCCACAAGAAAAGCGTCTGCTCTTCTCATCGACATAGTATAATAGTACCTAGGTATGTATCGTATGAATGCTCTTCAGGCAAACTGGATCCGCTACCAGGGCCGCAGCTACCCCAGTAGGACTAGCAGGTTGACCCCCTGCAGAATATATGATATCGCCAGAGCCGGTTTCCCTGCTCGAGGCTGATGATTTTTCTGTTTTCCCGTCGCTACCCCTCTGGATTATCAGCCCCTCCATTCTTCTGCGCTCAAGGACGGGACTCAAGCCCACCATGAAACGTCAACGCCCCCACTTCATGCAGTTCTATCCATCACCCAGGCATTGCCACCACTGCAATTTTTTTCTGGCTCATGTTCTCATCGACTCTGTTCTGGGTTTTTTCTTCGATCTGTACGCTCGTAAACGCCGAACAATGATCAGCTCGTATGGAGTCGTGTATCAAGAATGTCGACGGATAAAAGTTGGCCGGCCGGGGTTGAGGAGGCAAGGGAGGCAAATGAGTGGATCCGATGAACGGCAACTTGGATCAGGCAGAGGCATGCGTATCACCAGCCTTGCCAGTATTGAAGCTCTGTCCAACCAGTGATCGATCGATTATTATGGCCTGGTCGGTGCTTCTGGCTGCTCACCTTGAGATGGCGTACCCAGTACGTCCTCGTAGGCTTGGACACGGATCAAGTGGCCGTATCTTAGTACATACTACCAACCGGGCTGTTGGCTGCGGAGTGGAGCCATCCGTCCCGTTATCGAGGGTACAGCTGAAGCTTAACCTGACCTGGATCTACCGACGGGAAAGCCGCTGCTCGGTGTGACTCTTAAACCACATCCTCCTTGAATCGAACGGTGTTGACAAAGCCTACATCGCCTTCCAGTCGGATGCCGTGGCTACGCGGCTAGGCTGTTGAGAGAGCAAGATGAACCTTGACCGATCTAGGGTGGCCTGAGGTTTTCAAGTAACGTGAACATTGGCTGGCGAAGCTGCAAACACTTGGATCCTGATCAGTAAAGACCAGATGTCACATACGTAATTGACGCCTATCCAGTAGATGCCTTTTTGTGAGTCGTTGAGGTGAACTAGCCAGGCGCCCTCTCCTGATTAACGACACTTATTTAGAGCTATCAGATCGAGTTAAGACAGACTGTCACTTCTATCTGCGGCAGCAGTCCGTCTCCATCGCCACCAAAGTCGTTCCACTGTTGATGTGATAGAGCTGGCCGGCCTCTGTTCCCAATCTGAAGACGCCCACTCATCAATAGACGGCTTCACGATACTGGCTCGACACTTCAAGGGCTACCGAGAGTAGCTGGGTATAAACACATGTATAGTCGTCACATTACTACCACCAGCCTGATAAAGAAGGCAGAATCAGGGCCTCTGGGGCGAAAGGCTGAAGAACACTCGCTCAATCTCCTCTCCCCATATCGCTAACGGTATCCTTCCAATGGGAGTCTCTGCCGAGGTGACCTGTCTCCACGGTTTCCGTCCAGCGGTTCCAAAGACAGGGCACGGAGCCATGAGCAACGTCTGGCTGGCGAGACACATGGCTGCCAACTGCACCACGTACTGCCTCAGCGTCCAGACACTCGCGAGCCAGCTGCCGGGCGACCGTCATCCCTCCCCTCGGCCTCTTAAAAGCCCAGTTATACGCCTGTGATCCAAACAAAACCACCGTTCCGCATGGTCGAGTGGTCCAGACTCCCGCCCGTATAGAGCGAGAGCAACTCGTTGGACTCCTATTCTCTCTGCGTAGGAGATAGCCAAGGATCCTGGTGCAAATCCGGGTGCGGACATGCGGTTGTTCGACTTCCCATCGACGCCTCCCCTTTTTTACCCCTTTACTCTCTGGTCTATACACCTTACTTTTTCTTTCTAAGCTCATGTGTCAATCTTGTGCCATCATTTCCTTGCCATTTCTCTTCTATTCTGGAACTACTACATTACATCTACGATATTATGCAAGCGATGAGTGCTGTCAGGCAATACTGCTTCTTCAGATATCTTGATGCCTCGGGCATCCATTACTGATCTTGCACGTCATGCCTACTTCTTTCCCTGATAATGCAGTGCGCGGTTGGTAGGTAGTAACTCGTTTGTGTCATCAGTTCTAGGACATCTAATGCACCTGCCTTACTAAGGTGAATGAGGAGAAAGACACATCCCTGAAGTACATCGACGTTATGATTCGTATCCCGTTAGTAGAGCCTCTTTCTCACACCTCTACCACCACAGATCACCTTCCAAACGCCGTGTTCCAATTGTATGTTGCTGTTACTGTACAATCCTGTCTGTTCTGTCTCGATATCTCTTTCACCGAGCTTCGCCATATGTGTTCCTTCCAGCCGTGCTACGCCTTTCTCCATCGCTAGATACCCAGGAGGTAGGTGAACGAAATGGCTTTCCCTTCGATTGCGTTTATTGGCCCTTCTTCTCAGTCGCCTTCACACGAGTCATCCCCTTGGGAGCCTTCAGCCCCAAAAATGCGACCGTGACGACGACAAGAGCGCCCATCGAACCCATGGTATACGCATATTCTCTTCCAGCCCACCAGTATACGCTCGTGAATAGAATCGGTCCCAGCCCACGACCCAGCTGGCCCCAGCTTCGCATAATGCCTAGCTTCCCTCCGTGTTCGTGCTCGTTGGCCTCGAAGCTGCTGAGAGCGTTGAGTCCTGTTACCACTGTGGCTGACGTGACGGCGAGGCAAGTCGCTGCGGTATAGAGGCCTCCGAGTGTGGAAAGGCGGCTGAGGAGGATAAAGGCTGTGAGGCAGGCGACTGTTCCGATCCGTACGGACATTAGGGGAGTCAGTCGTCTCGTGACGCCTCCTTGGAAGATGGAGGCTACTAGGCCGATATATCCAAGCAGCCTACCATTCTTTGCAGAGGTGAACTGGAACAGGTCATACGTCATGAAAGACAGCGACGTCTCCATTCCCGAGAAGAACAAGAGAAACACAAAGTGAGTTGCATAGAGCAGGAAGCGTGAGTTGGTCCGCTCGACCTGCTTTGCTGCTGTCTTCGTTCCACTCTTGTCGTTGGGAGTATTCCCTGTGGCTGTCTCCCTGCCAGTTAGTGATGGCAGTGTTTCCGGCAGACAGAAGTACAGGTATAGTGTTTCAACGCTGATCAGGAACAGGCTGAATCCTGCTGCCACAGCAAAGGGGTTGGCCCATGCCGTGGTAACCGTGCTCAACCATGCCCCTAGGCCGGGGCCGAAAGTGAAAGCCACAGAGAAGCAGGCGCCAATGATGGCCATGGTGGACCCTCGCGTCGTCTCGTCGGAGATATCGCTAGCCATGGCGGTAGCAATCTGGACATTGCCTTCGGAGAGGCCACCCACGACGCGGCTAGCCACGAAGGTGCGGAAGTCGACTGCCACAACCCAGAGGAGCACAGACAGCATGTTCCCGCACATGGAGGCCAGCAGCGCATGGCGACGGCCGTAGCGGTCAGAAAAGTGGCCGATCATGGGAGACGCGATGGCTTGCAGGAGGCTGTGGCCGCATCTTGTCAGTCAAACTGCAGCCCAACCCCCCTTTCCATCAAATCAGATCCAACAGACAAAGCAGCCTTGATCTGTGATGATGACATATTAGGAATACTCACGAAAATAAGGAGCCCAGTGCTCCACCGAGAAGAACAATGTCATATCGCGAGTCGATTGGTCGCGAGAAAGACGACTTGTATGCATTCAAGCCTCCGAGGACCTGTTGAAGGAAAGTACTGGGTGCATCTTTGAGGATCAGGTCAGGGGCCTCGCGGTCCCGGTAGAACTCTAGCAGCTTTGGGAAGAGAGGCAGGATGAATGTGAAGGATATCTGGGTGCCTCCCGGATCAGCTGTCTACTCTGTAGGTATCGTCCATGCTCATGATGCCTCCTGCTGGTTGCTGCGGCTTACCAAATCCAGAAGAAGCGACACGATGACAACCCGAAGCACACGCTTCCGCGTCGCAGGGTCGACGGCCACCATAGCGCAGATGCGGCAAGGCCAGGAAACGGATTGTCTAATCTGTACGACGACAATAAACAGAAAAGAGGGGAAAGACAGACGGCAAGTTCCCGAATGATGAGAGCCCGCACAAGCAGGCTTTTGGGTGTCGAGAAGTGAAGCTCTCCGAGACAGGACCCACCCACAATGGAGAGGATCAAGGGGAATCAGAGGTGAATTAAAGGCAAAGAGCCTAGCGCAGTCTTGCTTCCGGCACTTCAGCAGTACTAGTGTTGCTAGTATTGCTCCGTGGGTTCCCGTGCTTGTACGGAGGAGGAAGAAGAGGCCAGAAGTTCGTCTGGCTTCCCCACACTGAATCCAACGCTGCTGGCGAGGCTGTACGGTCCGGGTGGAGAACCAGCAGAAGAGAGCTGACCAGAAGCTGCTGTGTGCTGACATCAAAGCTCACCTCTTGGTGCCCGTACCTTGCACTAACAGCAGATGCGGCGCCTTTGGTCGTGCCGTTTTGGCTATGAATTGCTCCGAACGGCGAGGCAACCCCCGTAAGGACGCCTGTCCATATTACAGTGCTGCAACATTTCCGCCTCCTGCTGACGGATGGTCTGGGGAGCGGATTCGCAGAGCTCTACCCACGACGGACTTGTGCGAAACATTTTGCGGTTTTTTACTTTCGCTCCTTTGGGCGATTTGACATGATATGCGGCTCTTCTCATTGATGAGCGAGGGTAGCACCCAGCCACTAACTGTTGTTTTGCCTTCTAGACGCGCATCATACATACTTTCGTTCCCAAGTGTCACGGCTGCCTTGGACGCTCTGGACGAGACTCTCCGAACCTGCAGGCTACCTACTCACTGAGTACGTGTACACGCGAACACTCGAGCCGGAACCATGCATCGCAGTGTTACCTTATCCCGGCCTCGCCTGCACTCAGCCCTTTGCTGTGGCTCTCTACATTGCCAATCAGCCCCAGGCAGCGACATCACGGTGTGTTCATATGCTGAATAAGGCTTTCTTGTGCTACCAAGTTTCCATCCTCGCGCGGGTAGATGCCTCTTGCAATCTCGGCCTGCAAGATCACGTTTCGAGCGGCAGCCGCAGCGACTCGGTCATCCGCGGATAAGAGCACAAGGCGGCACGCAAAGCTGCAGCTATGCAATATTCTCATGCATCCTGCAAACTTGATCACACAGAATGGAGCCTTTGTACTACCTCGTGCCGCTGGCCGGATGCCGTCGGTATTGGCTAGTCGCTACAGGTCGCTGCTTTGATTCACGCTGATCTCCGACAATGGGAAGAAAGGCATCATGACTTCGAGGACCCGAACATTTATCCCCACTGGATTTGGCAAAGGACAGTCTTTGCTCTTCTTCCACGTCTCAGGATTTCATACCTGGATCCAAACGCCGGCCAAAAAAGCTCGATCAAGGGAGGTATTTCCCTGGCTCCGTCAGCTGGCAAAGAGACATCCAGGGAAGTGTTTGTCCAGATGATGCAGGCGACGGCAGAGATGCGATACTGATGGGATTTGCAAACAAGGGTACTTTGCATATGCGCAGCTTGCCACCTCGGCGACTTTGGCAGGATAGTAGCGTCTATCTGCGGTCCCGTTTTCGTACGGATGCCTGCATTCTTTTACGCCCTGCGCTGGTGATCCACGCTCCCGACGGATAGCACCCATGTCATGATTGCCTTTGATAGAGTCGGACATGCGCCTTTTCAGCTTGACATGGACTGGACACGCGCATGAGAATCAAAGCATAGGCTTTGCGGTGTCTCATGCGTCCTGCAGAAGCACCCATGTCTCCAGACGCCTGGTGGAACTCGAGTACTACTACTAGGGTAGCGAGAGCCGAGTGACAATGGAGAAGCCTTCAATACTGGGCTATGCTGTCTTACGGCACGAGCTCAGGCAAGTCAGGTTACCGACTACGTAGAGGATGTTCCATGTTATGAAATACTTGTCGAGCTACTGGCCTTGCCGGATCACCCCTGGAGCTGCAAACCAGGGCCAGTATTTGTCCTACAACTACAGGGCCTCTGCTATCCGGGGGCTCCTCTAGGCTCACCGTTATCACTTGGACCGCCTGAGTGTGTAACCCACGCTGCCTTTGACTTGCAAATATTCGCATGGCTTCATCTCAGGGGCGGTTGGATCTTCACATGCCCGCACGCACTTGTCCAACACACAGTAGAGTGACTGCCGGCACCGGACCATCGCTCCTACGAAGTAGACAATACAGCATTTCCTGTACCGAGGCCGTCGTGATACGGTCAGGTAGTGTCAATTTCTGCTCTCTTGAAGTCTTCCTTTCGTTGATACTGAACGGCACGGCAGCTTTGGAAATCCGCCCAAAGGGTCCACTCAGAGGTTGTTTGATTGGCACGTATAAGTACTTGGGAGAGGCCTGTCAAGGAGAAGATGGGCTCTTGGTGGCTTCAGCCTTCGAGGCGAGATCCGCTGCCACCTTGTATCAGTCCTGGTCGTCTTCTAACCGCCGACACTGTAATAGATGCCGGTGATCAGGACGTGCGACATCCAGCCAGATCGAGAGGCCAGCGCCCGGGGAGGGGGGGAGGAGGGGGGAACCTACTTTGTACGCGATGTGAATGTTTGCTTGCCTTGCCCCTGGTTGAGGGTGACTGGAAGGATTTTTGGCGCACCCTTCGGCACCTAGCTGTTGAACTAGATCTCGGAGCAGGACTCACAACCCTTTCACGCGGTCTGCCGCAGCTGCCACCTCTGATCCTTCGAATGGTAAGCCCCCCTCCCCCTCCCCGTCCGTCAAAGAGCTGAGTGGAAGGCCAAGCTGCTTGCGGCTCACCGAGTATGCGCGATGCAAGACGATGATTGGAGAATGTGGTGCTTGCATTGAATGACTGGCATCTCGCAGGTCTCACTCAGAAGCTCATTGGATACATACGGCATTAACCGTTGCGAGCCATGCAAGCGAGACAGAGACGAAGGCGGGTCGAGAAGATGGGTGGCGTCCATTCGCCCATGGACCAGAGTAAAGGCAGACATGGGCCAAGTCGGCCTCATTCCATTGTTGAGCCCTGCTGCGGTCAGTTGTGAGGAAACCCGCCACTGGCAGTTGAACAAACCCAGCACACCGGTGCGGGTCCGGCTCTCCAAACGGCCCCGCCCCGTTATTCCTCGCCTGCAACGGAGCCAGTGGACGGACGCTGGTCAATCAGTCATCTTCTCCCCTGGCTTCAAAGGCAGCTGCATTCCGCCCAGGATCCGAAGCCCATATGCCTGGGAATTGATGTAGAAGGTTAACTTCAAGAGAAGCCTTGGAGGAAAATGGGAACTCGATAACCTCTCAAAGTGCCCAGCTCACCACCCGAAGGTGCCATCCTGCAGGTCAACCGAAAGAGTGGTTCACGGGGGCAACAGGCAGCTTTGAGAGACCCCCACAGCTCAGTAGGGACAATTGGTCCATCCAGCTCCAACCTAGGCCTAGAACCAAGAAGCAATGCCTGGTCAATATCTCCCCGCTCGAGTGGCTTGCCAATAGTCGTCGCTTAATCGTTTGTTCGTGTGGCTGATCCGCATGCCCTGCCCCCCTCCCCCTCCCCCCTTCCCCCAAATGTCATCAAAGCCATGATACATGGACGCTTTGCCCAGATGCTTGGGCTATTCTCCTCTTCTCCTCATTCAGCGTCCTCATAATGTCGCTAGAAATGCACCTCTGGCCGAGCTCCTTTCCTGCAGGTCTGCTAGCTAAGCCGATGATCAATGTTCCCGTCGCCGGCTTGCCCAGGAGTATTTGTGTTTACCTGCCTCGGCTCTGCATTCCAGGCGGCTCTAAGAAAACAGTTTGAAGAGTCTCAGGCGCGAGCCAGTCAGATGCTCTGGGCTCGGATGAGCCCGATGTCTCCTGGTAAGCCTCACAGGTCAGACAAGAGAAATATGTCCCTGAGCCCCGTCATGCACACGAATTCCCCCATCACACCGTGACGGCAGGTTTGGTGGTGTGAACATAGACACATATAGAAGGTTTTGCCGATCGAAACAGGCTTGGTATATCTGCCCGAGCCGTCTAAGAGGTACTTGACGACTCCCACATACCCAGGCCCTGTGAGCGCTTAGACTCGGATTCTCAGAGGCTGTCAAGTGCTGCTTGTACACACACTAGAGAGAAATTGCGGCACAAGGAAGTGTGTTTTCAAGTCTTCGAGGAATAGCAGGTCGAACTTGGATTTCTCTATAGGCCGATGCCGTGTCGATTGCTCCGCCGAGTCCGGTGGACTGGTTGACTCTCGGGCCAGCACGTCATGCCAATCTCCGTCAACTGTCCCCAGGGTTGATTGTTGAGATGTTGCGGTACTTCGTATGCCTGGTCCAGATACACAGGTGATGGCGGAACGGGCCACTGAGGCACTGTCCACCTTTGTCAAATTTAACCGATGAGTCTGCAGCACGTCTCTTTAGCTCAGATATATCGGGACGTACGACCTACGATGGCTTCTCTGTTCTGCTCAATGATAATCTACAATCCCACGGTGTAAGCAGACAATCGAGAGACTCGTCTGCTTTGTACGGAACGGATGGTTCTGAGCATGAGCCAGGTCTTCTGTATGAACGGTTACACGTAGGCCGCATGACGGGCCACTCTAGGCCGTCAATCCATGCTCCGTGATGACTTTAGACTAGGGAAGCATGTTGGTAACACAAACATCAAAGTCGTATGAGCACTTGGGCGCACAGCATACATGAGGATCCGACGAGACGAATGCCGTCCACCAGGGTGGAACCCATGTTCGTGGTGAGCGGCAAGGTACTCTTGACGGAGATGCGCTCCGATATGCACGCGTTGGCCATCGACTGGCAAGTGTTGCGGAAGCCAGAGACGAGGAACGGCAGAGGCAGGAGCAGCTCCCGAAGCCATTGATACCATGGGCGAGTTCTCGACAGGCATTCGAATATAAATATTCATCCGTACTCTCCTCCAGATCGCCCTCGCTCCGGCGTCAGCATACACAGCATAATCTTTTCCGGGCTTTTGCTTCCAACGCTCTTTATTCGATTCTCTTCATTCATCCCTCTTCGACTGCTTCAAAGGTCAACATGAGCAACAACACGCACGGCTCTTCCTCTGTTTTGGGCAAGCCCATCATATTTGTCCTCACCCTAGGCGACGAGCATGCCCAGATCACTTTCCAGGACTCCCACGCCAGATTCCTGAACGAGCTCTTCGAGAGAGCGACTGTCTGGCACGCAAGGACAGCCGAGAAGGCATTTTCTCTCTTTACACAATGCGCAGAGCCGCACGCCGTGTTTGTGGCCGATGGAGGGATCGCTCGTCCAAAGTGCGAGGTCACCTCGCAGAGGCTCGTGCAATATGCCTCACGCGGCGGTATTGTTGTCTTTGGCGGCTCGTTTGCTGCCTCGGGCCCGCAAAGTTTGGACAAGATCATGAGGCAAACCTGGGATTTGCCGTGGGAAATCAGTTCCGTCCACCGCACCACGGTGTCCCTGAACTCCGACGCAGTCAGCGCGACGCTCAGAGAAAAACTCTCGGCTTCGTATACACAGAGGGCTGTCTTCATTCGCGGGATGGAGCCGTGCGAGGCGTGGTACTTCCCGACGGAACCCCCGGTCATGGATGGCTGGGTGCCTGTCATTAGGCCAGCGGTTGACTCCAATGATTCGCCCATGGTTTTCGCTCAATACGGGGCTGGACACATTGGATTCGTTGGAGATGTAAAACCTGAAGATGGCACAATCGTCGCAATGCTTGCGATGCTCGGTTTGTTGGCTGACTAAAGGACTTGAGACTCCATTGGCATGATGCGTCTTCGCAAGTAATCTTCGCAAGTAATAGGAAGAAGGAGAGGAAAGGAAATTGCACAAGCGAAAATCCGCTTCTGAAAAGGACACAAGAACATAAGTCTGGGAGTATGTACTTTGGCAGTAATGTTATGTATGTAGTTGTTGGCGATGTTTTCTGCTTTCCTGCCTGGACCAGTAAAGAGAAATCAGCGAGAGTCCGTCAGTCGTTATTTATAGATGGTGTTTTCGTGACCTTATTCCGCCAATTTTCATGGCGACGGTATTCGCAAGTTGAAGATGGCGAGGGACTCAGCGTCATGGTGTTTGTATGTGGCCGCAGCACATGATGTTGCTCTTCTCACCTGGTCGAACATCGTAGTCCAGGTCGGGTCATTTCCGCTTGTCCTCTGCTTGACCCAATGTTTGCCTGCTTGTACATACTGCGTGTTTGACTACTGGTTCAGAACGGCCCGAGGCATGGACATGCCACCAGGGCTGACGATTGGTGTGATGGACAGTACCTCATGCCACAGGATGTGTGACGTTTCTATTCGTCGATGCAGCGGAGCACCACCATCAGGTCGGTAGCGCATGTCCAAAGCGGCTATTCAACACCCACATTTGGAATGAGCTGCATCAGGATACGGGGCTGGCGGCCGTCCCGGCATGAGGGAGGATGGGCGAACTGCAAAAGAGCAAGGATAAGTAGAGAGGCCGGGAAGCAGAAGCAGAGGTTTCGTTGGACGTGCAAGCACATAGACATACTCTGGGGCTCACCACTGAGCAGTTGTCCAATGCCCCTCACATGATCCCAAGCCTCGCAAGCATCATGTATGTATCCATCAAACTACCTCTAACACGCCATGGGCGCATCAACCTCGTGCCCTGATGTTTGGGATCTTTGGGCGGGAACCCTCTGTTTTCCTGCAGCAAAAGCAACCAAGTTCTCGGGCAAATCAGGCCATGGCGCGAGCTCCGGCCTCGGCTGAAGATGGACCAGGAGGCGTGGCCACGCGCGAAGTGACGTGGGAGGCATTTTGGACCGCAATGCAGGTACCGGGGATGGTCTGCAGAAATTGACACAGGGATCAAGCCTCGAGCCGTCGATCATCACATCACCCGAGAGAGGGATAAACCGTCTTCTGCATCGTTTTGCGGGTTGGCGAATCGGCGACATCTCGAAACCGAGTAAGAGCAGAAAGATATCCGAGAGGCAAGAAGAGCTAGAGAGGGATGACGACACGGAGACTTTTGCCCTTTGTTCTTGCCTGTGGAAGAAGCGAGGGGAGGGGCCGTAAGCGAGAGACGTCGAGCAAAGAGGAAAGCGCGAAAGAGAGGCGATCCGGATCCGACGTCTCTTGGCAGCTCGACGGCATGCATGGGAAAGAACAGCTGCACCTCACTGCATGAAGATGCACTTTCTGCCCTCTTGCAACCCCGCCCCCACCACCTTCGTATGACGACTTCCAATGGATTTCCAATGGATACTACCGATATGGCCAGAAACCCCACCATCATATGCCATCTGCTCACGACCAACAAGAGCTTGTGCCGCCCAGGATCAGCCTCACGGAACAGGAAAAGCCATCTCGGTATTGCCCCAGGTCATGCCGGGTTTTGCGAGCCATCACAATCGCAGCCCAAGAGAGAAGGGTCGCGCGACACAAGGGAGGGGGGAGAGGAAAGGAACGTCTTCGTGGTATAAAAGGACGCACCATCCGCCTTCATGGCCGAAACGGAACTCGAAATCCCTGGCCTACCGTACGGCCAACGGACCTTCGTCTCCTCTTCTCACCCTTCGGTTTTGCTCGCCTTGTCTCTTCCTTGCCTTCTATGTCTCGGTTTTCAACGGTGCGGAAGACGGTCAGGATAGGCTAAGGCAAGCTTCGTGGCCAAGGCAGCTGCCGCTGCTACCTTACCTTGCCTCGTACACACGCAAACCGACATGCAGGGGAGCAGACACGCAGACAGCTGGACACGCAGATGATGGGACGCACAGGTGGGCGCACAGGTGGACGCACAGATGGACGCATGGATTCGACACATGGCTGGGCACAGGGCTGGACACTGGCGGGCCACCGGCGCTGCCACACCCAAACCCAATCTCGTCTCGGCTTCTAGTGCGTGTGTCAAAGATCCCAAGGCGCACCGTCCCGCATCCCGCTCTTATAGCATTGGCGCAGCAAGTCCACCAACATCCACAACATCCACATGCCTATGCCCGAGATGCAGTAGTCGGCCGGGGCTGCGAGATCAGCGAATCGAGCCAGCCAGGCGGGCGGCAGATCCAGAAGCGATGCACAACAGGATGGCCTGCGCTTGCAGCCCCCCAGTATCCCCAGTCTCTCCCCATGTAGCACCCCATACCCCCGTCCCATATCATGGGAACGTATCCATGGGCAGCAATCACCGCAATTCCAAGACCCCAACCGTCACACGCCGGTGCCATACTAGGGAGCCTTGGGAGCCCCGGACGCCGTGCCGGCCATATCTGGTCCCACTTCGCCGGCTACCATGCTCCCCACTCACGGCGCTGACAACGTTCTCCGTTCCACTAGTCTCTCGCCCAAAGAACCGACATTCGCTCTTCCTACCTCCCTCTATGCCCTGAGACTCTGCCGCTCAAGGAGCCAGACGACCAGACGTCGGGACAATAGTGGAGGCTTTCTGCAGTAGCCATGCTGCCATCAGACTCGTTGGTGTACGGACAAGGCGGCCGAGAGGCGGGTGGGATCAGGTTTTTTTTGGACAGGTATGATCCGACGCGCTGTCTTCTGCTCTCCTTCACATTCTGACTTGAGAATATTCGACAAAATAGACATTAAATTTCGTTCGGCGGCAGCAGCGCCTGATATATATATATATATATGACAAAGGAAACATTACCCAGCTCATGGGGGCTCATGTGGATGATTATATCTCTATGTCGCGGCATTGCCTTTTCGTCCGTGGGCTTCATGACGGATAGCTCCTGACCCATATTTTCCCATTCTATTTTCCCTCTCTTGCTCCCAAAACCGATCCGTTATCCGAAACCCAAAGTATATGAACAGTCGAAAAGACGATTGCCGCCATTACCAAGAAACGCCGAGTCGTCCGAAATCCGATCGTCATCGAGAGATTGGTCCAATCGACGTATTACTATTATTAAGAGACCGCTGCAGAGGTCGTGTCAGCAACGCCCGGGTGTATGTGACGCGAGCAAATCGAGAACAAGGGGGGTGGCAATTACCTGACTGGCACAGCGTGTCACACAGGGAAAGAAGAAATAAATAGGGAAAGCAGTCGAAAGAAAAGGAGGCCAACCCAATAACAAATGAACGCATTATTTGGGCTTTGGTGGCTGAGGAGAGTTGGGCTTGATGATGCCAGTGGTGTCGTACGGTCCGCGCATTTTGATCTTGGGGAGAGAAAGAAGAAAGCTGGAGGAGTTCAAAAAGAAGGAATAGTTGTTGTCGTGGTGCGGCGAGACAGGACTGCACAAGAGGCGTCCGGAAGCTTGAAAAACGGAAGGAGAGGTCGAGTTCAGAACGATTGCTCGACAAGCACCGTTTTCTTTTTCTTTTTTCTTTTCTCTTTTTCTTGTTGGATGAAAGAACGAAGAGCGGACGGAATTGCGGGAACGGTCTGATGTTTTAAACTGTTCCCACACCGACCCGGTGAGAGCCCTTCTTTTGAGAGCTCGCCGCCTGTTCGCTGGGTTCTCGCGTGGCTTTCTTGCTGGTCGGGCTTATTTTTGCTATGATTGCGGCTCCCGATATTGCGGTCTACCCATGGCGGTCAGTCAAACCCCTGATGTACTTTGTTCGCCCCTGCAGGAATTTTTCATTTACCCTTGTGTGATCGACAGGGGTGGCTGTCTGTTTCCTCTTCTTTTTCTTTCTCTTTTGTTTCTTTTCTTTTCTTTTTTTTTTCAAGTGCTTGCCTTGTCTTGGCGAGAGGCGGACGACGGAGATGGGTGTGACAGTGGGAGGCCTTTCGCGGGCGCTAACACTCGGTACGCGGGACGGGAGAAGAGATAACAGATGAAGAGCTGATGGAGGATGGCGAGCCTTGTCGGAAAAGGGCAAGGTCTCAGTTTTCCGAATCCGGGACGACGTGACTACGAAGTACCAAGGAGATGAGTACGACGAGGAAGGCGTGGTTGTTTGGGTGTTGAGCGAACCTAAAGGTTTTAGGGTTGGCCCAACGCTCTCCAAACTTGGGCGACGCGGACTAGGCAGTGGGGGTGGGAAGTTTTGGGAATTAGGCGGAAGAAGGGGTCCTGTGCAGGTGCAAGGGTGAGGTGAGCTGGGGCAGGCATGGATGCAGGACAACCCATGGCCTTTCTAGAAGCGCTGCTGGACCTTTCGCGTTGGGTTGCGGGAGAAACACGTTGGGCCGGGACAGCAGGCAAAAAGACTGTGGAGCAGAGAGTCAATCGGCATGGCGTTTGTCGCAAACGGGCGGGCGGCGGCGTTGCTTGCAAACACATCACTGCCCGGCACGGCATTCCAGAAACGATGGACCGGCTTCCAAACGACATTCGCTGCTTCTCAAGGGGGTAACCGACACGTTCACAAGCGCATATCACACAGGCACACGCACACACAGGCACACACAGAAGCCCACTTACCAAGTACGATTACGGAGCACACCTGCAGTACTTACACATTGCACACCCTCGCCCATAGCGCGCATTGAATCCATGGCTAGCTTCCCTTGCCTCGTTTGAAACGAAAGCCGTCGAGTGACGAGACCAGTGAGAGGGAAAAGGCGAGTTTGATGACGTGCACGGCCCGGATCCCGAAGAGCCTCAACCCCTGTTGTCGTTGTCCGCTTCCCCGCCCCCTTTTCGGGAGTTAGCCGGATGAGAAAAAGGCAGCAAAAGGCGACGTTTCATCAACCTTGGAAAGCAATCGTTGTGCCAGCGGGCAATGACAGCGTGGGTGGGGAGATGGAGGGGACGGGCCCTCTCGAGTCCTGCTCAACAAGGCCGCTGTTTCTAGCTCAGGAACGGGGCCCTGAAGAATGGGTGCCTCCAAGAACGGCGTTCCGGGGCTTGTTCGATGCGAGCTTCCACGGTCCCAACGGAGCACCACTCCTTGTACAGCACAGTTGTCTGTACAGTCGACTTTTGCCCTATACTCCGCACTCACTCCGTACTCTATACAAGTACTCCATGCTGTGGTAAGCAGGCCATGTCTGCATCACTACGTATTTCGTACTACTACCAGGCAGTACTTCGTACAGGACGCCCCCCCATCCATCCCCCCTCCCCTGTCTGGCAACCAAGAAGCACTGCTGCTGCTGTTGCTGCTATTGTGGGCCGGCCATGACTTTCAGGGAAAGGCACTAACGGTTACCGTATTGGCGCGAATATCCGGGAGAACGAGGAAAATTCCCCGAGCCTCGAGTCTCTCTACTTGGGACGGTGGCTGCAGCTTTCACATCCATTCCTCTCCTTCTCCAACCCCTTCACGCTGCCATCTTCTCGCCTTGCGATGAGAGAACGGAAGACCTACAACTTCGGTGAGTGAGAATCTACACACAGGGAGATGTCATGGGGGTTAGGGGGTGGTGCGAGGGGAGCCGCTGATAAGCTAACACTAGTACTCCGTAGTTGGAGAAGGCATCTCGCAGGCCCATCGCCTGGTGGCAAGATGAGCGGGCCTTGATGGAGAGAGAGCGCCTTGCTTACACGTCGAACAACGCACTCCTCCTAACAAGTGGTTCGTCGTGGATGGAGCAAGGAAACGAGACGACGACATCCAAGCGATTCCCCGGAGCCCACTCCTGGATGAGCGTACAGCGTTCTGGTTCGACACACTCAGCTAGATCTTGGCAGAGCTACAGGAACAGCACAACACAGCATGGCATGGCAGATGCAAGCTGTAGAGGTATCCATGCCCGGATGGCTCCCTTGCCTGACGTCGAACGGGGCCGGGGGACGACTCAGCTGCTGGCACGTTTACTCCAATGGGCACAAGCGTCCTCTCTTGGGTCTCTGTTGGCCCTCTTTGAGAGATGGCGCGCCAGAGGGAGGATCACGAGGGAGCTTACGGAGTCCTCGTACATACACGTAGTATGTACATGTAAGAAAGCCACATGGAGCGCCGTCGTCCCGCTCCATGGCAGTGGTGGGGCCGGTCCGATCCTCCCATAGCTCCGGCACGATGGGGTCCGTGATAGGTTTGGACCAGAGTCTCAGCCGCTCGGGCAGATGTTGCTTCTGCGACCTACCGTTGGGTTCTACCGTTTACGACCCATGATGGAGTTGTGAGAGAAACTCGGCAAGCTTTGTTTGGTCTGGCCACATGAGACAACTCATCAGGGACTGCATGATTGCTTCTATCTCACCGCAAGGCGGACGAAACCATTGGTGTGCCTCGACCTCCTGGCGTGAGCGAGGGTCGTGTTGTTGCTGTTGTCGTGGCGTTGCATCTATCCATGTCTTTTTCTGGAGAGCGATCCTTCCATGTGATGGACGTCTTTAACCGTTCAAGCAGGCAGGACTGGCTCAGACTGGACCGGAGAGGACGAGACGGGGCGTCTGCGCCGGCATGACAGGTGAAAGGTGATGGTGGTGGTGGTGGTGGTGGTGTTGTTGTAGTGAGGGTGGACGACGATGACAACGACACCCACGACGACGACGACGGGATTGGAGAGTTGGTTGGAACACACACCCCGGACCAGGCACGCAGGCAGCAACCAGGGTCATGAAGGCAAACAAGCAGAAGGCAAGGCGACGAAGCAGGCAGCACAAGCAAGAGAAGCAAGCATTGACCCAACTTTGGCTTCGTCTCGTCTCTGACCGCCTTGAGATGGAAGGTTGACGCCATGCGCCATAAACAGCTCATGCATGGACGATTTGCTGCGGAGCCCATCCGTTGACCGCCACAAGGGCGTCCAGATGATTAATGGAAACGGTGAAATCCGGAGGGTAGGGAATACGTGGCATGATTCGAGTTCGAGATTTGCCTTCTTATTTGTTCGGAGGGGAGGCCGCGTGTGTGCGTGTGCGTTTGATATGCGCGCCTGCGTGCTGGTGTTGGCATCGGCATCATGTCGTGTCGTGTCGCAACGGCAAGGGAGAGAGACACGAGGGTCACGACGGACATCTACGCGACAGAGCCTCACTCGTCGTGCATACTGAGAGACAGCACACGAACAGAGGGTGCTGTTAAAGGGGTGGGAAGGGACCAAGATAACGACTACCTCCGTACCTGTTCTTCGAAAGAAGTGATGATATGACAGCACACGCATACAGCAAAGATTGTATGTATGTAAGGTAAGTATAGATTGTACGAAAGGTGCCTGCTGAAAGGTCGGCAAGGCTACGTCAAAGTGGCATCATTCCTCGGAAAGAATCTTCTTTCTCCCATTCGCTTTTTCTGCTGCTCCTCGATTCCAAGCTGAAGGGCATTCGAAGGCGAGCGAGGTGAGCGGAAAACGAACATGGCGAAAAGCAGAAACGTGAAATAGTGAAGCAAGAGGGGGATGGGTTGTGGGCGGAAAATCCGTCTCTTTGAGAGGCGGTGTCGACCTTGCACCCGGGGGCTTTATTTTTATTTTTTGCACTTCTCTATTTTTTCCCCTTAATTTGTGTCACCGACAACTCGAAAGCTGTTTAACCACCAAAGCAAGGGAGGGTGAGAGTGTGCAGGACGACCTGCTTCTTTTTTCCCGGCCTTTCCTGTTTACCGGGTTAGCATGAGGTACAGCCGGACTGTATACGCACTGTCTCGGCTGCTTGGAACGCGGATTGCATCACGGAACTCGCACCAAGCATCGTCAGAGTGGACGACTCTGCTTCAGCCTCTCGCCAGCGGCGAGTCAAGCCAGCACAGTGTCTCTGGGAGACGCACCACAAGACACACAGTAAGACACACCACTACCACCCTGTTGCATCGTACTAGTTCGGCCGAGAAACATTGGTACTATGTGACTAATGAAGCAGGGGGGAGCCATGGCTGAATCTCGAATGCTAGTTACGGAAGAATCCAACCTAGCTCAAAAAAACAGGCACAGCACGTCAGATACGACAACCTACCAGCGGCAGAACTCGCATCGATCGAGGTACGGCAGCATCTCCCCCCTGCTCCTGCTCCTGCGCATATCCGAAACATTCTCGGCCCTCCAGCTCGGGGACAGAGAGAGAAGAAGCGAGAGAAGGGGAGAGAGCCAGAGAGAGAGAGAGAGTGGAGGAACACAAGTAACTGTTAGGTACGCAGTGTTTGGAGCGTACGCAACGCCTGCTGCCTCCTGCTGGTCTCTACCTGCCGTGCCTCCCACTGCAGTATGTTCATTCGTAGGCTGATATTCTTCAAAGCAAGCAAAAAGCATGCATTTTCGCCCGGTCGAGCAGTCAATGGATGACGAGTATCTCGCTCGGGGCGGGGGCGGCAACTCTGGTCAGACAGCCGCGCCGGAGGATGGCTCTGGTTCCGGCGGGGTGTATTTTTCCCTCGATGATGTCTTCGAGCCTGAGCCTGAGGTAGGGCTGGGGTCTGGCGACGACGCTGCTGCGGTCGTTCCGTCTTTGGACGGGCCTGAAAACCCTCTTCACCCATCCGATATGCGGCGGCTAGAGACGGAGCACACCACTGCAGGATATCGGGAAGGTATCTCAGCGGCAAAAGAGCGGACCATCCAGGCTGGCTTCGACGAAGGCTTCAGCCTCGGCGCCGCGATAGGGCTGGCGGCAGGGCAGCTGCTCGGCATATTGGAAGGTATCCAGGACGCTCTCAAAAACACGCCCCCAGGCCCGGTTGGTGACGAGAACGAGGGAGCCAAGTCGGCATCCCAGCTGTTGGCAGAGGCACGAGAAGACCTGAGCGTGCCCAAGATCTTCAGCCCCGACTACTGGGCCCCTGACGGCAACTGGAGCTTCGACGTCAAGCCTGAAGCCAATGAAGATGACGAGGTGCTGTTTGCTGATGTGGCAAAGGCGCATCCCCTGATCAGAAAGTGGACCGACATCGTTGACGAGCGAGTCAAATTGTGGAAGATTGACCGGTCTGTGCTTGATGGCGAGGATGGCGAGGATGGAGATGGTCGAGTGGAAGCTGCAGCAGCGGACGACGCAACCACTAGTACCGCTGGCACCGCTGGCGCGATCACACTTCCGCCGCCTACATCAAGACAGCGTCTGGACTGGTGATCAGGATGGGACACGCACGCACGCGCGCGACGCGCATTATGCTTTGCCAGGCCAACCGCTCTGCTTTGTCCTGCCCTGCGTTTCGATGCCCTGCGTTTCGAAGCCCTGCTCTTTGCGATGGGGTCTGCGGCTTTGACTCTGCGTTGCCGCAGATCTCATAGAGCTACCCGACAATCCATGATGGAGCGAGATGGCATTCTTGCACCACGCTCCGTCTGGCTCTATGTGCAACGTTCTCTCTATCTCTGAACAGCGTGTTCAGCAAAGACTGAACAGCGGTTGGGTTTCTCAGACGAGCCGCACCGGCGGCACGTTGACAAGGGGGTAAAGAGGACAAGAGAATCAAGTCGAGAAGAGTTGTGCTGAGGGTGCCGTGCTGGATGATGACTGAAGCTTCATTCATGAAAAGCGGAGATGGAAACTTATACAAATGAGCATGAGAAGCACAAGTCGGAACACAGGTCGGACCATCCGATAGAGAGTGGTACTAGCATGTACTGACAAGCCCCCCCTGCTCGTTCTCTTGATTTGAGTTGAGATCGCAATTCCCCTGAACAGGGACACTTGTCATGTGCATTTCACGCTCCCTACCGAAATTTACAGCGAGATACTGCTCATGCAGCCAACATATAACACATGCGATACGGGCTGTTCCTACCGCCGAACAAGGTGAAGCGCGAGGCGATGGGATCAACGATCATTATACTGCAGTATTCTGGACGTGTTTGCATTAATGTGGCTAAGTGAAGTTGTCGAACGAATCCTGATGCGCACGTTGCATTGTCAAACCCCCAATTGCATGTACGAACAAGCTTCCTTGTGTTTCTGCAGGAGACCGGAGAGCAACAGCGACTGATGGGTGCCTCTGGTTGAGGCAGTCTCTGCTTATAATAGTGCCCATGTGTTCTTCAGTACTGCAGCTTCTTTCGTCCCTGGCAGCTCCGTCGCGTCTGGAGCAAACCGCGGTATCGGCTGGCTTTGTTCGAGAAGCTTGCCATGGACCCAATTTGGCCACCGGCAGTGGGGGTACTAGCAGTGTCCGGTTGAAGAGGTGTCTGTCTTATTTCCCCTCTCGCCCTTTCGCTTCTTTCCCCAGACTGTGCGATGCTATTTTCAGCATAGCCGGACAGGCGATGGCCGCCTTGCATTAGGACCCAGCTCGGCATTCATGTGCCATCATGCAATTACAAGCATCTAAGGCCGGTCGGGGAGCGGAAATGGAACAGCTTCTCGGCATAGGGGCCTGCCTATCCGCCATGACTGGTTCACCTCCAGTTGCTAGTTGTATGTCCAGATACTACGGGGAGGCAGTTAGGTAGTTGTCTGATTATGGGGCGGTGGCGGCAAGACGAAGAGAAAGACTCAAGATGGAACAGTGGCCGTGTACCGGCAAGGTCAGGTTGTGGATGTGCCATTGACGAAGCACAAAGTACGCCGCGGCGTTGGTGTCACGACCGCCACTGGACATCAGACGAGGCACTTCGTATCACAGCCGCGAATGCCGTGCCCTGTTGCCACTGCCGCCTCAAACAAGCTTATTGACGAGGTTGCGAGGATTCTTCAACGGCTGTGGCCAAAAGTCGAACAAGCCCACCCGCGTGCTACCTGGAAAGTTGGCGTGTGAAGATCGCCCACCGGCCTCCACAATTCATCAGACTCAAGGGGCTCCATCGACCGACGACCGGGGTTCCGGAGACAAGGGGGTTGTCTATGACTTGCGCTACACAAGTGTCCGTTCAACTTGCACATCCATCCATCCGCCAGTTCATTTGACGATATGTCCTACTTCATGCCAAAACCCACTGGGGACGAGATGTGCTTCGCAGTGCCAACCGTATGTATGCCTGCTCGATACAACTTCGTTGTCGTCCTCTTGGTAAATGACTCAATTGGCATCAACAGGAAGCGAGCAACTAACTGCCCCCACTCGTCTCTCCAGGAGAGGATAAGGCGTCCAAAAAGGGGGGAATCAAAGGCAAGGAAGCAGAGGCCCTGATATCGCTAAAGCGAGTGCTGGAGAGTGTGATGTGCGGTGCTTCTTCAAGCGAGGCTCTCTCCTGCCGCTAGCGCAGGAACAGAGTATCCATCCGATCTACCCCATGGCCGCCTCATGCAAGGGCACAAGGCTTGTTTCTCGCTCTGCCTCTTGGCCCATTGTCTCTCCCTCGAGCCTCGTGCTCCAAGACTTGGATGGGACCACGATGGGAGCATCTGATTGAATGGACTCTAGGAAAAGATAGAGAGAGGGGGGGAAAAGAGAGAAGAGGAAAGGTGAGAGACGAGCTAGTCTCACCTTGAGACTGCCAATGCCACGACAGAACTGCAACCTGGTGTTCCCACGACTTCGACCGTGCCGTGCTCCGCTCATGTACGGAGCCCTGCGTCAGGATCGACCACTTCTGATGCCGCTGTTATTACTGCATTCTGCTATCACCACCGGTAGTGTTATTACCACCGGCATGCATGCACTTGGTGCTCCGTACCTGATCTTCGCTTGCTACCGTTCTCGCCCCTTCGGTGTCACTACCGCTGTCTCTTGTGGCCAATTTCCTGTTGAGCCAGCCCCCTTCTTCAAGCCTGCCCGCAATAACGGGGTTGTCCATCGAGGACCCAGGGGAGGGGCCGGTCTGGGCCTTGTGGGAGAGCGAGGCGGAGGATGCGGAGGGGTGGATGAGGATGAGAGACGAAAGGACAGGCGCCTTTGACTCTGATGAAGCAGACGTTGGCGGTCTACTTAAGACCATCATCTCGCCTCCCTTGATGCCGAGCTTTTCTCTTGACTCTGCTCCCCTCAGCAAGCCTCATTTGCATCTTTCCACCCCTTCCGCTCCTTGTTCTTCGACGCACCCCTTTGGGCTCTTTTGACCCGTCCACTCACTCAAAACATTCATTTCCATCACCATGAAGTCTTTTCTTCTTGCTGCCACGGCCGCCACGGCTGTTTCCGCCACCAGTCTTCTTGAGCTGGGCCTCAACGTCGACCTGACCAAGACCATCGACCTTGGTGCCGACCTCAAGATCCACCTGCCCCAGGGCATCGACCTGCCGGCCGCCGCGGCGGAGAAGCCCACGGGCAACCCTCCTCCCGGCCACGTGAACGTCTGGCACCCGGCCCATCACGGCGTTGTGATTGACCAGTGCGACGACGAGGACAACGATGGCTGGCACTTTGTCCACCCTTGCGGCGACAGCTGCAAGCCGGAGCAGCCCTCGCAGGTCTGGACCACCAGCACGGTCAGCGTCACCTCGATGCACACCGTCATCAGCTGCGCTCCCACCGTGACCAACTGCCCGGCCAACGGCAAGCACACCACCACCGTCGTCATCCCCGAGACCACCACCATCTGCCCCGTGGAGGCTGCCAAGACCAAGACGGCCGACCAGACGCCGGCCCCGTCCTCTGCCGGCTCCCCCTCGCCTGCCTCGTCGCCTGCCAACGCCTCTCCTGTCCCGACCAACACCGGCGTCGTCACCCTGAGCACCCAGACTCTCCCGGCTACCGGTCCCGCTGGTGCCCCCTCCAGCGCCCCCTCCGGCGTTGCCTCTGGCGTTCCTTCGGGTGCTCCCTCGGGCTACCCGGTCCCTGGCAGCTCGGCTCCCGCCCTCACTGCTCCCCCCGCTGTCCCTAGCGGTCCCGCCTCGGCTCCTGCTGGCTCTTCCGTCCCGGCTTACCCCGTGCCCGGCAACAGCTCTGCCCCGGCCTACCCCACCTCCGCCTACTCTCCTCCCGCTCAGTCTTCGCCCGCCGGCTGCGTTGGCGACGAGTGCTCTCCCTCTGCTCCCTCTGCTCCCGCCTACAGCGCCCCTGCTGCTCCTCCTGCCCCGGCCAGCCCTGCTGGAGGCTGCAGCGGCGCTTACTGCCCTCCTCCTCCTGCCGGCACTGCTCCCAGCGCCGCTCCTCTCCCTACCGGCAACAGCACCGTTCCCCTGCCCAACGGCGCCGTCAGCCGCACCCAGGGCGCTGGCATGGCTCTCTTCGCCGGTGCCGTTGCCGCCCTGTTCCTGTAAACGGGAAGTGTGCAAGGAGTCAAGCCGGAGGATGGAAGCTGTATCAGCAGTGTATTTAGTGCTCCAGAGGGAGACAAAGTAAGAGGACTGCACATACCTTGATGAGTTTATGGGACGTCTGGTGGGGACAACACAGCCTACCGCCTTTTCCTTTTTGTTTATTGAGTACAGTTACTTACTTAATCTTCGAATCTTCCTCGCGAAGGGGCTACGCTGGCGTGCAAGGAGGCTGAGCATACGCTCGACGGGGTGATGGCCTATTCGTGGCTGTCGAGGTGTATGAGGTGGGAGTTTGATAATCTGTTGTGATTGGATTGAATTGATTGTTGTTTATAACTTTGATAATTGTGCCTTGTGTCATGCAGTAAACGTTGCATGGGAATTCGATATAATGTTCCCTCTCCCACTGAATATATATCTGTCGTGAAAATCGTGAACCGCAAAATGCTCCCTTGAGACTTTCCCTTGCCCAAAGAGTTGTTGTAACCTTGCTTTTGAATCTGAACGCCGTGCTTCCCATCTGAAACCCCTGAACGCCTCGCTTTTCTTGAAAGAATTGAATGATGGATGCTATTGTTCCCTTCCAGCCGCATATTCCTCCAACATCTTGGCCACGTCCTCGACGCGTCCTTGACTCTCTCCGAGCTGTCTTGTTGTCTCCCAGTCCCTCCCCTCCATCCCGAACACCATAAACTTGACCACCCTGCCGTCATCGTCCATGACCAGGCGGCCATTTCGCTCGTCGGCCCAGGTGAGCCGTATTTGCTTCGCCTCGGTATCCGCAATGCTCACGTCGACGATGGTATTTGGGGGCAATGAGCCGTCGGCTGCCATCAGGCTGTGGCTGCTGTGCGCTCCGAGGCTCCGCCGCAAATCTGCTGAAACCCCCAGCCTGTTGTGGTACCTCATGATTTCCCTCCTCAACGACTTGACGAATCGCTCAAGGTCTTGTTTGGGTGGCGATGATGATGATGCATCGCCCTCGTCCTCCAGCTGTTGCTTCGGCGCGGGCAAGTGTCTCGCCGCCAGACCCGGCAGCGGAATGGCCGGCGGAACAGTGTGTCGATGCACGCGCAGGAACTTGGGGTTGCCGGGATACGGCCGGTTGAGCATCACGTAGTAGGGCTGCAGGAACTGGCCGCGCGTCATGATCTCGAAGCGCAGGCCGAGCACGTGTCCGTCATCGACGGCGGCCGGGTCGGGATCGCGGACCTTGAAGGCGGTGACGGAGGCGGCGATGCGGTAGAGGCACTGCTGGTTGTAGGCCTCCTGCTGCCTGGAGCGGGCGAGGAGGCGCTGCTCGTCGCGCTCAACAGACCTCCGGGGCTTGCGGGGGCGCAGGGCGGCCGATTTGGCGGAGGGCTCAGGGTTTAGGGAGGAGAGGAGGGCTTCTTGGATGGAGGGCGAGGAGAGGATGGTGGAGCATTCGATTCTGAGGGTTTTGCGCAGATGAGCAACTGTATGGATGAGCAAATTGTTAGTCTGGGGGTGCGCGTGATGCGATGCGATGCGATGCGTAACTGATTTGACGCGATCGAGGTGAAGCGTTTGCGCAGAACTTGCCTTGTTGCTTGAGAGATGCGATTTCCTCGTCGAGAGGGTCGACTTGCAGCTCATCCGGAGTAGAGTCCATCTCTGATGTTTTGCAATGTCAGGGCTACATGAAGAAGCGCGTCGAGGTGCGGCGGGCCCGGCGCTGAAGTGTGTTCGTGTGTGAATCTAATGCAGCGTTGAATGTTGACTTGACGTTGTTGTTTTGTTTGGTCGCATGATGGCAACGACCGCACCAATGATGCAGCTCAGCAGAGACCCTCGCCGATAAGATAAGGCGGGCCTGTCATGCGATGAGCCGAGCCGAGAAAATTCCCAAAGGAGCAGTCGAGGCACCCGAATGAACTGCCCCTGACAGCATCCGTCGCTTCCCCGCCCTGTGAGCGCGCTGAATCACAGCGGTCCACAGCCTGACTGCGAGCACTGGGGCGCCAATCGTTGGTGCTGTGCGCTGCCTGTGGCCGGGCGTCCAATGATTGGGGTCGGAGCACTGAATCCTGCATTGGATTCCATTTCGATGCTCCTGCAGCCCCGATTCCATCCATTCAGTGTCGAGTCTGCTGCAGCCTGTAATACTTCGTATTGGATCCGTTCCCTCGCATATCCGTCTCCTGTCTCTGAATACGTAACGAGAGTGAAAAACTAAGAAGAAAGGCAATAGGGGTATGTATTCGTTGTATCAGGTTGTAACACAAACATCTGAGCAGACTGCTTCCTCCCAATGTTCGTAGGGTCCTATGGCATGGACATCATATGTATCTCGTCATAGCGTCTTAAAGGTAGCATTTCTGGGGAAGAAAAAGGGTTCACTTCAAATCGTTGACAGCAGGCGCTAGTGCCGGTTCCTGGCGTCTTTTCTGACAAGATTCTCTCCGCTGGCTCGTTTCCACTTTCGCCTTGTGGGAGTCTGTGTGGCGAGGCTTGCCTCCGTCCTTTGTATGTAAGCCGAGCCGGCCAAAAACACGCCCTTGAGGCCACGGTAGCTTCCACACCAAACCAGAGCACAAGACCACAAAAACAACAACAATTCAGCTATTCTGATATTTCTCTGGCGACTGCTGCCTGGACGCAATAGTCAGGCTGTTCATCCCGTTCGTTCTTCTTTTGCGGCGCGGACTGTGTCTGGCGCCCTCACCTTCATTCTCTCCTCTCTCTGCAGCTGTTCGAGTGCCGGGGCATTTTTGTCGTCGCCGTTCATCTTACCTTTACGCTCCACGCTCCACGCTTCACCCGTAATCCCGACTGTCTCGACCGCCATTCCTTTGAGCAACCCGAGCCTCGCCTGCGCTGTTTCACGTTACCGTCGATAAATCCAGCAGTTCTGCAAAGCTTCCCCTCGCTACCGCTCTCGTGCGCCCCCCAAAGCTGCCGACGACCCGAGACGCGCACGACGCCCCAGACCAACGACAGACTCTCCCTGATCTTGTGCCCTGCCGGCCCGAAACGAGTTTACATCGCGCTATATGGGTGCCCGTGCAAGACGAGCTCAGTCGCCTTCGTCAAAGCCTTCCCCTACCCTCTCGCTCAAGCGGGAGGCGAACGGCAACGGCAAGATGAGCAGCGGCGTTGAGATGCGGCGCAAGGCCGCCAGCCACCAGGATTCAAACAGCATCGCGGCGAACCACATGTCCCGCGAGTCCTTCTCCCTAGACGATCCCGTGCCCAAGTCGCCGGCTGCCACCACCGACGTCGGCTTCTTTCAGCTGCCCGCGCAGGACCAGAGGAGCTTCCTGCTGCTCGTCCTGCTCTACTTCCTGCAGGGCATCCCCATGGGCCTGGCCATGGGCTCGGTGCCTTTCCTGCTCAAGAACCACATGTCGTATGGCGAAATCGGCACCTTCAGCCTCGCGTCGTATCCCTACTCGCTCAAGCTCTTCTGGAGCCCCTTTGTCGACGCCGTATGGAGCTCCAAGATTGGCCGACGGAAGACGTGGATCGTGCCCATCCAGTTCCTGTCCGGCTTTGGCATGCTCTGGCTGGGATCCAACGTGGAGGAGATGATGGAGAAGATTGGCAAGCCCGAGGGCCCTACCGTTTGGTCCTTTATGCTCTGGTGGTTCTTCCTGGTGCTCATGTGCGCGACGCAGGACATTGCCGTCGACGGCTGGGCCCTCACGCTGCTGACGCCAGGAAACGTGTCGTATGCCTCGACGGCGCAGACCGTGGGCTTGACGGCGGGCCACTTCATGTCCTACACCGTCTTCCTCGCTCTCAACGCTTCCGACTTTGCCAACAAGTGGGTTCGGACGACGCCCTCCGACGACGGTCTCGTCTCTCTCGGAGGCTATCTGACCTTTTGGGGGTGGACCTACATCATTGTCACCATTGGCCTGGGCCTGCTCAAGCGCGAGGAGAAGTCGCAGAACGAAGATGGCGTCTGGGACGTCTACCGCATCATGTGGGGGATTCTCAAGCTGCGCAACGTGCAGACCATCATCATCGTGCACCTCATTGCCAAGATTGGCTTCCAGGCCAACGACGGCGTGACGAATCTCAAGCTGCTCGACAAGGGCTTCGGCAAGGACAATATGGCTCTTACTGTGCTCATCGACTTTCCCTTTGAGATTGGTGTCGGATACTACGCCGGCATGTGGTCGCAAAAGTACACGCCCATGCGGCTGTGGTGCTGGGGCTTTGCGGGCCGTCTGCTGGCCGCGCTGATTGCGCAGGTCACGGTGGCCATGTTCCCTGCGGAAGGGGTGACGACGTGGTATCTCCTTGTTGTCATTGGCGAACATGTCTTTTCGACGTTTACAAACACAATCATGTTTGTGGCCGTCTCGGCCTTCCACGCCAAGGTTTCAGATCCGGTTATTGGAGGCACTTATATGACGCTCCTCGCAACGTGAGTCTTTCATCTCCTTTTAGGGTACCTTGACAGTTACTGACAATTCTCCTTCTATAGCGTCTCTAACCTTGGAGGTACATTCCCTCGCTACTTCGTCTTGAAGCTTGTAGACTCCTTTACCGTCGCGACATGCCACCCCGGCTCGCCGGGCACGAGCAACCTGAAGGGCCCGCTTGTCACGGAGCCCTTTTCGTGCGCTATTCAGGGAGAAAAGGAGCGGTGCCTGAACGGCGGCGGCAGCTGCGAGATGGTTCGTGACGGGTACTACACCGTCAACATCCTCTGCGTCTTGTTTGGTGTGGCGACATTTGTGTGGTATATCAAGCCCAAGGTGTTGCACTTGCAGAGCCTGCCGCTGAGAGCGTGGAGATTGGCGGGGAGCGGCAGCAGCAAATAGAGAAACGCATTGTGTATGAGTGGGCAATAACAGCCACTGAATGATCATATATGTATATAGATACCTTATGAAATCTCATCAATGTCGACTTGGCTCCTGTTAGATTTCGTGGATGCGTAACATGCACGGTGGAAGCGACAATAAATACTACTATCTGCCTCGGTCGGGTACCTTATGTTGTTGAGAGCAGCCTTGTCTGGGTGCTACCTTTATGCGGAGCCGAAAGCCGGTTGCGGCGCCGGTTCGGAATTTCGGCCCATGGGCATTTTGTGCCGGAGCCGGCAGAGTGGCTCGGCCAAACTGTCACCACCTGAAAGGGACATTCCGGGTCTGTATGGTCGAGTTTGTGGCAGATGCTGTTGGTGTTGGTGGGAGGAGACTTTTAGCTGCAGATCTTGCGTCACTCTTGATGCTCGTTAACTGGATTATCATCATCCATCACCTTGGGACATGCTCGTATGATTGGTACGAGAAGAGAGACTTGCCTTGTGTAACACAGTTGGCTCAGTTGGCTTGGCTAAGTATGTCATGATGGGAGCTGCTTCGTAGTTGTGAGCACACCTAGGATATATGTATGAGACGCCGCGATGCGAGTTGCTTGCCGTGTTTCTTCCTTCTTTCGCTTCCAAGATACATTCAACTTCAATCGCCGTGTTGATTCTATTGGTCTTTCTGCCTGCCCGTTCGCAAACAAGGCACCTTCCATTGTCTGCCTCTCGCTAGTCGCTCTTTCCCGCTCCGGAGCTGACCATTCTCCCTTATCTGATAACCCCGCCGTACCTTTAACCTCTAATACGAGCAACGTCCTCCCACCTTATTTGAACCTCCAACTTCATTTGGTAGCCTTGCATCCAAAACAACAACTGCTGCTACCTACTGCATACGTCTTTGCTTCTCAACACCACGCCGGACATTATGCCTGCGTCAGAATCCCTCCAGGCCGAGGACGCCTATTTCGCAACCAATCCCCCTCCTAAGCAGCTGGCCGCTCACACTGCGCTAGCCGAGGCTTTCATCACGCAACATGCTGCGGCCAACCGGCGCGTGGTTCTCGTCACCTCTGGAGGAACGACTGTTCCCCTGGAGAAGAATACCGTGAGATTTATCGACGTATGTGAAGCATCTTTGCTCGCCTCTCTGGGGGTCTCGTCTCTTGTCTCTTGTCTTGTTCTATTTCATCATCAATTGGGATGACGTCGTCACAAGAAATATGCTAAGGTTCCATCACTATCAAACCAGAACTTCTCTGCCGGAACCCGTGGTGCTACTAGTGCCGAGTACTTCCTCTCGGCTGGATACGCCGTCATCTTCCTCCACCGCCAGTTCAGCCTCCTCCCTTACTCCCGCCATTACTCCCATTCCACCGACTGTCTCCTCGACCTCCTCGAAGAGGATTCCGACGGCCGCGTCGCTGTTAGGCCCAGCGACTCGGGCAGGATCCTAGACGTACTGCGCAAGTACCAGAGCGCCCGCCGCGACAACATGCTGCTGCTGCTGCCCTTTGTCACCATTGGCGATTACCTGCACGAGCTCCGCGCCATCGCCCGGCTTATGGCGCCGCTTGGCTCGGCTGGCCTGCTCTATCTGGCAGCTGCAGTGTCAGATTTCTTCGTCCCGCCGGAGCGCCTCTCCGAGCACAAGATCCAGTCAACCAACATTGTTGAGAGGCTCTACCCCGAGGACAAGTCGTCACCGTCGCCACAGATAGAAGACGAAGAGACTTTTGACAATTTCGATGCCTCCCCCCGCGTGCCGCGCTCCAAGCGCCTCATTATAGATCTGGACCCTGTCCCCAAGTTCCTCAAGAGCCTTGTCGAAGGCTGGGCTCCCTTGGGCATGATTGTCAGCTTCAAGCTGGAGACGGATCCTCGGATCCTCGTCCACAAGGCACGCTACAGCCTTGAGCGCTACCAGCATCATCTCGTCATCGGGAACCTGCTTTCCACGCGCAAATGGGAAGTTGTCTTTGTCGCCCCAGGCCGCGAGGACCAGTGGCTCCGCGTCGCCCGACGTGGCGGCTGGGGCGATGCCGAGGGGCGGCCGCTTCGACCGGACGAGGTGCCAGAGGGAGACCCGGAAGAGGAGATTGAAGCTCTCATTATACCAGCGGTGGCAGAACTTCACAATGATCACATTGCCAAGTCAAACAGCGTTGAGCAAACATAGATTCAACAAAACCCAATCTTTTTCAAGATGGGGGGCAGTCACATTTACCGAACTGGATATACAGCAGCAGAGAAAAGGACTGACAGGATCAGTAGGAGCGAGAGTTCTCAATTCTCGGAGAGAAGGGGTCCTGTACTAAAGGCCATGGACTTCACGATACCAGCAGCAACCTCGGGGGCATCTCAATATATGTCATTTAATTCGCTTTTCACCAATTTTCGGCTCCCTATATGCGGCCTAGATGACACACCTGCAGAACGGTGTGCTTACAAACAAACAAGCCAAAACGCGATGCCAATGCAAACATGAGTTTTTCCCTTCATTACGTGAAAACAATTCCTTTTTTCTTCATCATGATGAACCGAAACGCCAGCGCCGAACCTTGTGGATACCTGTCCATGAACCTGGTCATGATCTCCGCTTCCCGTCCTGCAAAGATGAACGACAAAAATCGACGGGAGCAACTGAAAAGGGGCGGGTGACTGTGCTTGCTTGTTGTCTCTATGAGAGACGAAAGATGAACTGTCTCAACCAATCAATACCTGGCACGCCAGTTTCTCCAACCAAGCTGCCACGTCTTGGCGAGAACGAGAAAGAAGGCTGATCCAACGTAGATGCAGCTGGTGAAGATGATGAGGCCCGTGTAGGAGCCGCCGTCGGCTTGAACGATGCTGCCGGCAATGGGGATGCCGATGAGGCACGCAAACGACACGACCGTGTACGTGGTGGCATAGTATCGGCCGTATTCCTGCGTCTTACACATGCGGCCGATGCACACTGGCGCAATGGCAATGCTATTGCCGCTCCCGAAGCCAAAGAGCAAGGAGAAGACGATGATGCCGGCCTTTGTGTGGCCCAGAGGCAGCCAAACACACAGGCAAGACACCAGAGAGAGCGCCACGGAGAAGAGGCACACGTTGAAGGCTCCAACGACGTCGGCATAGTATCCTGGGAGTGCTCGGCCAATGACGGACCCGGCGTTCATGATTGGCAGGAGGTGGTAGGCGAACGCGGTGTCAAAGCCCCGGTCCTGAGCGTAGGTGGCGATGTAGGTCAAGGGGATGAAGAGCGAGAACTCCAACAGGAAGATGGCCAGGGTCGTCAGGAGGAAGGGGATCTGCTTGAAGATGCGAAAGTCGGGATGGGCCTTTGCGTTCTGGGCCGGGGGGAGACGGGATCGAACGAGACTGATGCCGATGAGCCCGCACACGAGGCAGATCAAGGCGAGCACTCGAGTGGCCCAGCCGTAGCCGATGCGGTCGAACAAGGCGGTGAGCATGAGGGGGAAGACTATGCCTCCAATTCCTCCCGCCGTCGACGCAAGACCAGTGGCGAAGCCTCGTCTGGCCTTGAACCAGTGACCCACTGCGGCGATGCATGGGGTGAAGGTGAGCGAGGTGCCCAGGCCGCCGAGAATGCCAAAGGACAGGATGAACTGATACAGCTCTGAGAATGGAAGTTAGCCTTTAGGCACAAGGAAAGGGGCAAGATGATGAACAAGGGTGGATTGCACACAAACATTGGACAACAAAGCAGAATGGAAAGACAGGAAAATGAAAGAGATGGAGCGTGATTTGACTCATTGGTGTGAACATCAAAGCATGGAAACATTTGAACAAGATCGTACCTGTACAAAAGCTCATGCCAACCAGGGCGCCAACGGTACACACGCATCCAGCGACGACTAACCATCTTGGACCGTACTTGTCAAAGACGGGGCCGATATAGACGCCACCGAAAAAGGCCAGCCAGGTGTAGATGGAGAAGATCCAGCCGACGGTGCCCTCGCTATAGTCCTTGAGCTGGTGACTGAGCGTGTAGGCCTGGAAGACGGCGATGCTATTCATCAGGCCCATGGAGGCGATCATTGCGAACCAGGAGCCCGCCACGACGAGCCATGCCTGGAGTCCGCCCTCGGGATAGGTCTCTTGGTACGATGCCGTCGATCTCATCGTCTGTTGTCGTTCTAGATCTTGGCTGGAGTGCTGCTGAGGATGCTCTGCCGCGGTGACAGTCTTTTCAGGAACGCCAACCGACTCTTTCTCGTCTGACGACGAGCCAAAGCTGTTCATCTCGGGCTCGGGCTCGGGCTCGGCATCATCGTGAATCGCTCTCGAGTTGACCTGGAGGGCGTCCATTGTGTCTGGGCTTTCTCCCTCTGTTGGCCCTCCCCAGAAGAGTTGTCGAAATTTAGCTGTGCTTGATTTTCGGCTTCCAGGAGTCAGAGAGAATCAACAACAATCAACAATAAGTCTAATGATGAAAGAACTGTCGACAGCTGTATCCAAGTTGTTGTCGATAGTGGCCAAACAGGATGGAGAGGAGGCGGGTGTGTGAAGATGAAAAGGATAGGAAGCAAAAGGGGCAAAAGAAGCTTTCTGAGCTGCCTTGTCGTGTCGAGGACGGATGAAGCAGAACACGAGAAAGGAGGAAGAACAGAGGTTGAGCCAGTGAAGCAAGGTCTTGGCTTTTTGGACGCTGCCAACTTGTCAAGCCGGCGCCCTACGAGTATGGATGCTAATCGTTTATATCCGCGGGCGGCGTGGGGCGACAAACCCGTTTGTCGGAGTGGAACCCAGGCACCAGGTCGAAGAGCTCGCGCGCCGAGGACTCAATGGCACCAAGGCCGTGTGTAGGTAATGGAAACTCGCCATTTGCTCCTCGCCAGTTCCACCGCCAGCCTCCCTCTCCTAGTTACAGACGCGGGATCTTGTCCTTTCTGACAGGGCAGAACTTTTCCATTCTTCTCTCCGTTTTCTACGATGGTCCACTTCTTTGGTTATCGCCGGTTGAAATGCAGCTTATTCTGCATGCTCGATCGACTTTGTCAGCCGAGGTGACTAGTATATGCAATGAGATCGGGCATCGTGGAAATGGCGTAGTATCCGGGTTTGGCTTCCCAACATGGCCGCTGGTGCTTTCAGTTCTTGATAACAGCCATCTCGTGTACGAGCAACAGCCCGACTAACACAATACAACAACAACAACAACCCGAGTCTCACGCCTCCCGTTCATGCAAAGGCACGATGCTGCAATTAAGCATCTCGGCAATCATTGGGCTAGTCTCCATGACCCCAGAACAAAGAAAACGAGATCCGCCCCCAAGCTGCCGCCTCCCGAGAGAGCCCGAGGGGCGCTGCCAAGTCATAGCTGAGATTAGCGGCTCCTTGGTGGTTTTTTTTTTTCCTGCGGGAGACGGAGCACTCCGGGCTGCTCCACCTATCGGAAGTCTCCATTGTGGAGGATGAAATGGGGGCGAAGACGAAGAAAACTTCCTTGTATGGAGCTTTTCATATACTTTGTACGTCAGAAAATGACACGAAGTTGGACACTGCGGTTGTCGAAGGCGCGGAATTCAGGTGAAAGAGGGTCAATGAGAATCAAAAGATCTCGGAACGGGGTCTTCATCATCTTTTTTCTTACCTCACAAGAAAAATGACTGTTGGGTAAGAAGAGGACTGGAGAGCTTGAGGTGAGTATAAAAAAATCATGCATCTGCGTGGCATTGGAATTGCATCATCCGACAGGCTCTTCCATCCCATCTGTGTGGCCGGCTAACCCAACAGGAACTAACTTTTACCAGAGCCTCGGGATGCCGTTGCAGCGAGTGCCACAGTACCTTGTGCTGAAGACTCTGATTCGTCGGGCATGAGGGCCACCAATCGGTATCACGGACAACCTCACATGATCATACTCTCATTATTGCCGACTCAAACGGCTCGAGGGAATAACGGAACTGACCTTGACTTGTTTATCCATCCCTCATGAGACTCAAGCCAATGAGCTCGACTATCGACTATGTAACACATGAATGAAACTCGTCCAAATACGCCGTGACCTGAAACCGGAATGCGCCAAACCATGCAAACAAGACGAAACGAGATGGCGGCTATCACGCCTCTCATGCTTCCTCATCTTCCACTTCCTCCATCATGACGTGACGAGAAGCCATTTGGGCGTCTTCGTCCTCTTGTGCTCCCCCAGCCCCATCGCCATTTCGCCCACCAGCTGAGGCCGTTTTCAGGTATCCCTCCCTCTCGAGCCGATCTGCCTCCTCCGGCTCCATCAGCCCGCCCTGCCCTTTGCCCTTGCTCATCTTCAACTGCACCGACGTGGGAACAAACGCCGAGACGGCTTCCTTCCTGAGATCTCTCACCACCGGCTTCGCCTCGTAGACCGTCTTGGGCTCCACTGGCGGCGCATTCTTCTGTCCCCTTTCTCCCTTGGTGTCCTTGCCGTTTTCTTGGCCGTCCCGCGCCTCATCACCGCTCGTTTCGCGTCGCCTGGCCGCATTCTCGGCTTCCCGCTTCGCCCTCCGCTTCGCGTACCACTTGTCCATCTCGGCCTTTGGTATCGGCGGCGGTGTGTCCCTCGGCATGGGTATCCTCTTCACGTCCTCCGGAACGTCTTCGTCGCTGCTCGAATCGTCGTCACCGCCGCGCCTCCGCTTGCCCAGCGCTCCCCCGGACCTCGAGCCGTCCCAGGTGCCGCGACCAAAGCTCGGCGCCTTGTCCCCCAGCGCGTCCCTGGCCTTGCGCACCAGCTGCAGCTCCTTCTCCAGGCCCTCGAGGACCTGCTCCTCGTGGCGCGTCAGCTTCCCTCCCTTGGCGACCACGGCCTTGAGGTCGTCGATTTGCTTCTGGATGCGCTCCGGGTTCTTGCGCGCGAGCTTCTCATTGCGACGGCTTTGCGCTTCGGCCTTTCCTGTTGAGGGTGAAAGGGCAACTTTGTTAGTCTTCCTTTCTTTTCCTTACAGATTAGGGTGAGAGAGGGGTGGAATTCCCGACGTGCCTTTTTTGATCTCGCGGGCCTTGTCAGCTTTGCGCTGGGCTTGTACCGGGTTGTAGTTCTTTTCTTTGGGCATGGCTCTCGGTAGGTTGCAGATGGGAATCTGCTCCTCGGTTGGGGTTTGCTGTTTCGTTCGCTCTTGTCGCCTGTGGTGATTCGGAATGCGTACTATGAACTATCTTTCGATGCAATTGCTATGCGAAAATGAGCAAAGACTGGGCTGGCGTCGGATTATCGAAAGATGTTGATGTTCGCTTCTTGGTTTGTTTCTTTTCCGAGTTGAGAGAGGTCGAATGCTGGTAGAGGTCATAGTGGGGCCGAGGGAAGCTTGTGGGTGACTAAGCGGAGCGGCTACCGACGCTTGCTTCTTGGTGAAGACCTCGTACGAATACGAAGTTGTACTGAGGTTGAATGTCGAGAAGAAGAACATCGTGGCCTGCAATGCAATACGACTACCTACATATCTGCTCTTTGCATTATTTCATGGAAAACCTCATAGTACTGTGTGTATTTCCTATCTGCTACGTCTCATGATGCTGAAAATGTACTGTTGTGTCCATCTTGTGACGACCTACCTACCCTAGGAAATACTCGAGATTCCACTTCTGTGTAAGAGTGTGATATAGGAGAAAGTGTTGATGAATGTGGCAAACCCTCTCATCAGAATCCTGAGAAGCATTCCAGGATAGGATGAAATGTTACTCTGTGTTTGACCATTGCTTTGCATCGTCAATACATGGACACGCAAGTAAAAGACATGTCAGTGTCGGAATAACAGAAATACAAAGAAGGAATTCCACGTCCTGGACCCAGGGCGTTGCTCCAGTATCATAGGAAGGATTAGGACAAGGCAGTAACATATTGAGGGCTTCCGTAGCTCAGTTGGTTAGAGCTTCGTACTAATACTCCAGCCTCCAAGCTAAGTGTTGGTAATGCGAAGGTCGCAGGTTCAAGCCCTGCCGGGAGCAAAACATCCCAGTTGCCCTATTTTTTGCTTTTTGCTGATTTTTCTTTCGTTCTTATTCTAATTAACAATTTATCTCTTTTTTCGATTCAAATGGTCCGATTCGAGCCTATATCTGTCTGTCTGACCGTCTGAGTATATAGGTGGAATTAGGGGCTAGTTTCGGGAAAACCTACCTATGGTGGACCCGGTGCGACGACTATGCGAGGAATACTCGCAAGTTCTTCCCTTGAGTTCAATTTCACGCCCCATCACAGCATACATATTCCATATCATATATGGCATGTTCTTGATTAAATTCCGCTGCCGCTAATAATTTCTCATCAGATCAAAGGCTGAAGAAGGAGAATGCTTTTCAGTAACTTTATATACGTCCATCCAGGACGAAGAAAAGAAAAAGAAAGAATGAAAGAAGCAAAAAAGGACAAAAACATACAACAGCCGGTGTTCGCTGGTGGTCACCCACCCAACTACTAATCTGCCGGTTAGAGGCTTATCTATGGGGGAGCAGACGGGACCCCGAGCTCTCCTCTACCTATGGTCGTATGTGCTTGGAGTTGTGAGTTCCAGGCTCATATCGCCTTCGTCTAAACGCCCGAGACCGAATGTTTGATGACCTCAACCCCGTGCAAAGGGGGAAGAGCTAACCAAATCGAAGCAGCCTTGCCCATGTTGATCGGATCAAGCATACATCAACACAAGCAATATACCCAAAAGGCCCAGAAGAGGCATATTTGTATGCAAACGTCTGGCAGAATTCTGCTCCGGCCTCTGAGGATCGTCTCCCACCGGAGCCGTGATCCAATGCTGCGGGATTTGAGCAATAAAGTCATACCAGTAGTGTCCGAGCAGCTGATATCCTTCATTGGTTGGATGGATACAGTCTCTCAGGTCGTCCAGCGGAAACGTCGTAAAGTCCACCGCCAGCACGTGCTTTCCAGCTTTGAGCTTCGGCGCTACCACTTTGGGGATCAACGACTGAAACACCTTCGTCTGCGGTGCTTGCTCGGCTTTGCAAGTCCCGATGATCATGGCGACAAGAATGACGGCGTCCGGACACGATGCCGTCATCTTGTCAACCAGGCGTCCGAGACGCTCAGACGCAGCTATTGGGTCGTGACCCTCGGTGGAAATGGAGCTGTTGGGATTCATGTCATTAGTCCCAGCGTGAAGCAGGATGATATTTGGACGTTGCTCAAGCGAGGGCGTGACATGGTCCGAGATGTACTGGATCGTCTTGCCGTTCCACGCAGCCTAGCAGTGGATCGAGGATGAAGTCGATTAGCTTATGAGTCGACACAGGTACCAATCCGCCTGCATCTCATGAGCATCCCATGAGACACATATACAGACTGCAGTGAGGGGTTGTTTCTGTTCCATACAAACCAGCCATCCGTCATGTTCCCGGTAGGTGATGTCTCTGTGCCTGCGAACACAACCTTGTCTTCTGCACTCAGTGTATTAGCATTTAAGATATGGTTAATGAAAGCCAGCAACAACCCTGGCAAGTCAGAATTTGTCTCTCACTTGATAAAAGCTCCCGAAGACGTAGCCTGTATCCATTTCCGTCACCGCCGTCTTGGTCGCTCAGGAAGCCGTAGGTGATTGAATCTCCAACGGGAAGAATACGGAGCTCAGTTCCTGGTTTGATCGGCTTCCCTGGCGCGGTATTCACCAACTTTAGCGGAACCGTCGGCGACTGGACATCGCTCACAGCGGATTGGTTCGAAAGCTGCGGTGCGAGAGTCCGTGCCGTAGTCACATCAACAGCTATGAGCAGATGCAGCGTTGCGACTGCGGTTAACCAGGAGCCTCTCATCGAGAGAGATATTCGCTCATTAGTGAGAGCCAAGGCGAAGCGGGACGGCCGTGGGAGTGAGTACGGTAAAGCGCGCCAGTTCAGGGACGATGAATAGCAAAACCATGTCCTGGGTAGTCCTTACTTTTTCTCCTCCTTCTTCGACCAAGGCTCTTAGATTTCATCTATTCCTTTGCACACAGACCCGCTGGTTCGTCGACGTCAGTGATGGAACTGGAAGACGTCCACATTTCCGCACGCAGAAAGAGTAAGGATCGGCTCCCCTGGGCGATGCTGGGGGTTCTTGGAAGATCGACGGCCACTTAGAGGCTAGGCGTGAAGCAACGATTGATGAAAAACATGAAGGCCAGTCGCAGAGAGCTGATCGAGGCTTCTCTTTGACCAGATGGTGGTAAACAGGACGTGTACTTTCCCCAGGATAATCCACCGCTCGCGCTTGGGCACAACTCATGCGCCGTACCTTAGGTCGATGAGAGAGAGCAGAGCTACAACATGTAGTTGCTCGAGCCATCACATGAGCTTTCACAGCAATTGTAACCCGCTATGTAGACAACATCGTGGACTTGTCAGCCTGAGCTTCGAGAATCTCCTGCGAGGATACGTAATAGGGATCAACAAACAGTAAGTCGGGCGTCAGAAAGAACCGCTGCCTGACAAGAAATCCAAGCCTTGATTCAATCGACCAAAGCCTATGGGAGGGAATCTGGCCTCTAACAAGTCTATTGCTAGAAAGAAGCTCGGTCTAGAAGTTAGGTAAGTCAGGATAGGGCTCGTACAACTTTGGTGTAACTGTCACACTTACATCCAAGAGACCCTATGTGTGTGACGGTCAGCGGCGAGGGAATTGTGGCGGGCAACTGCCGGATCTTATGGAAGTCTCCGCCTGTCAACCACCGTTTATGTTTAGCCGTCAAAACGAAATGCCTGCTTCCGATGGCTGGCGGCTGAGGTGTCTCGGCAGATTAGACCGAGTGTAACCCCAGATTCGAGGCCATTTCGCATGTTACTTGGAGCACGAACTGAAAAAAAGAGGGCAAAAGTATAACGGATGAATGGAATGATGAAAGAGAAGGACTTGGAGTTTGTTCACCCCAAGTCCCCTTGTGTGTCGTCCAAGGGGCTGGCTGATTGTAGCCGGTGGCGCTTGACTATGCCCGGGCTGACTAGATTCTCAGTTCTTCGTTGGTTGAGCCATCATAGTGACCCTGAATACTTGTTTCCGTGGCGTCAATTGACAGGCCCAAAGCTGCATCCAGAGCCCCGGATGTCTGAGACTATTAGGTCGTGGCTGCTGAGTCTTACCAGGTAGGACCTAGTATGCACCTTGTCAACGAGCGTGGCGTACAGCAACTCCCTATTCTTCGTAGGGCTCTGTAGTTGCTGTATGAGCAGACGCAGATGCTGGAGAGATCGAAGTAAGCAATGCGCAAGTAGTATTCCAGACGTCGTACGAACACCAGCAGAGACATGAAACATCCGGGATCGGTTTGATGCCGATATGCATGCAGGGTCCGGGAAACGATCGCTTGGAGCTTGGCCCGGGACATCTTCATGTCTCTGTTGGAATTCCGAGACTAGCCGGGATATATCGGCCCTATAACGATACCTAGAGTGACGGAGTTGGTAGTAATGTGCAGAGGTACAGTAGTCACCAAGCCTTCGTGGGCTGGAGCGTGGGGTGGTCAAGAGCAGGCCATCCGGCGCCCGTCAATCATTGCAAATCCGGCTTTGAGAATAGCCGGCCTTTGAGCCATGATATTCACCATGATCAGGGTCGTCATGTGAGCCGTCATAAGCGTGAGCCAAGTAGCATCCAAAGCGTCAAGGTCATCTCATCCCCCACTGCCAAACAGGCCGTCGATGCATACCCAAGTGTTACCACCACATGGGCAGACAAGTTTGTGATGCGTACGTTATTCCTTCGTACACGATATCATTGAGATGACATGAACACGTTACACAAGAATAATCACCCAAGTCCGCATACTTTTATGAATCAATCAAAATGCGGCCGCCCGCATCGTACCTGTATTTCGGTGGCCGGGCCATTTGGCGACGAGCTGGGTCTGGTGATGTTGATTGGCCCTGTATCATGACGAGTGCATCATGCAACATGCAAGCATGCACCACCACCACATGCGACCAGCCGGCCAATCTGCTGTACGTATGTATGGACCCAGAATGCAGGCAGCCTTTGTCCTCTGGTCGTGGTGGGGGGGCCCTCTCCGGCAAGAAGCGCCACTCGCAGGATCCCTCAAAGAGCCTAAATCGGTGAGCCGCTGTTCCAGTAGGGTAAAAATAGAGAGGCACGAGGGATCGCGGAACAGCGAGCCGGGTAAGAATGGGTGTGGCCCTTCGGGGTTAGATCCCGAGGCCATGCGCGCTGCGCCGTAAGGACACGCCTTGGACCTGTAGTGACGTTCGTGACGAGCATCATACTCTCCATGCCTTGATGAACTTGGCTCGGAACTATTCAGTAGCGAGTCTGTGGCGCACCGGACATGAACAGAACATAGATAGCCTGAATTGGACAGGATCCAGGAACCGCAGCGTGGAAGCCAGTCTGTAGGCGATCGAGGAGAAAGCAGCACATGTAAGTACTCCTCTCGAGTCCTACTTGTGGCAGCTCGCGGCAATTCTCGTCTTCGGCGTTTTGGTTCAGCACACACACGCAAAGGACAAGCACACACACAGCTCGTACATGTACGTGTACATCGACGAGTTCTTGCCGCTCGAGTCCTGTCGAGTTGCTCTTCGCTTTGTCTCCCTTGCGTGGCCTGGGCTGGCCCGCATGGCTAATGCCCGCCCGCCCGAGCACCCTGCCCGACGGCTCGTTAGCTGCTCGGAGAGAACGTGGGAGCACAGGGTAGTAGCACTTGAAATGTTGACTGCCTGGCTGAGGAATCGGGAAGTGGAATGGGCAGACGAGAGAAAGACGAGAGATGAGGTACTTCATACGAATACCTTGACAAATCCAAGCTGTTGCTCTTTGTGCCCACGGTCGTCCATTACCGACGGCTTGCCTCTCTCAGCTAGCACCGGCCGCGCTCGTCCAATAGCGGCGTCGCGGTGCCATGATTGGTGCCTGTGCAGCCTTTTTGCCGGACTCAGGCGGCCAGGGTAGCTGGTCGATGCACAAGGATTGGCGATTCCGATGCACGAGAACGAACCGGCTCGAGCGCGTGGCCCGCTGCCAGCTACCCAGCGGGGTGGGGGCAGCAGGCCAACGAGCAGCCGAAGGACGAGACAGCCTTCGGGGGTAAGAAGGGCCTGAGCATCGCGAGGGCTGCAAGGGAGGGAGGCGGCTAGTATGTAGTTGGCTAGGTAGAGAAGAAGAGGAGGGAGGGGGAGGGCAACCTGTTCTTGCTTGTGTGGCGCTGTTTTGGGGCATAGAGGGGAGAAAGAGAAACATGCCGGTAGTATTACTGCTGAAGGAAGAAGACGCAGGAGGAGAGAAGAGGTCGAGACATGAGGGGCTGGAGGGGCTTGGAGATGGAGTCCCACAAGCACATGTCAGAGGAGTTGGTCAGCGAGATAAAGCTGCCGCTAGCAGATAAGAGCGGGAAGAACCACCGGCTGCATCAAGGCTGTAGTAGTTGTACTGCAGTACAAGTACGTATTTCATCGGCTGTGCCAGATGCATCGGCTTCCCGCGGTGCGTCACAAGCCGCTGCGAGGAGCTTCATATTAGACAGTGCTGGAGTCTCATGTAAGTTGAAGAGTAGTAGTAGCTGCATCGCGCTGCGTCAAGATATCCTGAACAGTTAGTGGAAGGACCTGGTTGTGCGTACTCAACGTACCTTACCTGAAGCAAGACGGGAGCCTCAAAGTCGCTGCCTCTATAAGGGACCTACCAAGTTCCAACGGTGGCCACAAGAGTAGCGCCACGGGCTGATGCTGAGGCCAAAGACGGCGTCAATAAATTGACAGAGGATGCAACAGCCACGCGGCTTCATCACTGGCCGATGCTTTGCCTGTTTTGGCCTCGTCTTCCACGCTCGCTGCCAGCCATTCCTACCTACCAGCACTTCCAACGAAGCAGTTGTACAAGTATGAGGATGCCGCGAGGGGAGTTTCTGTCCTACTAATAGCAGCAATTAATGGTATTCCATTTTCATTGATTTCTTTGCCTCCCCCACGCCCAGAGCCCCCACAAGGCAGCGCAGACTCGGACTAGGGTCCGGTCCCTCAACAGCCGTTGCGTTGCATGCTTGCAATGCCCACCTCCATCGTGAGACCCTTGTCTTGGACCGGTGGACGTTCTCGTCGCGCGACAGAGTGCGAGCACGGTACCGGTACGCACTCGTAGTGAAGACGCCCAGTCTTACTGGGTACCGAGTACGAAACACGCAACACGGCGGCTGTGAAGCGGGAGCAGCGGTCCATCGGCGCGGGGACGAGGTCAAAGCCTGGACTCCAAAGGGGAAAAGCTGCCGGAGCGGTTTGCTGCAAAGCAGAGGTGCTTGCTAGTGGATTGATGCTGAGTTAGTCTTCTCGTACACTCCAGTTCGTACATGATTCTGAAATACTGGAGTATCAACTCGGACTTCGATTTCGGCGGCACCAAAACAGCAGTCAGGAGAGGTGCTTCCTCAACTGCCAAGTTCGCTCTGCCATCTGTAGGATCGCCCAGAGAGCCATGAAATCTTGTTTTTTTGATCAGTCAGTCTCGGGCCTAGAGCACAAATACAGACTCACGCCGACCAGCTCTTTGACTGGAGCAACAAGCTGAATGCTCGAGCTGCAAAGGCAAACGGCCGAAAACAAGGCACATCAGGGAACTTTGCCTTCCCCGCTCCACAACCGCGTCTATCGTTGTCCGGTCCCTGGCTTGCGTGCATCATCCTGTACCCGGTCTGCGAATCATGATTTGCTGTGCTCTCCTGATCGTCCTGATCACGCTGCTTGTGGCTGCATTGACGGAGAACATAGATCGTCCCCGACCTGCTCAAGTGTGCGTTGCCTTGGCTGGGTACTCTCGACTTGGGATGAAGTTCCAACCGCTACCGCAGCATCATCCGCTCTCGTACATGTACATCCCGTCTACCAATGGACCAACGCTTCAAGTTATTACCGTAAGGTAGTAGCGAGTCCAAGATGGTCTCAGGGCCTCGGGATGGTGGGGCCCGATGGGTGGAGCCCATTTAGCAGAAGCGCAGCTCCGTTCTCGGTACAAACGACACTCGTCTGCAGTAACTACCCTTGAGGGTCCTGCTTGGCAGATTGCGAACATGGATTATTGGTACCGAAATCTAGTTCCCCTCGTCTTTTGCTAATTTTTCCGTGTTATTTCTCGGCGCCATATTTGCTCTGCTGCATTTTGAGCGCTTGGGAGAATGTGAGAGGTGATTGTACAGACGGATATCCTGAACACACAAGGAACAGGTAGGTGCTACCTGGAGGAGCAAATGGTGCCCTGTTCCGTTAGCAGTCCATTTCTAAACGTGGTACCCAGTACCTCGCCTCTGAGGTCTCCAATTCGCAGCAGGTCTGGAAGGCACCTGCAGTACGAGCGCCATGTTCGACTCGAGCACATGCCAACGGTGAAATAGAGGGAACCAATACTTACATGTACTCGGTCTCAGTACTCTTACTGTGCCTTGAGAATTGGAGTCGGAAAGTACCCTATCCGTACCTGAGTGGGACCCGACGGCTGCGAGCCACGAGGGTCCCTTCCACGTCCAAGTCTGGTACGCCAAGTCCATGTATGAATACGCGGGCGCTCCGTCCAGAGTCATCCCAAACGCGGTCCGAAGCCCGGACGCATCTAGCGCGTAGAGGTACCCGAGACCTGGAGGCGAGGTCGCCACGGGCAGGCACCTGCCTGTCTGTAATCACCAGAAAGCGCGGCAGGTACGGGGGACGGGAGTATTATCGGTCAGTCTCCATCTTCACGTCCCCATTTTCGCTACTAACCGGCTTGCTGCTAGCAGGTCCTAGGCAATTCCCTAGAATCGAAGCATCAACGCCTTTTCTCGCCTTTGCTCTGACTCTGACTCTTGATTCTCTGGCTCCGGCTTTGGCTCTCGACCTTTCCTTATTTCCCGCAACCCTCCAGGGCGTCTCAGTCTCAGTCCCCGAGAGCAACAACTGCAAAGCGCCGCGGCCGGCCTCCGCCATCATCCCAGCCGGGCATAGCAACGCAAAGCCTCAGATCAAAACGGCATCGCTCCCCTCAGACGCTGAGACATTCGACCAGGGTCGGCAAGACACAAGGACAGACGCACGCGCTCGATCTGAGTCCACACCGAGGCCCTCTTTTCGGCGCCCAGGCCTGGGTAATACCTCACTCTCTACCTGCGAATACCACCTCTCCGTAATACATCGTCCGCGCTGGACGGCTCTTCGACAGACCAAGGCCGCCGACCTTGCTAACAATACCTTACCTTGCCTAGTACTGCTACTGGTGCATTTACTACGGGCACACATTCAAAGTACTGTACAAGTCCATACGTTCAAGCTTGAGATCTGTGCCTTGCTTGCTTTGCTCTCGCGATTGAAGCCAGAGGACCCGCCCGGCCAGAGTGCGGCGGTTCCCCCCAATTTCACTCATCCAAGCACCGGTCGGCGCCAGCTTTCTCTCTCTTCTCTCTCTTTTTCCCATTAGCCTTCTTACTTTCGCCTGTCACAGGCCGACGACGTCAAGCAGAAACTTGCAGGGGTACTCCGTACTGCTCTCACTCTTTTTTTCCCTCTCTTAATCCTCTCTTGTCACCCCTCCACCCGGACTCGCATCATCCTACGTACTTTACACACGGCATTCGGCGTGCACAGCACATCAAGGCGTAGCTTTCCCTGTCATTCGTCCCAGTTCATCCAGCAGGCGCCGTCCAGAGGGCTTCTCGCAAATCAATCAATCCATGGCAGCTGTCGGGCCGCTTGCGATGCACCCGACCGTCACAGAACACGATTACCGCTTCCCGCGAAGACCCGATCCTCATCGAAGTACCGACCGCATTTTCGCCCGCATGGATTCGCGAGACGACCATGTCGCACTCACCAACGGCAATGCCTCCGCCGCCGTGACGAGCGGGCAGGCCGCCGCGTCTCGCAAGAACAGCGTGCTCGACTCCGCCCTGTTCCCGTCTCTCGAGAACGCCGCCTCGGGCTCGTCCAGCAGCCTCGAGCAGATGCAGAGCGACGATCCGCTGGCGGCCCAGATCTGGAAGTTCTTCAACAGGACAAAGCAGCAGCTGCCGAACCAGCAGCGAATGGAGAACCTAACGTGGCGCATGATGGCCCTCAACCTGCGCAAGCGTCAGCAGCAGCAGCAACAGCAGCAGAAGACGCACAACAGGTATTATTATACTAGAATCTCCTTGCCGTCTGTCTCATGCCTCGCCATCCCAACCTGATTGGTCTGCTATTCTTTGCGTCGATGCCCATGTAAAAGGCTCGATGCGGCTTGGCTTTCCCTTTGGGGGGAGGGAAGCGGGTTCGCCCTTCATCACATCATCCCGCCGCTGGCTGACATGTTTTCTGATCCTCTCTTTCCCTGCATCACAGATCCCTCTCGCAACCGACGCAACCGCAGAGCGCTCCCAGCGGCATCGCCCAGCAGCTGCGAAAGACGTCCGATACCCATGCTGAGGGCATCGATGCCATGAACATTGACGACTTCATCTTCGCCGAAGAGGGAGGTGCCTCCGTCAAGGACAGCTCACCGCAGCCGCCCGCATCGTCTCTCTCCGGCTCGCAGACCGCTGCCACCAAGACCAGCAAATCATCCAGGCCGCTGGCTTCGGCAATCCCCATCAAGGGCCGCAAGGGCTCTTCTGCCAATCAATTCGTCGCCCAGTCCGTCCCTGTAGCGCCACCTCACCAGCGGGGACAATTTGATGAATTCCATTACGTCCCTCGACATGACAGGAAGACGAGTATAGACGACCGGCGGGTGAGTGCATCCGACTTTCATTGGAACAGGAGCCCCTACCCAGCGGATCAAGCCTTTCCAGTGCCCTCGCAACACTCTTCTTATTGCGTTTTCTTTTATTTATATACTTTCCCTTTTTCTTGTCCATGGCACGCCACGTTCCGCCCCAAACTCTGCCTTCTTAGCCTTTCTCCGTACCTTCTATATACCCCCGTCTTTCTATCTTTTGGACTGCCATCGTCGTTTCTCCCCGTGGATATTTATTCAATCTGCTTCTTCCTCTACATTATATATCAACCATCGTGGGCTATGAGAAATTGCTAACAATGCATCCGAAGACGAGGAAACGGCCTGCCAACTTCTCGCCCCATGTGAGCGCCATCAACACGAACGCGTCTGGCCTCAGCCTCGAGCTGGAAGCGGACCCAGACCTCAATGGGTACTCTCTCGACAACACAAACGCGATGACCATGCAGCAGCCCATGGCCAACAACCAAGGCTCTGCCTTCAATCTGGACTTCATGGACAGCGACGGCGTCCTTGGCTCTGCTCCGTTCCATCCCAACTTCTCCTTTTCTCCGTCGACATCTCCACTGGTGCATAATGGTCCTTTCCCCTCCGTGTACAACAACGCTGCGCTGCAATCCTCGCTGAACAACCCCGACTTTTACTCTCCGACTGGCTCTGGCTATCCTTCTGCCACCTCTACCCCACATCCGATGACCGAGGGCGACGGCGTCTATTTCGGCTCCCAAGATATACAGCACCATCAGCATCACCGTGCACCGGGCTTCCGACAGAGCTCCGGTAGCCTAAACCACCACATGAACCACCAGTTCATGTATGGCGATTCCAACGGCGGCAACAGCAGCGGCAGCGGCAATGGCGCTGCGTTCCCTTCCACAAGCGCCAGCTCTGAGGCAGTGGCATCATATAGCGTTGCCCAAACCTCCTTTGGGCACATCGACCCAAGCCAAGTGTTCCAGACAGACTCGCAGGTCGCATCTCCCATTCTGCCAATGCAGCAAGGAAACGTGCTTGGTTTTGGCGGAGAGTCCGATGAGGATGATGGCAGTGCCTTCTTAGACCGCGGTGGCGTTGGCCTCCACGGCGACTTCACATCTGCCGTCGACGAGGCAGGGACATTCAGCTGGGACGCCTCTCTGCCGGGACAATTCAGCACGCAAGCTGCTCGCTTCCCCGGCGGCCCAACTCGCAAGCACGTGCAGATTGGAAGCGTCACGACTGATTACGTCGACACCAGTAACGACTGGGACGGCCATAGCCTGAGCCGGTCACACTCGCAGACCCTCGGCATGGGCAACGACAAGCGACAAAACAGACTTCCTCGCAACTCGTCGACACCCTCGCACATGGCTGCCAAGCACAGCGGATTCGAGCAAATCGCTCAGTCTCTCCCCAGCTCGCCGGGTCCTCATGCTTCGGGAACCGCCTCCGGCTTTTCGTCAGTTGCGCCAAGCAGGCCAGCCTCACCGCCCCCAAGCTCCAAGCACGGCTCTTCGACCAACCTGCATGCGGCTGGTGGAAACCCCGGAGAGAACAGCACCCCCACCACATGCACCAACTGCTTCACCCAGACAACTCCGTTATGGAGACGAAACCCCGAGGGCCAGCCTCTCTGCAATGCCTGTGGTCTCTTCCTCAAGCTGCACGGCGTCGTGCGGCCCCTCAGCTTGAAGACGGACGTCATCAAGAAGAGAAACAGGGGTTCCGGTGCCAACCTTCCAGTCGGGGGATCGAGGAAGAAGAACGCGGGCAACGGCTCCAATGCCGCTTCGAGGAAGAACTCATCACTGTCCATGGCTGCCGCCGCCGCCGCGACCGCAGCCGTTGCTACGGCGAACCACCAAGCCGTGACACCGCCGTCCACGAACCGCCCCAGCAGCAACAAGGACGGCGATAGCCCCGCCAGCAGTGGACAACACACCGCGGGCAGCACGCCTGGCAGCCAGTACGGAGGAGCCACTATCGTGGGCGGCAAGGGCGTTGTGCCCATTGCTGCGGCGCCGCCAAAGACAACGCCTGGACCCGGAGCCTCGTCATCCATGTCCCGACCGGCCACGGCGTCCTCCAAAAGACAGCGCAGGCACAGCAAGAGCGAGGGCACTTCCTCGTCAGCCATGGACCTCGACAGCCCGGGAGACTCTATCGGACGACAGCTTGGTCCGACTCCCAGCATGCCTTCCATCTCTAGCACTATGCTTTCAAGTGGCAGTTTCTCTATGAGTCAACGCTCCATGATGGGATCGAGCATGGTGTCCATGGGTGGTTCCCAGGCCAACCTTGTGAACAGCGCCGGTAGCTCGTCAGGCCCTCAGGAATGGGAGTGGTTGACTATGAGTCTTTAAGAGAGGCTGGCGAGAGGCGAATACGACGTGAGATCGTCGATGCTGGACGAAGAAAAAAGGCGTACGGACAGTGTTCGGGTCAGCGTGAAGGGACGATGGCAGGCACGGAGAAGAAGCCGGCCACTGGCTCACACTGCAGAGTGGCTGGAATTGCTGCAGATGAGCTGAGGGCGGCGAGAAGGATACTGGGCGCTTTAATATGGGCATCTTCATGGCGTGTTGGTTCAAGAAATGATACCTGGGTCTGAATTTTGGGTTGCAAGTACGACTACTTTCGGAGGTTGACAATGGCTTTTATTCCTTATTTTCCTTTCTGTTTCTTTTCTGACTGGGCTTAAATATGGGCGGTGGCCTTTGAAGAGCAACTTTGGTTTGATATCCAGCAACTATGGTACAGAGGCAGGGGACGCTTGCTGAGAAGCTACCCACTCATGAACGCCAGGGGCAAGGTTCAACGATGCCACGATAACGGCCCCGCGTGTACGACCTGATGTCGGTATAATTTTGAGTTCCGTTGGAGGATAAACACGGAGACTGCTGCGGCTAAGGTGTGAAGCGAAGATGGAGCTGGTCGATACAACGCTGCAGTTTGATTTCCTCTTTGCCTTGCGAATCTTTTCATAGATCAATGTCGGGTGGATTGTGTGGGCGTTTTCCGTTTGCTTCTCAATTCAGAGTTCCCCAAGAGGGAGAGAGTTGTCTAGTACTTTGCCTTTTTTCCTTGAAGCCTGATTTCCCCGCCTTGGTTACTCGTCAATGATGTGGTTCGTTTTCAGCTTTGGATGAGGCACGCCCGCAGTTTTCGGTCCCCTTGCTTGTCTCTTTTTGTTTCTTTTCGCCACCTTATTTTTCTTTTCTTGAGATTCCCGACAGGAGAGGTTATCTACTTGACGAAGATTGGCTGCGGCGCAAGGGATACTCATAATCTCCTCCTTTCCTTCTCTCTTCTATTCTTCCTCTTTTTTTTGACGCCCTTTTTGGAATGACCGGATAATGACTTGAAAGGTACGACGAGGTGGTTGCAATCTGCTTCAGTTGGAAACGCGCGGATATAATCGTTGCTCGTTTCTTTTTTATGATGGCCGAAGATGTAGATAATGAGGCGCTTTGCGATTTTTGTAGGCAGGCTTGTGAAATGAATCAATGATGCTCAAAAGCTGGTGCTAGCGGCTGTGCGATCCTTAACCTGCTTGGTATTGGCAGTCTTTCCCCCCATCCTCTCCCACGCACTCACGCTAGCGAACGCATGCAAAGCTATACATTCAATTGTCTACCTGTGTACTATATACTCGTGCTCATTACTCCTACATGAATGCATCATACCGCCTCTGGAAACTGCCGAGATGCCAGCCGGCCAACGTGGCAGTCCGCCCATCCGGTCCTTTATACCATCACAAGTGAAAACTCTCGCCACCGGCGCCCCTTTTACGTCTTTTTTTATCTTCTTGTTCCATTTTCCCTCTCTGCAACTCCAACCCCGTGAAACACATAACAGCAACGAAATACAAAGGGGAGGGGCCAGAGACCAAGGAAATAAGAGGGAAAAGGCGATGTCTTATTAAAGAAGTAGCTTGGGGTTTAGCCCGTAGTCGACAAGTTCGGTTATCGCAACCAGAACGACAAGGGAAACGCAGTATAGAGAGAGCCGCGGCCAATTACAGAAGGGGAAAGAAGAATGAGGGAGACCTACCGCCCATCACTCAGAAAGGGTCGCCGCATAAACAATAACTGAACAATGATATATGGGCCAGATATATGGCTCCGGCAGAAAACACAAAGGAAAAGAGTGGTCGCCAATGGGTGTGTCAAAAGAGCCTTGCCGAGCGGAACGCGACCCCATGATAGACTTCTTTGTACAGCGATGTTCGGTTCTAAAACATGGTTCCAAACGAGTCATCAGTCGGGATGCGCTTCCGCGGGCTGACGCCGTCTTCGGTAGCCGGCTTGCGATGCCGGAACGTAAAGCCGACGAAGAGGCTCTTGCTCATCTCTTCCTCACGCTCGGCCATGGACTCGAGCGCCGCTTGCTTGTCGTGTACCTCCTTGTACTTGGCCATGTCGGCGTCGTTGCCAAAGTCGTCAAAGTAGCCAGCGTCCGTTTCCGAGTCAAGCTCCGGCACAAACGGCGCCCGCGTCTGCCGAAGGGTGGCCCAATCTACCTCGGAAAAGTACTGGTGGGCGTAGATGTCCTTGATGACGGAGAAGCGTTTGGCCCGCGAATTGATGCACCTGATACCATGATTGTGTTAGCTTGGAAGCAGGTAACGAAAAGGACGGGAAGTAGCGCTGTAACTCACGTCGTGATAAAACTCCAAGTCCGGTTGCTCAGGAAGTAGGTGGGGTCTTCCCAGACGGGCCTCTTGAGCACATCTTTCCAGTGCTTCAGATTGCGCCATGTCTCGTCAGGGGTCGCGCCGGCGAATGGGGGAAAGCCGGTGAGCGCCTCAAACAGCATGCAGCCCAAGCTCCAATAATCCACAGTGTAGTCGTACTCCTCTCCCCTCAAGACCTCCGGCGCCATGTAGTCGGGCGAGCCGACAATGGACTTTGCATAGTTGACATCGTTTTCGCGCATCGTCCGGTAGCTCTCACGGCGCTCGGCCACGGTCCGTTGGCCAATCGGCTTGCCAAACGGCACCGGCGTCTCTGAGGCCTGTTCCAGCTTAAGTCGCATGGACTCGATCTTGGACGGAGCAAGTACACCGGCAGCCAGGCCAAAGTCGGTCAGCTTGACGTGCCCGGTGGAATCGACGAGGAAGTTCTCAGGCTTCAGGTCTCGGTGGATGTAACCCAGCTGATGGAGGGCGTCGACAGCGCAGAACATTTCGGCAATGTAGAACCGGGCATGTCGGTTGGAGAGCACCCCCGTGTTGTTAAGAAGGGTACGGAAATCGCCACCAGGCACGTATTCCATAGCAAGATAGATATTCTTGTCATCCTGGAATGAGTACAGGAGCCGGACCAGCCAGTCGCTTTGGGCTGTTGTGAGGATGTCGCGCTCCGTCAACACGTGTCGAACCTCGTCCAGCTTGAACAGCAGCTTTTTGCTCATGACCTTGAGGGCGCACACCTCGCGCGTGTCTTTCTTCTGTGCGAGGAAGACTTGGCCATAGCCGCCCTGGCCAACCTGGGTCAGAATCTGGAAGTCGCCCTGCTTCAGTCGGATGCGACGCTTGCGAAGGTTGGCTCGCTCTCGACCGGTATACTTGGACCACAGCTGTCGGTAGCTTTCCTCGTCAGTGGCGGGAGGTGCCGGGATGTCGGCCTTGAAGGCGGCCAGCCTCTTCTGTCTCGCGCCGACATACGTAAGTAGGTCAAAGTAGTAATCCAGGAAATCTAGATAGAAGGAAGATGGCAGTTAGTCAATCAGTCAGCTGGCCAAATCGGTTGGTCGGAGATGTTAGGGAAGGCCAAAGCTGTTCCAGCGTTTTCCTGTCCCTGACCTGGGTCCTATACAGCCCTCTCCTCCATTTCACCCTTCCCCTTTGTTCTTTGCCCCCCCATCCCATTGTTGTATCATCTCGGATCACGGACATGCAAAGAAAACAGCACAAAGGCAAGCAGATCAGAAAGACTTACAAAGCTGTGTAACATTGACCATGCGGCGCACATTGGGTCTCTGCAGAATCTCTCGCTCCTCCGCCGTCAAGCCGCGAGCCGTGTTAAACCTCTTAGCAATGATGGGACGATCCTTAGTCTCGTAGGGCTGCTGGCGAGAGAGTGCGGCATGGCTGTGGTGGGGCTGTCGCTCCTGGTCGTGAGCGGCGAGACGAGGCACCGGCTGCGCATTCTCCTGGTTCTGTCGCCTCCTGGGCGTGCCAGGCGATGCTCTTCCCTTCTGCACGCTTTGTGCGGCGACCTCTTCGATGGCGGCAGAGCTGGGCTGCTGCCCGTCCCGAGGCTGGAGGTGAGGCTGAGGCGCAGGCTGGGAGTTGTTGGCCTTGCCGGGCGAAAGCGGAGCGACTACGCTCTGCGGGCGTGACAGCCTCACGGGAGCTTCGATGCCGGGTGAATTCAGGTTCATAGCGGTGTCGAAAACTGTGGGGAGGTCGTGAGCGCCAGGCGGGATCGTCCTTTTGCTAGGGCTCCCCAGAGGCGTGTTGAGAGGGTTGACGAAGCTGTTGATGTTGTTCATGGTTGGTGTAACAGGGCGAGGCGCGGCGTCACCAGCCAGCGGCGCCTTGTCCTTGCTGCTGCCGGGACCGACGCTGCTACCACCGGGGAAGAAATTCGACATGAAGCTGGCCATTTTTTTTTAAACCCGCTGCAAGGCGTGACGTGGCGGTGGAGGAGAGGGACTGCCGACCAGGGTGGAAAAATTGATAGAAGCTGCCGATGAATCGATTGGCTGCTGGGCGTCTGCGGCGGAGGATAGTAGCATCTGCCTTCTGCGTCTGTATGCGCGATGCCCTGTTTCTGTCTGCACCGGGTATGGGTGTTAGGTGCGTCTGCGGATCCCCTCGTCTAGCAGTCCAACTGGTGGACGGGATTTCAACGAGGACAAAGAGGTGGAGCAGGCTGGAGGAGCCAGACCAAAGGCTTGACGACGGGATGAGATGCTGGGCACGATGATGCAACGACAACCGATGCTATTGCTGTCTGGGTGGCAGAAGCGGAAGAAGCAGGTCAGCCGCTGGTCGAGTGAATGAGCCGCAGGAAATGGAAACAAGAGAAGAAAACAAAGGCAATGGAATCTGAGCGTACTGACACCGTAATCGCTTTGTTCAATGGCTTGACTCTCTCTCTCCACTGCAGACAAAGACGCAGCTCGAGCTACCAGATAATCACTGAATCGACCAGGCTGCTAGTCGACGATAGAAGTTATCGATGGGCTTCAAGGTAGTATCATCGATCATTGATCAAGCAATATGCAAAAGTGGCATGGGGGGTAAAAAGGCCTTTGGGGCAAAGTGGGATGTTGGAGAAGGGCAGCCCCTGCGATTGGACCAGTCGGGCCTGGGGAGGATCTGGAAGTCAACATGGTTGCAGCAGCAACAAGCATTATCGCGGGTGGGGTCCCCAAGGCTGCTAAGGGGGGCGCTAGCCAGGCGCCGCTTGGACGCCCTCAGCCGCTGGAATACAGGGCAGCTCGGCGCTGCGAGGGCTGTGATTTGTGCCCTGTAGCCGCCCTGTGGCCCTGTGGCACCCCGCTACGGAACTAGGCTACAGGGGTTGAGGGGGCAGGCCTGCCAAGTGGGTTGCTGGTGGCGCTGCTTCCCTCAATGACCTCAGCAGCGGGGGGGAAGAGGATCGGAATCTCTCAGCTTGGACACCGAATCGGCCTCATCGTCGATGTTTCCATAGGTACGAGTACTTGAACTCGGGTCGCCGTTGCATTACGAGCCTTGTTTGGTTGCCTTGCAGACAGGCCTTCCAGCGGAGCCTTTCTGTCTGCCGGCCTTGCAGACTGCCCAATGTCTCGACATGGATTCCTTGAGTTTTGACGGTGTTTGTCGTACTTTACCTGTAATGATTGACTCTGCATGCGGATTAGCGTTGCTGGATTGTCTGAGCTCTCCATGTTATTTCCATGACAACATGTGGCATGCTGAACCGCATTGCGCAAGGGAGAAGGACGCAAAGACGTGTAAACAAAGCATGATGCGGAGAAGGGCGGGCTCGTGTTGAATGCAGTTTGCCGCTTTGTGTTTCAAGTGACTCGAGGGGTGGAGGGAGGGGGACAAGGTTCATGCGGTTAATGGAGGAGACGCCGTTGTTGAAGACAAAGAACACCAAGTAAACAAACAAACAAGTTCATCGATTAATAAGGGAAGCATAGGGCCGTTAGCAACATGTATTACCATAGAGAGCCATAACCACCGTTGGGCGACTAATGCTTTCATACGAGTGGGTAGTACGAAGAGCCCCTAGCCCTCGCTACTCTCGCATCGTTGGAGGGGGCGATGTATCACCTTGGCATCGTCAAAGGGGTACGATGTCTTCTTTGGTCACCATTCTTAACATAGAATTCGTCCGCCAGCGCGAGACTACACGCACTCTAGGTTTATCGAATCAGCGTCGATATGCTGCATTTTCCTTGGAAGCCAAAGCCACACACAATCAGAGCACCCTTTTCCCGCTTGGAACAAAGCATCAAAGGAGTCGTGAACAGTCGCCACTTCTCGCCCATCATAGACTTACAGGTCGATTAATCGCGTAGTAAAGACCTGGGTTATTGAACAATGGACCTGCTGAAAGGCATACACTTGACCCAGAGTTATCGTTCATCTCTCCCCAGTAGAAGTGACTGCAATAATAGTCCGGTGATGGTTTGCCCACAGACAATCACATACATCGAAACCTTCATAAGGGCTTCCATGGATCAAGCATGGCATCCACGTTTGTGTACAACATTTGCTCACTCCAAGCTTTTCAAGTGTCGACGCCGTTGAACTGTTGAAGTGCCCAATCACCTGTATCAAAACAGTTGACATGGATACCTCATACTGCTTGCTCGAGGCTGCACCATCACGCTGTTTCGATTCGCAAACTTCGCCGGCGAGAAACATCAACGACATACAGGACGTGCTGGAGAGGGCGCAACGAGTTCAGTTCATCCAGGAGCAGCAGATCAAAGAACTGGAGCGCCAACTCCTCGCATTACGCCGTGAAGGTGCATCAGAGTTTCCCTTCTTCTCACGTCTGCCCCCAGAGCTTCGATGCCGCATATGGAAACTGGCCTTGCCTGTGCAGATTTTTCGGCCGTTCCGGTTCCTCCAACCGTCATTTTTGGAATGGAAGACGCTTTCTCCGCCAACAATCTCCGCCGTCTGCCGGGAGGCTCGATACGTTGCGTACCAGAATGGCGCGCTATACTCCCACGAGTTTCTCGCCCCCCTCTCCTGGACGTGGTTCAACGGCCACACTGACATATTAGACCTTTCGCCTTTCAGAATGAAGAAAGACAGCAGCTTTATCCCTCTACAGAAGAAGCTCCTTCAGGAGACGAGAGCAGTGATGCTAGATGTAGAGACCGTCGATAGCCTGTTGCTGACTGGCCTGTTCGGTGAAGACCGCCAGCTTCCAAACATCTGCGTTATCCATCTGATGGCAGGGAATACCTTTCAGGTAGACAAACAATCATGGCATCCGCATGCAGTGGCCCGACTGTTCGGTGGCCAGTCGTTTGTCCATGTCGACATAGAGGACGACCAAGAGGTGGCGCAGCTCGACCAGCTACTCCTCGCAGCGATGAGCGGGGCTGATGGCAGCTTCATGAGTAAATGGGAGAAGGATGCTATCACGAAGCTGCAGGCTCAGGTTCGACCGTCGACTGACAAGTTGGAGCAGTGGAAGAAGGCAAAGCAGCTCATCATGCAAGGATGGATATCCCACAACAGCGAGGCTTCCCCAAGGGATATACCCAAGAGCTGCATCGGGGGAAACGGTATGATAAAGGAAGCCGAGGTCAGAAAGCTCTACCCCGGCATGCCTGTCATCAAATTGGTCCAGACTTTTGAGCTGGCTCCCATGCCTCAGCTGGAGAAGTGGTACAAGGACTGTGGGCGACAGATGATGGAAGACGTGAGAGGTTGAAAGAGGAGGATGTCGCACTGTGTAATTCAATGTACCTCGGCATTTTTGAAGCACGCTCCTTATGTCAGCAAGTGGCTAGCTAATTGTAGCCAATGATCTAATCTTATCAATCTCAGCGTCAAGTCAGCTGCCGTCACGCCGTCGATGATCCAACAATCACTTGACCCGGAGCAGGGGGATCAAACCCAGCCTCTTCTTCCCCCTCTTTGAGTCTTACGTGTATGCCATCGCCCAACTTGCTTCTGCACTACGCATCAGATCTCTCCTGATTCCAATTGAATTGATCCAGAGGCTGGCTGTGGACAAAGTCGTATGCCGGCGCCTTGATTCATCCCTTGCATTGCGTGGCCGCGGCCCGTCCTAAAGAAATCCTAATCGCCTGCTGCTAGTACCAGCTTCAGCTGCTGACTGATTGTGCTGTCTCAGAAACCGCCGTTCCCACTTCTTGCCATCTGAAACATCACTCATCATGAAGCTCATCAGCCTCATTGGCGGTCTCTCGGCCTATGCCGCCGCCCTCGAGCTCGCCGCTCCGCTCTTCGGTGACACGGGCGGCGTCGGCGCGGGACGCATCCCGACCAGCTTCGAATCGGCCGTCATGGGCAGGCGCATCCTGGCCCTCAGCAAGCTCGGCACCTTGTCGACCGTGTTTCCCAAGTCACACTCTACAGGCGAGGCGGATGCCGCAGAGAGACGACCGGAGGGGCTCGACGGCTTGCCAATTGCACTACTTGAGTATATCAGTGATTGCGAGGATGAGGGGAACCCGACGCTGCTGGCCATCAAGATTGCCACCAGCTTCAAGAACGCCCGCGCAGGATCCAACCTGTCTCTGTCCGTGGAGTGGGTTCCGCCGTATCCGCCGGCCAAGCGCATCTCGTTCCTGTCTCGTCTATCCGCCTTCGTGCCGTTCTTGGGTAACAAGGACGACAGAGAAGCCTCGACACTTGACGAGCCGGACGTTTCATCTCCTCTCTCGCTCCCGGACACGGCACCTTACTCTGCCGCCAACCTGCCCAGGTTCTCGCTCATCGGCTATCTGGAACCGATCAAGCCGAGCATAAAGGAGGCTGTCCAGCTTGCCTCGTGCTACACCACCAAGCACCCAGACGCCAAGTACTGGCTGCCTGGCAATCCCATCCACGCCAGCGAATGGGCACGGCTGGTGGTTACGCAGGTGTACTGGATTGGCGGGTTCGGTGACCGTGCGTACATTGGATGGATTCCCGTCGAGGAGTGGAGGAATGTTACCAAGGAGCAGTGGCAGGGCATCCAGCTGCCTGGTGAGAAGAAGGGCTGGAGCGAGTGGAGCATCAACGAGGCCGGTGCTGGCGAGCTTTAAAGTACGTGACTCGGATTTCGAGGCCCGCCAGTTTGTATCACCAGATATTTGATTGTGTCATGCTCGCAGTTGTACAATGCCTGTACCATCTGTATGTATCAGTAACAACTAGTAGTAATATGACGCTGTCTACCGTTTCATTGTCTTCTGATCTCGCCTTACCATCAGGCCTATCTGTTGTCTGTAATTGCTTGTAGTTAGTCCTATCGCCACTTCGGTGGCTTCCGAGTCCAGGGTAGCATAGAATGCGTGTCGACGTGGCCTTGCATCTCAACGACATTACTACCTACATCTACCTATCTCTGTATATTCTGTAGGAAGCGTGCTTGTACATGCATTCGACGTGCATGTATGGAGCGCAGCTGGCTGGCACCCAAGTGGAAAAAGGATGATGTGATGATACCTGCCCAACAGCCATCCGGTAAGACTGTCTCATCCCATGGAGACTACTATCGGATTCGATCTTCTGCTCCAAAGGATTGAATGCTCCAAAGGATTGAATGACAAATAATGATCAAGTTGGTCATTTTGTTCAGGATTGCCGGGCCGGAGAGATGCAGTACTAATCATCAGACATACATAATACCGGGCAACTGGCATTCGGATGATATCACTTGTTCTTTGTTGTGCTCCATTACCCCTTCTCACGTGCTGATGGGCGCTTTTTGTCTCTCCTCTCACTTGGTAGCCTCGTGATCTACATGACGCCTACACATTCGAACGGAACGGAGAGACGGTTCTCCTGCACACTGCGAAGTCCTTCGTACGAACGAGAGGGAAAAGCGGCCTCGCTAGCCTCGTTGATGGACGAGACATTGTCTTGACCTGCGTCACAAAGTGGGACAGAGGACAGACCTGGCTGTTCGGTACGAGCGACAGCCGGGCCTTGCCTCAGAAGACCCTAGCAGTGGTGATAGTACATGGAGTACATACTGTTGCGTGCAGTTCTGAGTAGAGACTACCTCGCAGACACTGTACAAGGCACGGTCAGTGGTCGTTTGCGTGGCGGCCATTTCCCCAGTTACTATGCGGAGTGCAATCTCGGGGTCTCAGTTGGGCATGCGGTCTCCTGCTCCGGGGAGTGGCTGCGAGGGAGGAAAATGCCTATACTGATGAACCCAAATGCTGCATGGAGCGAGGCTCCGTGGTTGGCCTGTTTGCTTTCTGCTTGAGCAGGGCACTTGTCCTCGAGCTCTGATGCCGAAATTAGTACGTACTACTGGTAGGAAGCTGCAGCACGTAGAGCATTATTGTTACCTGTAGTTGTAGGTAGAATGAATCGATGATTTGACCAGACCAGGTTTATCGCATTGTGGCGCTCAGACTAGACATGCCTTTGGCCTTGCGCGAGATCAATTTGCAGCAAACAAGAATCATGACATCCAATTCACCGCCTCGGGCCCCGCCCAGAGAGGGAAATGGAGCGCAAATGGAGGTTGTTGAATGACCAGTGTACGTTCATCGTGGTCCAACTATTTGATTAGCAGGCTAAAATGACTGGGGAGAGGCACTGGGAATGGAGATTGGGTACACATACCTGCTACGAGTAGTATGCATAAGGTATGCTCTCTGTGCCTGTGCGGGGATTGCATGCTCCCGCATTCCGCGTGCTGGATGCAAGGACAAGTTGGACCCGTTTACGGATAGAAGACAAACAGACATGGTCAACGGTCGCTTACCTTAATCGCCCAAGAACCTGCTGATGTGAATCATTTCGACGACGGCGTTGGTCCGGCTTTCTAATGAGTGCTGGCCATGCTCCGGCTGGCCGTGAGTACATGTAGTGATGGCCGGATGAATGAGCCAGTGGCCCCTTGTCGACGCCAGAAGTAACCCATCACCGCCCAAAGAGCGTCATATCGGTCGCTGTCTCCGCGATACGTACATGAGAGGTTATTTGCAGCTTGCGTCCCTCGCATCTCAAATCGTCATGTAAGAGACTGGAGATGGATGGCACATGGTGGGTGGTTGCAACGGGGTGTGGCATGTGGCGCATGGGGTTACCTTATTTCAGGCTGAGCGAGTGCCTGTACGGCAAGGCAAATTTCAGGTCCACGGGTACCTGTACTCATATGCCTTCTAATACTGTGCGTGGCGAGGCATCAGGTCTCACGTTGACACGGAGCCAGCAGCTTTCCGTGGACTAGCGCCATCTAGTAGCGCAGATAGCGCCCGCTAATGTCCCCCAATCCCGCTAAACAAGGCCCTGAGCGATTGCCTGGAGCCGCAATAGTGCCCTTATCGCGCTGCTAGATGGCTGCAGGTGCCCATCCGAAAGAGGCAGCGCTGCACGCCCGCACCTCGCATTTATCACTGCACAGCAGTGCATCCATCTCGGCCTCGATCCTCTTGTGCCCAAACATCAAACGCAGTCCGTACCCAACAAGCCGTGAGCTCCCCAGCAACTAAGACGCTACAGTATTCGGAAGGTCCTACTCGTAAGCACGCAGGCTGGCAGCCTCTCTGCCGCCTAGGTAAGCTGATAGAGGAGCATGAATGCATCTCCGAAAGATAGAACAACAGATATGCCTCGCCAGCTGGAAGTTCAGTATTCGGACCTGCGTAGGGAGAGGGGGAGTGTCCCGGAGAAGCGAATCAAAGGCTCGAATCGAAGCCAATCCTCTTGTGTTGCACGTACCAATAAACGTACAATGCCTTCGAGGCGCTGTTCTCTGGATTGTAGGCTGTCACACACACGCAGCAGCCCAAATAGGCGCCAACCCGGGGAGATTTGCGCACCTCACCTCGTCCATACTTGATACCCGGTGCTTTGTCCGGCTCCCTAATCCGGCACCGCACAGTGTCCGGCGTGCAGGTACAGGGCACAATCAGGGACGGATGCCCTCAGCCTGCGCGACAGGCACAGGTACAGATACCTCTCACCCTCCCCCCGTACGGAGTACTGGCAGAAAATCGCCGTCAGCTTCGCTCTCGCTGCCGCTATCGTCCACCTCCAGACGCCTCTGCCGCCTTGTCTTGTCTAACCGACTCCCTCCTCTCTCCATTCCATCATTGGCAGCCAGGCGTTGCTCCTCGCCCTTTGCACTCCATTGCCTGGCCTGCTCGAGAAAGGCACATCTCGAGCGTCCTGTTCGCGAAAGCCTCCCGCACGAGGGCCCCCGACTTTGTGCTGCCGTGCGCGCTGTCGCAACGCCTGAGGCTGGGGCTGCTATTCGGGTGCAGCGGGAAAATACAACTTCCTTCTGCCGGACGTCGGTCGACGCTTCCGTAATACCTTCCTTCTCTCTCGGGGTCCAGAAAAATTCAACGTCCATGTATCCTCTCCTCGCGCCTCTATCCGAGTCACTACAACCCAACATTACTCTCACCAAATTCTGATCTCGCTGTGGCCACCGTCACCAGCCTCGGACCAGCCAGCGCTTTGAACGTTCAGCCGCCGCCTCGAACCCGACGACGTCGACCTCCCAAGTACCTGTCTTACTACCTAGTTAACCACCTAGTAGTACCAGGTTGTACCAACTGCGTACCGTACCTTATCCATCAACTCCAGCATCTAATTACTACACCTCACCTCTCGATAGCTCGCAATACACCGGGATGGCGCCTCACCTCCTGTCTGAGAGATGACCTCCAGGACCCCCATAGGCGTCCACCCGCGACCGCCGCAGCGAGCTCTCAGCAGTTCGACGCTGCCGCCGGTCCAGCGCCCTCCGCCTCAGCAACGCGCCCTGTCGCAACAGCTGTTTCCCTCATCGCCCATCCGCAAGGACTCGATCCTCAGCGATGCCTCGAGCGACTCCTTCGACCCTGTCCAGGCCCAGAGCCATGGCGCGAACCAAGCTCAAGCCCAAGGCCGTCTTGTCGCCACGCCGCGAAGAGTCGGCTCGCGGCTGCGTCTCGAACTCTCCAACATCGATCCGGTCGTAGGAAGCGCAGCGTCAGCGTCCCTCTCGGCGTCGGCCTCAGCATCCGTTTCCGCCGCCTCATCGCCCCAGAGCCACGCCACGTCGCGGGTGCCGTCGATGGCTGATGCTGCAGACGTCGGCGACTCCAGCCCGGCGCCCTCTCGGGCCTCGGCGGCCGACATCGACAATGACAACCAGCCTTTGCCCATGCCCAAACGACGTCCGCCAACATCACAAACATACCCAGAGCTCTCGAGACGACTGGCAGCCCCTTCGCGGGCCGCGCCGGCCCTCAAGAAAGACGGTCGTCCGAGGCCTTGGACCGTCGAGGTTCCCAAGGGCGCTCCACGCTACCCCTCGTCTGAGAAACGGCCAAACCCAACGGGTGGTGACCCTTTCAGTCGGGGGCTCTTTTCTGGACACGCCGACTTCTTCCCATGGCATGGCGGCAACGGCAAGCATCACGAAGACGACTGGAGCCCCGAAGCGATCCAAAAAGGCACTTGGGATCGTGGCAACCAGAACGAGACGAGCTCCGCGAGAATGACTATATCCCCGGCTATCAAGCAGAAATCGGGCCTCAGTGCCCTTTCTACCATCTTCATGGGTGTGCTTAACCAGCGCAGGCACCGCGGTCATGTCACTGCTCCATCGACGTTTAAACCTCCTCCTCGCGTTACCCTGACGGATACCAAGAGGGAGGTCTGGATGAAGGACTTGGCCAATCCCGCTATCTCCCTCCGGCGGCTGAGTAGAACCATCCCCCATGGCATCCGTGGCCGCACTCTTTTGGACCAGTGTCTGAACAAGAGCGTCCCAACCGAAAGAGCTGTCTGGCTGGCCAAGTGTGTCGGTGCCAACGAGATCCGCGCCTTCAAGAGAAAAGGTGCTCCCGGTGGCGCCTTTGCCATAGCAGGCGAGTTCAAGTGGATAAGAGACTGGACCGTCTTTGTGGAGCAATTTATAGAATCCGTTACCTCTGCGTTTGGCGAACCAGACTGGAAGGCCAAGGTGACTTACGCGTAAGTTGAACCCATGCCACCGTCCTGTACCCCTACCACACCTCTCTCCTTTACGAGCTGACCATTTATACTATAGAATACGATTGGCGACGAACCTCTATGCCGAGCAGCTCCTTGATCGAGACCATTACCTTGACTGGATTACATCCGGCCTAGAGCACAGCCCTCAGTCCAAGATCCCCATGTGGATTCTGATTGCCCAGATATGTTGGGCCGACATCTTGCGCTCGCGCAAATATGGGCGTCGCCTTGTTTACTCCATCCTTGGCCATCTTCATACCATCCATGTACACCCTGACAAGGATATTCTTATTCAACTGTCGAGCCAGCTCTCGACCCTACTCGCCTCGCTCATCAGGAACAACCCTGACAGCTTCATCGACCCAGGCCTTTGGCCAAAATACAAAGATGCTCTGGAAGCATTCCTACCTCGGGATGACAAAGCAGGCCGAGAGGCGTACCACCATGTCAGTGTCAGAAATGGCCAAGTGTCCATCACTAGCACTGCTTCGCCAGCGGCCGGGCGACCGCAGCTGGTGCGGCTACTGGATGCAACGCTGCTTAGCCAGATAGATCGCGATCTGCCCCAAAAGTGCTGGGCCACCGGAGACGACAAGGTTGATATCGTGAGGACGACCGTGGACTGGGCTACGTCGTTCTATCGCCCTGGCCTGGCAAGGGTGTACATCGCGGCCAACCTTATCAAGGTTTGGAGCACGCTCAGGATCAACGTCACCGCCACCATTCTCGAGCACATGGACACTATTCCGGCCGGCGATGGTGGACGGAAGCAGATGGTCTACCACCTGGTGACGGAGCTGGTCCGGACGGGACAGTTCCTGGTCTCACAATATCTCCAGTGGCTTGTGGCCCGCGGCGCCTGCAGCCACCCCTCCGAGGTGGACTCCGACGATGCTCCTTGCACCACCCGATTGCTCATTCACCTCCCCATACATTACCTCACCGAAGACCAGAAGGATGACCGGGCCAACCTGCTGAGGCGGGCTGCCAACTACTCCACCGCCGAGGAAGCAAGCGACATCAGCAACTCCTTGATGTGCGTCAACCACACCCTGGGCTTGCCTGTGGAGGGAGACGCCATGGCCGGCAGAAGGCCGATTCCTTTGCGGAAGCTTCTCCCGAGGATTATCAGCAGCTCAAAGGCTTTGCAGACTGCCGTGGGCCTTCATCTGCGCGAGACTGTCTTGAGGCTTGTCAAATCTGTCCAGCCAGTATCCCTGCGTATGTTCTCTGCCATACGCACCATCTTGGAAGCGACTCAAGACTTCTATGCCCTTTGTGACGTCCTCAAACTTTGCTCCAGGACGACCAACATCGAGGTGCTCGCATCCTGCGTCGACACTGTAAACCTCCATTTGCAGGTATTCTACGCCCAGGGTGGTGCCGAGCGGCTGTTCACCATCTTCTTTGAGCGGCTCAAGGCCATCAACCAAGAGCAGGGACTGGTCTCGCGCCCGCTGCTTGCCGCGCTTTGCTTCCTCTCCCGGCGGATGCCCAGCCGCCAAGAACTCTCCAAGTATCTGGCCCACGAGCTTACCCAGAGCGATCGCAACAACGCAACTGACGCATGCTCCCCCATTTCGGACAACATGGTCAATCCACCGTCGGGTGCTGATGGCGAGGTCTCGGAACAGATTGAGAAGCTGCTGGCGAGCGGGAACAGCATAGACCACCCAACCATGAACCGTCTGTTTGGCTATATCATACGGAGACTGGAAGCAGGCTGGGCCAAGATGGATGACAACCGAAGGGTTCACGCATCCCTTCTAACCCGCCTACGTTTATTCGATGCCCAGCATTTTGACAAGCTCATGTCTGACTGGGTTGGGCGTGTTCGACTACTCAAGAGCCGCCAAAGATTGGATGCCGTGTTTCCTCTCCTCATCATCACCGATGCTCTGCCTGTTTCGTTCTTGGTCGGCCCCGCAAGCTTGACCCAGGCGCCCTCGTCGGGAGATGCCGAAGCAGCGGCGGCAACTGCCTTGGATTTGGCAACCCCTGGAGCAGTAACCTACCTCCAGGAGCTGCTTCATCTGGTCCTGTCGAGACTGCCTGCTGACTCGGACCTGAGCCAAGAGGAGGCTTACCGCTTTGGCATCTACCAGCGGGCCATACAGCTGAATCATTACAAAGGCCTGCTTTCGCTCATACGCCATGCGGCCGTTGAATATGCCGACCTTCGGGCTCGGGTTGGCAACACGAAACTGCCCCTTGATGACGATACATACCGTGAGAGTGTGCTCGACGCCTTGCGACTATTGGTTGTGGTGCACACACCAGACGTCACGGAAGCTTTCAGCCCCAAGAACATACCTCCGGCAGGGTTCCGTCTTGTTCATGAGATGATCAGCAGCCTTTTCCAGCAGGAAGGGCATCCTCCAGGCGCGCCTTTGGCAGCATCCTATGACGAAATTTTGCGACTTACCAACGAGCTCACCATGCCATTCTGCCAGATTAAGCTCAACATGGATCTGTCCATCTCGCCACCTCGACCGACCGAGGGTGAAGATGGTCAGCAGCAGCCGAGCCCCTCCCCGTTCGATCTATTTGCCAAGGCTATGGATCGCGCCATTGAGGCCCAGAACATTATGTGGACGACCATGCTCCCCTGTCTGAGTGAAGATATTTCTCGCCATCTACAAAGCCAGGCTCGTTCCCGGTTTTTGGACCTGGTGCCGACATCCTCCAAGGAGCCCAGCAACCTCCAGAACGCCGCTGCAAACAGTAACAACTTATACCTTGCTGAAAAGCTACTAGGCGTCATTGAGGCCATCGTGGTAGGCCAGCCGCCGCCGAACACGGCCCAGCTCAACAGTGTTGTGGCTGATAGGCTGTCGAACCTTGTTGAGATTGTCGTTGCGCCAAAGGATCATGAGGATAAGACGGAGGGGATGCTCGTGCCCATCATCGAACACTGGCTACCAATGCTGTTGAAGTTTGTGCTCTTGCACAGTGTATCTCTGGAACCATTGAGCGCGTCCGTCATGACCACTTCCGCCCAAGGCAAGCTGGTTCTGCCTCCGCATCACGAGGCGCGAGCGCACACTGTCCTGACTCTCTGCCGCCTTTTCCTTGCGCTCGAAGCGCTGCCGAGCCAGCTAGTCGGTGGCAGCTTGCTGCAGCAGGTGTTTGATGTCACCACGGTTCTCGCGGATGGCTTGCCGGATGACCTACGCCTTCACTGCGCCAAGTCCATTCTCCTTCTTCCGGGCATGATGCCGAGCCTTCACACTTCTTCGGACGCTCGCCTGCATTACATTCTCAGCGTTCCGCAGATGGCCTCGACGGACGCCCTGATGCTTGCTCACAGGGAGAAGACGACGACGCCTCATAGCACGGCAGCTAGGGGCATGGGTGCAATGTATGGCATTGGCCCGGCATCTCAAGAGAGGCTCTCTCCGTACGTTCTCCGGCGGTGGGAGTTGCTTAGCGAGCCTACCCCTAATGTCGGAGTGAACGATACGAGCTTGAGCCTAAGTCTTTTTGAAGCCATCAGGATACACTAATGTGTGTTATCTAAGAGACTGTCTTACTTTCGGCAGTGCCTGGGCCTATTTTTTCTTATTACCTTACTTTCTTTTACGTTGTGTATAGTGTTCATATCCTTTTTCCCCCCCCGGAGATTTGGGCCTTGCTTGCCCCCTTTTGAGCTTTCGTTCACTTCCAGCTATCATATTCTCCTCATTATTACGAAATACCATTCAGCGCGCATTATGGCAATGTTCACGATCAAATTATCATCCTGCAAAGGAAAATGGGAACTCCAGGCCCTTGATGTCTCTTTTTTCCTTTCTCTTTCTCTTTGCTCTGCATATCATTTTCTGGCAAAGCGCTTGCATCGCTTCCACTGTCAACATTGGCTATGTCTCTTCATCTGCGCTTGTCTGTCGAAGGAGGATGCATCACACCACATAATGGGAATGGAGGGTCCTGAATGTTATAACTTCCGTGCGATCGCAACGTGTCTTTTGCTTTACTCCTGTCTCTTTGGAAACCACAATCTATTGGACAAGAACGTGCATGAGATGGGAAAGGAGTGTCGGGAGAGCATAGCATTTTCTTTTTCCTTTTTTTTTTTCTCTCCATCATACCTGCCTCCTGCTATTCTTTTTTTTTTTTTTTTTTTTTTTTTCTCTTCTATGATTTCTTCTTACCCATATCATTTACTTATCTTGAAGAAGTAGAAATGGTTTCCTTTCACGTTTACATGGTTGTTGGTCAAGCCTGAAGTTATGCAGGACGGGGTCATAGGAGCATTGGAAGATGGGTTATTTTCTTTCTTTGTGGTGGGAGGAGGCAAGATGTAGAAGCAGGCGCATGACGATTTCATTTCTGTTCCTCCATCTCATAAACGGGCCTTGGCGGTTGTTCTGTATACGGCATGGGCATGACAAGGCCTGGAGCGGGTTTATTCCTCTTGGTTCAATTCCCCTTGTTATTGTAGGATACCTCTGCTGATTCACATGACTATGGATTATCAATATATTTTTGCAAGTCATCTTTACATCTCCAAAGCCTCGAGTGTCACTGGAGGACAGAAACAAGAGAACACGGGGACAACGTTCTATTGAATACATACTGTGAAGTTATCCTAGCTTATTTCATACCAGCCATCCCATCAACCAGTTCCGTCCACGCCAACCCGTGGCAGAGAAGAAATCACGACACATGTGGTGGTGGTCTTACTAGCCGGCAAGCCATCGTTGATCGTCGGTAGTAAATGGCCATTTGAGCCCCTCAAGCTATGAACAATACAGGGAGCCCAACAGATGGAAGAAAGATGGGCGCCGAACCAGACGACCATGACATTATGTTGGACAAAGGGGAGGAAAGTATGGCAAAGGAAATGGATTGTATGTATCAACACGTCTTTGAGAAATGGAGACAAATGCGAAAAAAAGCGCGACCGGCCAAATATTGAGATTTGCGAGGAAAAAATTGAAGAAAATCCGACGAGTCAAGAAATGGAGGACAAGCAGACAACGCCATGCAAGAGAGGGATTTTGAGAATAGGAAAGATTTCCTTACAGAAGAGCAAAGCAAGCCACTGAATTAATCCTCATCAAAGATCTGGTAAGTGTTGACCAAGATGGTGTCAATGACCTTGATCTGCCAACCGGCGTCTGTAATGGCAGTGCTTGGGTCAGTGCCCATGAGGGTGGGTCCGAGGATGACAGCCAAGTTGTGAGAGTTCATGCGGTTGATGTGAGAGTTGTCGATGACACGGTGCAAATGCAGCATTAGGGCACGCAGGGTGGCGTAGTTGGGATCGGGCAGGCTGTTGATGATGGCATGGAGCGAGTCTCGTCGAACAATCTCATCCTCGTGCTCTGCAGGTGCGCGGTTAGTATCCATGCTGGGCTCCGAATACATGCAGGGAACAAATGTTCTGGATAGGACATGAGTGATGATGGATCGTAACTTACTTGCTGCGTTTATGAAGCTGCTGTGGTGTTCCGAGGTGAACAAGGGGTCGGGCAGGTCACGGAAGAACTGTTTCAACAGGCCCGTAACACTGTTGACGTCGTGAAAGAAGTTCTCCGGGTTTCTGAAATCCAGGGCTGCCGACTGAGATTCTGCATGAGAGGGCATCTGTTAGCATATACCGGTCCGCTGAATCTGGTAGCGGCGAAAATGGATGTGGATAACTACCTGAATCGAACATGGCTTTAAGTCTGTTGATGTGGTTCAATGAACCAGACTGGCGATAGATTCCTTCTACCCCAAGACCAAACAGGTCGACGGCCTGGATACACTGATACACGACCATGGGCACAGCAAGGCCGTCCCGCTCATAAAGGCGACCAAGGTGGACACCAAAGACGGGCTTGGAGCCTGTGGAGGCACCCAGAGCTGGGGGGCCGTGGTTGGGGGCGCTGTATGCCGGTGGAGCGCTTGGCCCGGGAGGCTGGTACGGAAGTCCCAGCTGAGGAGGAGGTGAAGCGCTCTTGGCTGACGGACCGTCGTGATCTTGGAACGGAAGCGCCCCGAGCTGGGGCGGGCCGGTAGTGGTAGAGCCGCCGCTGGGAAATCGGGGGCCCCCACCGTATGGCTGGTTTTGAGGGCTCATGGGAGAGTTGAGCATGTTGCCCTGACTGAAGCTTCGGCTGTGGTTGGGCTGATGCAACGACTTGAGAGGCTCGGCACTGGCGGGAGGAGCAGCAGCCCCTTGTGCCATGGATCCCGGGGGTCCCTGAGAAGCTGGGGCGCCCGCCGACGGGCTGGGAAGATTATTGCCACCACTTGTCCTCGAGTTCACCGAATACGATTGTGGGCTTTGTTGGTATCCGCCCTGAGGAGCCTGACTGACGGAAGGCTTAGACGCATGAGGTGCAGAGGGCAGAGCTGAGTGACTCATGGAGCTTGGCTGAGGACCGAGTACCTAAAGACCAATGGGCATCAGTATAAGAGGCTTGGCAACGAGTTAATGGGAGGCTGTTGTTGAAGACGCACCGGATTGCGTTCGTACTTGACCTCGCCCGGGTTCGGCTGAACCTTGGAATGATATCCTGCGACGAACTCATCAAGATCCTTGTCAATGTTGATGGATGCAATGGCATATCGCATGCTTCGGGGCTGGTTGGGGCCGATGGTAGCAGAGTTTCTAAAGGGGCTGATGACAAGGCCATTCCCGAGCAATAGATTTTCGTTGTTCAGAGCTATTCAAGGTGCCCTCTGTTAGTATCATCCAGATCTGCAAAGACCCCCCGAGGTACGATATTGTGCCGCGCCTTTACTTACCAAATCTTTGCATCTGCAGGCCGACGGCGGCATCAATCTCACGGATAGCCTCTTGCAGCGACTTGACAATCTCGGGGCGGGTCGTCGTCTCGAGCTGGGCCTTTTCGGTCTGCAGGGTGGTGACGGCGCTGTGATAGGTCTGATCTGCCGCCTGGACCTTCTTCAGGAGCTCCTCCTCTTGTTGGGCGGCCGACTTGTGTGCCTTGAATGCGCCCAGGACCTTGCCGCCGCCTGGCCTGCTTTCGCCCGTCCTGGCGCGATCGTACTCTTCAGCGAGAGAGTCGTATTTCGCCTTGCTCTTGCGCATGGCCGCCTCGAGATCGACGACCTTTTGCTCAGCGGCCAGGCCGTTGGACTTCCAGACCTTGCGGTTGCGCTCGGCAGTCCCGGCTGCCTCGAGGAGCTCTTCGTTCATTTGGAGGAGTGTGGCCGCGAATTGGATGCCGTTATCAGCCATGCGCTCGTGAATGTGTACCATCTCCTCGTAGACGTTGACAAAGGTGCCTCCGCGGTGTTCGGGTCGTCGTATGTTATCCTGGGTGGCGCGCGCCAGCTTCTTGAGCGTCTGAGCGCTGTCCTCTTCTAGGCCGGCTCGTTTTTTGAGAAAGGTGCCGAACTCCTAATCAGATGTCAGCTTCTTTCCTGCTTCTCGATGTCTCAGCCACACGGTGCTAGGGCTGCAGCTAGCATTGAATGATGTGCAGCCGGTTATCATGCACGAGAGTGCCTAATCTCGATGCGAGATAGGTGGACGTACCTTTGCAGAAGCTATGCTCTGCTTCAGACGATGTAGCAACGAGGGAATGCCTTGCTGTTGAGCGTGAGGTTAGCACGGGGAGAGGACGCGCGTAGATTGAGCTAGGAAGACCCCGTCGTACCTCTGATGCTAGCACCTCACCAACCAGCTTCAAGACAGCTGGATCGGTTGGAGGTGGAGGGCTGGGCTCGTCTGCAACCGTCCCCAAGTGAAGCGCCGCTATGCTCTCGCTGAGGCCTCTGTCGGCCGCGGCGCCGTCTTGCGCCGCAGCATCGCCGGAAGCTGGACGACCCAGCGTAGGGTCATCCAGCGTGATCGATCCTGAATAGTCCCGCCTGTGCTGCTGCGTCGTCGTCTGCGGCATCTGCAGCGACAGTGACGGCACAGAAGTGTCGATGGGAGAGCGAAAGTCGGACATTGTGTGCGATTCCGACTTTGAGAGGGCTCGGCGCCTCGTATGTGACTGGCGAGGGAGAGATTGGACAGCGGACGATGACGAATCCTAGAGCTTCGTTCTCCGTACTCCGTAGCGCCCGCTGATTCGCGAGGGAAAAAAAGAGGTGCGCCGCGGCGATTGGGGTGTCGTGCTAGGATGTGGATACGGGTCAGTGAGATGCAGGAACCACAAGGAATGGAACGAGCTACTAATACGACGAACCAACATTGTGGCTGAGGAGGGAGGCAGGGGGGCAGGAAACTCACCGGAGACGAAGAAAAGAGGAAAGGATATGAGCCCCTTGTGGTTCCTAAGCTGCCTCGAGGACGATGTGGGATGTTCTTGCGACTTGATGAGCTCCGCAGGCCGCGGTTGGAGCTCTACCGTCTGCTTTTCCTTGCTCTGTACAGCAAAGAAAGCGTCGTTTATCAGAGCTTCAATCAGCTCAGAAAAGCATTGACAGATGCCGCCTCTTGGTTCGCCGTCACCGGAGACGAAAAGAAGAGGGAAACAGGACAAGGGAAAGGGAAAAAGGAAGGAAAGGAAAGGACAGGAAAAGAGAAGAGAAGGGCAGGCCAACAGGGTGAGGGGCCGGAGACTGAAAGAAGAGGGCAGCAGTGGCACAAGCCAATCAGCAACGATACGGCTGGACAGACCGCGAAAAGTTGTGCTGAAGAACGAAGGGATCCGAGACTGCTGCCAAGGCTCTGAATAGTGCAATTGCTGTTGCGGGTTGAGAGACTGTAAAATATAATGGGGAGAGCAGGAGGCTGTGAATCGATGCGGATAATGGCGATGGCGATGGATATGGATGGGGGGATAAGAGATGGGGATGGGGATGAAAGAATGGAGATGGGGATTGATGGAAAATGGGGAGAGCGGATTAGTATGGGGGTGGTCTTCGGCGGCACGTTTTGGCTTTCAGTGGCTCTTCCGGGGGTCGTTGGCGGCTTGGTCTCGCTGAGCGAGGCGATGCCTGGCGGCTGTACTTGCAGGGTACTGGCAGAGCACAGAGGCAGCACGCTGGAGATGGCACTACAGTAGTACCGTCTCGTGCCGGCCGCAGTCTCCAGGGCCCTCGGACGCTGCGGCTGGGTGATGCTTTAGTACCGCCTCAGTACCCTTGCCAGGACGGCGTACACCTCAAGCCTGCAGGTCGCCAGAAGGATTGCCGCTAGAGAAGGGACTCGGCTCTGCTTGCTGCATAAGGTGAAGCTCACTTTCACATCGACTTCCCGTCTCTTCCACGTCTGGAGGCATGAAGGGAAGACTGCTGTCACTACTCGGATTTCTTTCTCTTTTCTTTTATCTTTTTCTTCTTTCCTCTGTAAGAAGCCAAGTATCTACTTTTTTTCTGGCGCTTTACCCCTCTAGATTGGAGTTCACCATTCAAAAGGAAAAGAGGTCCGTATCAAAGGTGTCGACACCGCAGCAGCTGCTCGCGCTCGGCAGTGGTATTCGGTGAGCTCTGTTCACCTTATAAATCTAGACTAGTGGTGCCTCTTCACATGTGCGTGGCTGCTGTGGGGGAGCCTACCAGAGAACGACCAGACCGGGCAGAAGCCGCCCAGGTCCAATGTTTGCACTCTGCCTACCTTACTACCTATTAGACAGGCGCCAGGCGTCAGACGCTGATCAGCCATATATCCAGCCAGGCGGTCCGTAGCTCGTGCCCGCGAAAAACGTGGGAGGTCCAGCACATGGATGGACCGAAGATGGCACAACAGCGAGGCATCCATCCGGAGGGCAGCCCAAGGCCCTACTAACCCATCACAAATCGATCTAAAACAACTTCAGCTTCGGGCTTCTCCACCAGGTAACCCGCCAGAGACGCAGCTTCTTTGCGGTTAACGCCATTATAAGTTGCAACTACCAGTATCATCGCCATCTTCCCTCCCCGGCCTCAATCTATACGCCGATATCTCAGCAGCGCCCGAGAGATGAAACGAAGGCGCCACTAAAGTGTCCGGTCTCTCTCAACTACGGCGCGATTCATAGAATTACGAGCGCTCACAGGATCAATTACAAAGCAAGCCCTGAGACCGGTGTTCGAGTCTACTGGCCGCTCAGGCAACCTAGCACTGCTCCGTCTACCGTAGCCTCAGCTGGCACTCCGGGACTATCGTATTTGCAATGGTGTTGATGGTTTCAAGCCCATCATCCTCCTCGTGCGAACGCCGCCAGAACGCCACCAGTTGCAGGAGTAGCAGGGAGCTGTCACCGATCGATATCAGGCACATTTCTGGTAGCATCACATGCTTATTTATGCAAAGGGTAACAGAGTCGAGCAGGTAGCCATGCTCGGCATCCTATGCGACTTGGGATCTCATCGATTTTTAACGGACGTGTGTCAGCCCAAGCACCACAAGATGTCGTCAGAACGTCGTTTGGGAAGAAGGATATCAAGTGACAAACACAACCATCCACGTATGTGGATTCTGCTAATGCAGTTCTCAAGCAGCTTTCAGCCCAATGGGGGGAGGCCCAGTGATGAGTCGTGTCAGTCTAAGCCAGATATTGGCAGTTCACAGAGCGGCACTTGAGAAATGAAATTCGGACTTATCCCGTGCCTGGACCCAAAGAAAAAAGACGCCTTGTATCTCCTTTTTATGAGAATGAGCCTAGGTATTTCCGACTAATAGGATGAAGCCCTGCCGGTTGTCGCTGCTTGACACCATCGTTTCATGCCGTCGTCGCAAGAGAGGCCGTAAATGCCCAGATGGAACACACCCGAAAGAAAAACCCGTACCCGTTCACGCCATTGAGAGACTCTACCATCCGCTTTGTTTTCCACCACTCCAGCCTTCCAACGCTTATCGCAGACGCCTGGCCTCGCGTTCGGACTCGAGCAGGCAGAGGATGTCGTCCTCACGGACTAAGCAAGCCAGTTAGCCAACGAATTACCACCCAACTTCTCGACTGTAGGACTCGACATACCGGGACCCTTGACGTTTCGGATGATGGAACGAGTCTGGTCGTCCATGAACTCGACGCGGACCTGGGTGACACCACCACGAGAGCCTGCATTCTTCCGTTAGCTTTCCATGATTCGATTCCGTATCGCTGCCCTAATATGTCCCCTCAACCGATCTGTAGGCCACCGTGCACCAGTATGCTTGCAATTTGCCGCGCTGTCGAGCCGAGTCTTCCTTGCCCTCTTTTCCCATTCGAATATCGAAACATCATTGTTTTCTTCCTTTTTTCTCCGACCCAATAGTTCGGCGAGAACGGCGACGACAATTGCAGCAGCGGTGATGGCAACAGACCGGCAGAGAGGGAGAATATCATGGCGAGAGAGCGAGAGGAAGTCTCATCGTACCGGTTCGGCCGAGCACTCGGGTCACCTTGACGAGCTTAACGGGAGCCTTGCTGCTGGATTCCATTGTGAATGATGCGTGTCCTTGACTGTGGAAGGTTTGCAAGAAGGTGAGGGCGGAGAGAAGGTAGAAGTCGCGGTAGACCGTGTGGGTAGCGAAGAGGGCGTATTTTTTCCTTCGGCTGCAATTTTGTGCTATTCGGCAGGGTTTTTTCCTGCTTGCGAGACCCAGTTCGGTGCGCCGCGTTGTGGGGGGCTCACGAGCGATAAGGTCACGTGCGATAAGCAAAGCCCCAACCAGACACTTTGCCGTTTTGGCCAGATGTTCGATGTCGGAGAATTAGAATAGCCGCGTTCCGGATCTACGGAGCCGCATTGCTCTAGCGCCAGCTGCCATCTCGTCTTGTCCATCTGTGTGCCAAACCTTGTCAGCTCTTGACCGGGGTCACCAACATGCGCCTCTGCGCCATCTCCACTCCCCTGTGTCAAACACTTGCATACAGCACTTTGTCCGTGACTTCTGGCTTGGTTATGTTGTGAAGGATATTACAGAAGGACTCTCAAAGTGAGACAGAGGCTGAGACGCTCAATGCTAATACTACTCCCCGTATGATTGCAGCAGCATCGCGTCGACTGATACGACGCATAGGCAATATCCGAACGGCGCACCGTCTCGTCGGCCGCTCCTCTGGCGAGATGCCAAATCGCCGATCTTGATTCTTGAATCTTCTCCGGACAAGGAGACCGGCCTACTCGCGGCTTCGACGTCGGTAACACAGACACCATGTCGTTGATCGCGTGATTCCAGTGACATGTGTGTCACGCTTGACGACTGCGAATACTCTCTACGAAGTACCGAGTACAGCAGTGATAACAGATAGACCGCAGATCTACCATCTGCGGAGGCTACACACCGTGTCGAGCTGAGCTCCCAAAGCGAGAAATGAGACGGGGCCATTGTGCAGATGCTCATGCAGTCATATGCTGCCTTCGGAACATATCTGTTGTGACCGAGGCTGAACTGCGGTACTCTCGGTTGTCAGGGGTACTAGCCGTCTTTGCGTTTCTTTGCTTTTTTCATTTCTCGCTCCTTCTGCTCCGGCCTTCATCGCAAAGGAGACACGGTACCGGAAACCTGGATGCCGCGGAAAACAGCATGGGATCGAATGCAAGTGCTGATACCCAATGCTCCACGGCGGCTTATTGACTTCGTATGATGAGTATGAGACACCAGATACGCCACTTGAAGGAAGAGGAAAGGGTGTCTTGTCTCTCAGTTCGCGGCATCTTTCCACCCAGGTGTGTGCTTTGGTGTCTTTCCTCCCTGTCATCAACGCTCGGCATTCGCCTTTATCTTTCCTCCGGGAACAGCCAAGAGGTCGCGGGAGAAGGCAATTGTTCCTCGAGACGGTCTGCATGACTCTTACACCAGTACAGAGGAGAGTCAAACGGATCATCTTGCTGTGTCTTGGCCAGTACGTCTAAGCGCCATCGGGCACACACACACACATGACTCCATTCAGCACCTCTTTTGAAACATATCACAGTCATACCAGTTTTCACGTCGCGCGCGGAAACCGGAATCCAGGCATCAAAAAAAAGTCAACTCTGCTTGTCTCAGAAAGCAGCCAAACGAATGACGTGTATTCGGATCAGAGGTAGCATCTAATGCCCGCAATATCCGTCAACCCGGTTGTCGAGCCTCCTTTAATCCCCGCTGTACGGGCAAATACCTAAGGAAACACAAGGTACCCGGGTAAGAGACATCCTAGCATCATGTCGCAGCGGAAGAGCTTGACACCAGCATGTTACTCCGGTTTGGCAAATCACCCTGGGCCGATGGTATGTCTACACCCCTTGGGACGGGAACTTGCCTCGGAACTGGCTCCGGCGCCTATGCTCAGGGGGGAAGATCCAAGTGGCGGGGAGCCAGCTGAACCGGATCCGTAGCCTGGTGCATGTCTCTCCCGCTCAGTACTAGCTAGGCCAGGCATCGACCGAGATCTGCAACATGAAATCCAAGAACCGGGAACCCAGAGTATTGTATGTCATTTGCGTCGCGTGCAGGCTTGGCTGTACCGTTGGTCCGATGGGCTCGAGGTCCAGACTCTTGCTCTGACCCGACCTCCCCTTTTCACTTGACTGGTCTCTAAGACCCTGACCCAGCCTTTGCTCACTGCTGCACCAGCCGCACTGTTCTCGAAAAGCTGAGATGTCATATGCCGAATGGCTAGGTATCTTTTAGATAAGTGGTGTTCACATTATGTTAGCTATTATAGCAACCCTGGTGCTGCGTGTGACAAGAGCCTCCAGGCCAGCTGGGGAAGCAGCTCAATCCTCCACTTCGACACAACACAAAAGAGAATCCTCGAGCAGCACCCCTTTGTGAACCCACGCCCTTTTGGTTGGTATCATAGTAAGAATCCACTGGCCTTCCGCCAGGCACCGATGACAGGCAAGATCAAAAGTGAACTCCGTCTGACGCGCAGAAATGCGGAGAATATAGAGATAATATATACAAAAATGTCTGTTTGCTTGCCTTCTGGCTGTCTGTCTTTTAAACCTGAAGCATGCTTGAACGCTTATACGCTGCTAATGACACTATCATGAAGGAAGTAACAGGAGAGAAAAAGGATTAAAAGGAGGGTATGAGGAAATCAGCCGTCAGTTACACCGTCTTGGTGTTGACTGGCGATTGGTGTGATGCGAATAGGGGGAAAAAAAAAAGACATTAGAAGTGCCCATGCTCTAAATAATAATATCGTTATGATCTGCCGATTGCCAGCAGCACTCACAGAAGAGAAAAAAAGGTAGAGAAAAAACAAAGGAAAAGAGACAGGAGTAGGACAAAGGAAAGGAAGGAGATAGACAAATGGAATAAAAGAGCCCAGGTGATGGCCACATCTCAGTTGGCAAACAAGAGAAAAGAAGAGAATTGAGACGAAAGGAAACAAGATGCGACGAGGCCATCCTGGCGTGTATAAAACATCAAGGCTGTCATCGAGGTGTACGCAAAGCCGCTCCTGAGCGAGCCCGCCTGCTCTATAGTGATGTTCCAGTGTCCACCGCCTCCGGTCGGTTTCAGTTGAGGACATCTAGGGTCCTTTCATCGGGCCATCTCGGTGTGGCAATGCGGCGATAAATCTGGCCAGGGTTCTGCTCCTCGAGCTCCTTGCACAAGACCTCAATGGCGAGGACCCATCGAGACTGCAGCTGTGATTGGCGTGACGCGAAAATGGCATTGAACTGAGACTCTTCCTGGACAAACTGGGCTTCTAGCCGGTCCAGCGCCTCTTGTCTCGCCTCCGTGAATAGCGCATATTCTTCCTCTTGCTTGGCCCGAAGCTCCTCCATCTTCACGGCCTGCCGCTCCCGCATGAGATTGATCTTGGACTCGCGTGTGCGATCCATGCCATCTCGAAGGTAGTACTGCTGACCCAACTCTTTCAGATCTCGCTCAGTGACGACCCTGACGGGGGCCGTCGAGTTGGGGTTCCGCCCAACGCCGTTGCAGTAAGCCTCCATATGCTTGAGTCGCAGATGTATATTCAGTTCATCCTGCTGTAGCGTTTCAAGCAGCGCCATCTCGGCGGCGACGTGACGGTCTTCTTGCTGAGCCCAAGCCCTCTCGTGTCTTTCGCGGAGTTTCTCCTCTTGGCAGTCGTATTTTTCTTCCACGGCGGCCTCTTGTATCAGGTGGCGCGTCTGCAAGGCGTCTTTGCCTTGTGACTTATATTCCAGGAAACGGCCGAGCTCTTCTTGCTGTTCCTGGCCAAGTTGCTGAATTGACGAGTTGGCGCGTATCTGCTCTTCAGCCTCGCTGGAAGCCGTCTCCTCCGTCTGTCGGCGGCGCTTCAGCTCCTCTTCAAAGCTGCAGAGATTGGGGCATCCAGTCGTAGAATCCCATATGGCGGCGCAGACAGAGCAGAAGCGAGCTTTGCATCGGCAGGTCATGTAGGGAGATTCCACGGTCATCTCGACCAGCGCCCTGCATTCGTAGCATCGCTTCCAACATGCCCTATCATGCTGCTGCTGCTGCTTCTTTTTCAACACCGCCAGCTCCCAGTCCTGTGGGCAATTCTCACCCACGGCGTGGGCAGCGCCTTTGCATATGGCGCACACACGGCCATTGCATTTGAAGCAGGTAAGGTCGAACGGATGTTTGGCGTCGTGGGCATCGTTAGACGGAATGAAGTGACCACAGGCTGGATCAGGGCAAAACACTCGTTCTTCGACTGGCGTGTTGAGCTTGAGGACCGCCAGCAGGAATGTCACCTGGGCGTCCTGGCTCAGGATTGTCCTAACAAGGGGTGCTGCTAGGGGCTGAGAGCAACAGCGTGGTGGCATCTGGGATTCATTCTGAACGGCTTGATTCACCATGTCTCGTATGCACTCGACGCAATGCATATGTCCACACTGGAGCTTGTGCAAAGCATTGGATTCTGCTCCAAAGGGCTTCTGGCAGCTAATGCACGGTCTGTACGAGCGTTCACAAAAGGGTGTCAGCTCATCCCAACGCCATATTGAAGAAATCAAGGTAATGATAAGGCTCCCTGACCTGAAGCAAGACTTATATATGGAATTGGAGGGGCTTACATCTTGACTTCCACTGACGCCACAGTTTTCTTTTTCCAACGCAAGCGATCTCGCAGGTTTGCACGATGGCTCTTCTTTGATGCAACGCTCACAACGCTCTGGGCAGAGCTACCGTTGGCAATGGGCGTGGGTGGAGGCCTGGGAACTTGATGCTGTGGGTTACCAGAGTCCACAGAGGCAATAAGTCGTTCGTAGTGGGAAAACGTAAGACTCGCAGCCGAAACACCTCTTGTCCCAGAGCCGGTATCGAAGAGGGAGCTCGAGGGGCCAAAGATGGAAGAGTGAGGAGTCAAGGCACTGCTGGCTGACCCGTTGGACGCATTTGAAAAGGTGCGGTCTTGCTGGGTCCCAAACGACGAGACCGAACAGCTGCTGGCCGGATGTCTTTTGCTGGCAACAGACGGCAGAGTGGCGGCGATGCCAGCGGCGTTTGCTCTGGCGACCAGCTCTTGATCAGCCTCCGCCTCAGACTTGCCCGGAGGCAGGCGCAGTACTTCCGTAAAGTACTCCGAGTCGTTGAGCTCAGGGATGGCGAAAGAGTCGGACTCGGACATGGCGGCAGCGTCAGAAGAAGGCGGGACGGGGACTGACAATGGATCCATTGCCGGGCCCGATGTGCGTGTCGAAGCGGATAAATATGGGCTGGAGAAGTGCAAAAAAGGGAGATCAAAAAGTGGTCGATCAAGAAGATGAGGGGTTTGAGACGGCGAAGAGCTCTGACAAGGAGCTGTGAAGGAGATGAAGAAGATGAACAAGTGTCGGAGAGGTGAAGGTTGAGGAGGCAGACGGAGAAGGTACGGAAGGCAGGTGTTTCTTGGGTTGCTCCTATACGGAAGATTTTCTACAGCAGGGACAATGGGGCCGGCTGCATATATACATCCGCTGGGGGTAAGGTAAGGCAAGGTAAGGTAAGGTAAGGTAGGTCCTTCCCAGCTAACGCACAATGACATAAGGCAGGTATCCCGTACCGTGGACCCCTACACCCTGCCCTATAACAAGAGGGACGGGAAGAGAGAGGAGAAGGGAGAGTCTCCGGGAGAGAGTCCGAAGGAGATCGGAGCGTGAAGTACAGGTCCAGTAGCGAGCAGTAGCAGCTGCCCAGTGCTGCTCGTTGGCTAACGAAGAGGTGCATTAGTACACTCATTAGTACCGTCAGGTAGCACACATCGTGCATCCCTACCGTCTCGGTACGGGGTCAGGACTACAAGCGGTACTCGCACATGCTGCTGAATGAGCCCAACACAGCCTGTACCATCCCGGCAGCAGTGGTACCTTTGAGGGTTTTGTCATGCTGAAGCGATAGCATGAGATCCAACCAGTAAGGTAGGTAAGGTAGCAGGAAGAATATCACCAGGAGAGAAGACGGTACCTATTACCTGGGTCCTCTACAGAGTACATACTAATACATGGCATGATTCCGACCCGCAAGAGATTTGAAGGGTGTGGATATCAGAGCTGTCGAGAGACAAGCGTCTGAGATCCGGTTCTCGCTCCCGATTGGATAGTGGGCCTGAAATCTTGGGGGGGCCCGGGAGTGAGATTGAGAGGGCAGGGATCGAGCCCTGTGATGCAATTGCCAGCTGTCAGTGGGCACGCATGTCTTGAAGCTCTGTCTGTCTCTGGCTTCAGGAGAGAATCACAAGAGTCTAAGTAGGTAGTGGTACAGGCGGTCGTACAAGCCAAGCCAGGAGACTCGGGATGTGTTTGTCCGGCTTCACAGAGGACGAGGGTCTTTTAAGACAAAGGTCTCGGAGAGACGACGATCTATTGGGGAGGGACGAGCATGGACTAGTAATAGCAGCAAACGGAGGGAAAAGAAAAGAAATGAGAAGACGTACATGAAAGGAAAGGAAGGAAGAAGTCCGATACAACAAGAAGAGCGAGGCGAGCCGATGGCATATCTTACATGTACCTTACTTTATGACAACGGTATACATACATACTTATGGTGCTTCGCATCTGAGGCGGACGTTGCAGCCAACAAGATACCACGGAATTGCATAGGTGCCTACTAGTGCAGGTCGATTCAGGAAACAACGCAACAGGATCTCGACTGGTGAAAATTTTTCTCTCCTCCCAGCTCTTGTGCGAGTGGCGGCACAAGAAGAAAAAAGAGAGAGGAGGGCGGGAGAGAGAAAGCGCACCAACACAGCACATGCAGCTTGTGAAGCAACCCCAGTTGCCCAGTTCCGAACTAATGATACGACCAGGGGGATCCTTGGCAGAAATGCTAGGCGCGAGTCGATGCCGCTAGTGCACCTCGGTGAAGGGCGATTGATTGTGACTTCTGAGGTGATGGGATGGTGTTGGGCGTGGCGATCCGGCCGTCTAGAGGGGGCGTGTTGAAATCACAATGGATGAAACCAGTATCGAGCGCGAGAGCGAGAGAAAAGACGCACGAGCCGAGAGCGAGTGAGCCACCAAGAGGCACCTCCTTACTCTGAAACAAGGATCTCACCTGAATAAAAATACAAGACCCAAGGTACTTGTAGTAACCAGGAACTCGGTGCGGCCCTTGACAGCGGCCCGTACAATGGCCGGACGAATGACCGCGCGGGCCTTGGTGGCCGACTTGCTTCTTTGAGATGCCTACAGTACTAAATACTACCTACCTGGCTTACCTTACCTCTTCACAGCCTCAGCACCTTACCTGTACCCTGAGTGGCGCGGTGCCACAGAGATGGGTAATATGTACCGAGCGGGCGGTGGTGTCGTGCTTTCGTGGTGTCTGCAGTGGTCCGAGTTGTTACTGCCGGGTATTGCGTGCTGCGCGCGAGCTACCTATGCGGATGACTTCAATTCTCAAAACGCCATCTGCGTCTTCAAAAGGCAATTAAAGACTCAAGTGGTTCAGCATATCTTGAGGTATTTTGCACACTGACGTCCATGCTGCCGGTAAGTAGTACCTATAGGTACCTACCTATTGCCTCCAGTCTTTATAAGCCCGGGTTTGCCTTCCTGTCAGTGCACCTGCCCTGCAGCAGCCCCATGGTATCGGCAGATTGACGCGATGTTTCGGTATTGGCAAGTGCACTTGACAGGCAACTTACACTTGGCCATCAGGGCACCGAAGGGCAGCGCCTGCCCGCTCGTAAGGCGTCCGAAGCGAAGCGATACACCGCACCAAATCTGTAAATAATAGAGGCAAACCGGGTTTTCTCCTCTTGAATCTTCATGTGCTCTCGTAGCAGCAGAGCTTGGGCAATTCCTTGATATCCGCCGCTCGCCATTTACAGCAATTACATCTACTAATAGATGATACTTCACACATCGTACGACCTGCACTTCGCAGCCTCTCCCCTCCCGACTCCCGACCCGCCGCCATCGACAACCCCGACAGCGGCCGTCCTCCGCCCTCGGTCTCTTCGCCACCAATAACGACGGCGATACTTGCTCCTGCGACCTGACTGGGTTCCTTTCTTCCCTCTCTTCTCAGCCAGCCACCTGAACTTTTCTTAGTCTCTCGGCTGCTCTAGGCCGTGCCGGCCGGTTGGATGGATACATACTTGGTACCTAGGTACCAGAGTAGGATGGGTGCTCGTGACTCTGTACAACGTATGAGGTACCCGTGTTGCCGGAGTAAAGGGTGGGTGGCAGATGCAGAGGACATGCTACTGCTTCCATCAATTACCATCTAGGAAGCCAGCCTTTTTCTGTCTGGGCGTGATACATCTTAGCATCAGGCTTTGACCTCGCTGGCCCGTTGCGAGCCGGGGCCAAGATCCCGAGAATACCCTGAGGTTACTGCCATCGCCATTTTTTCGTCCACTTGTGTATATTTCGATTTGATCCGACCCTTTGGTTCTTGCGAGAATTCAGGCCACCCGGTGCCAAGTACGTGCTCGGAGTTGGCATATGCCTCTTTCACCTCGCTTGGACACAGCATGGGTCACAGGCTTGAATTGGCCGGTTGGCTCACACAAGAAGTGAGACACATCTTTGTGGACTGATCGCCTGCACCAACACAACACCACCACAAGCAGAGTTTCCGGGCCCCTCTTAGGATGGCCTGTTGCTTGGGCTTCTTGTCCACCAAATGGCCCATCGCTCCAGTTCGCTGCTGCCCTCCATCATCCTGGCGAGACGGATCGTCGAGCAGTCTGTATATGCAAGTCAGGCCCACTATTGGCCTTTTCTTGCCTGCATGATACTCGTCATTTTTCTCATCCGCCTCGTCCGCCAAAAGAAAAAGCAGGCCGGCTTTTGTAACGTTGACTGAAGGAAATTCTAAGCTTTGAGCCAAGCTGGGGGGCATCGGAGCCAGCCAGTCTTTACCGAGGAATTCAAAGTACCCATCGTCTACTAGAATGGCCGCCATCCAGTACCGACTCCAGCATGACACGACGACGCTTGCGATCTCGGGCCTCTCAATGCACAGCAACCCAAATCTAATAATAACACCCTCTTAGGATACCAGTCGCCGGGTCTCGGGTACCATGGTCCGAACAGAATGGCCGCCAGAGCCGCTGAGAAAGCCCGAAAAAGCTAGCTACCTAACCCCAGGTAGGTAGCAAGTGAGCGAACGCACATTTGGTATTACATCCCTTACATGACTGGAGGCCCGCGCACAGACAATGTTTGCCGACCTCCCAGAATCGTCAAGGCATCACTGGCAGAAAGTGCAAATCAAGCCCAGCAAAACCCCCATCTCCCGTCCCCTGGCGGAGTTGCGTTGCGGAGCAGATGTGCCGTCTCACAGTCCAGGCTGCGTTATCATACTCGGACTCCTACTAGTAGTCGAAGCAGTGCCCCCCTGCCAACAAATGTATACGAAGTGTTATTCTCCAGTGCCGACTGGCTCATCTACCGCATGATTTGCCAGTCAGTGCTACCCAAACGAGGGGGGGCATGTGGATAGATTTCTACGATCGTTTACGTCAAGCCCCAAAGGCATCGCCCACATCTGATCGCGAAAGAGGGAGACAGGACAAAGACAGAAAGGAAAGGTGTAAGAAACGGAAGCCCAATCAGAGTATTCTTGACCCCTCCAACTTGCCTATACGAGTGCTTCGTACAAGGCTGCTAACATGCTGCAGCTACTACTTGTCGTAGTATGAAGGACGAAGCATTCACGCCCTCCATTCGACTCGTCTAACAATGCGGTTCGTTGTGTGTGACACGACAGCAAGATGCCCGAGAGATGTACGGAGTAGTACCTCAAGTTTCACCCCCACCACAAGGGAGAGCACATTGTTGCACCACAGACTACGGATGCTACTAGTACAGCAGTACTACGGGATCTAAATTACCACCCGCGCCGAAGCAACCCAAGGTACTGTTACTGCTCCGTCTCTACGCATGCCAAGATCGTCCGGCAGTCCGTGATGGACAGTTGGTGTGCACGTCCCATATGGTATGTAGTACGTATACAGCTGGGCGGGTAAGCCTCTCTCTAGATCTGCCCTATGGAAACGAGTAAGCCAACTAACGGTTGTGTGCAGTTGGTTGTGAGGTGTTAGCAAGGCTGGCTTGGATGGCTCTGGCTCTGGCTTCAGGTCCTGCTTATTTACTATACTTGATCCGCCTTGCTGGGTAAGGTCGTCCAGAGTGAGGATTTCACGTCTGATCCCCTGGTGCCCCAGCATTTCGTCGTCTCTCCTTACAACCTCCTTTGCCCTGGCAATCTTGCTCCGTCACACGTCATTCACTAGGTAGCTTTAGCCCATTGAAGCCTGGGCTACTTGTACGAGAAGTTCAACCCCAGCCATTCTTTGGGCAGGCAAACCGGAGACAACCTTGGAGGCGGTAAAGAGCCTGGCCTTTCCGGCAACCTTGATCGACGGGCCGGCGGGGCTGCAAGATATGCAGCGGCCCCCCTGTTGAGATGGTCACTCCCAAGTATTGCATCTCATGGCTCATGTTGATCGCGCGATCACATCAACAAGGAGAAAGAAAGCAAATACCGCGGCCACAAATACGACGAGAAGAGCACCGCTGGAAGCAAAAGAGGCGCCCTACGACCATGACCAGGTACCCTAGTCGGGCTGGCGTTGGCCCTGCTCTCATCACAAGCGCAGGCGCCTGGCGATCGATGGTGTGAATGGAGCCGCATCTGAATCACTTGCTTGCAAATCTGACTAGACAGGTCACAAGCAAGTCGAGATTTCGCGGCGTTCATGTATGTATCAGATCCTCTAAGCCGCAAACCCACTTCTACTACTCCGGGAACCCGGGATCAGGTACTCCGGCGCCTGGTCGGGGGACTGCTTGCAAGGACCATGTCTCAGCCGGAAAGTGAGGCCGCCAAGCGCCGCCTTGTTTCTTGATTCAGTTGAGTGAGTGAGCTGCCTGGATGCCGCGTAATCGCTCCAAGTGGTCGATGTCTTGAGAAGCAGAGATGTGTCGCTCTCCACGGCAATAGGGCGAGATTGATGCTCCGTTCGCCGATGAACTGGCCGATGGAAGCAGATGACGCCGAGACATGGCCTTATAGTTGTCATTGAAACCCGAGATACGGCGCTTAGAAGAGTGAACAGGATAAGCCAGCATATTACTATGCCCCGATCCCGTCTCTGGTACGATCGAGATGTCTGTGCCAGCGGCTTTGCAGGAGCTTACATGCAGCTCTTTGACAAGAGGGCGATACTGTCCACTGTACAGACCAGTACCAGTACTGAATTCAGACCAGGGAGACGGTGCGACCTCGCAGACACTTTGGCGTGAAACCTGGCATTTTGCGAATGAAAGTCCTTGCGGGAGCCCGATCGGGGATCTCAGAGTCGAACGATTACCGATATGCCAGCCTTGGTTTGGCCAACTCCCGATGAACTTGGTGTAACCACTGCGTACTTATCCTCCTATGTCATCTGCGGACTCACAATCTCTTAGCTGTATGCTTGAGGAAGGCAGGGTAACAGTCTTGATCTACGGCGATGGAAGGGGCAGAGCTAGTATATGCATGGAGTTGCGCATCACGTACTGTAACTGCCAATTCCTACCTTGCTTCTACAACTGGAACCTGATAAATAAAGCCATCTCACAGTGTCTTTTGTAGGTTCCTCAATCTCAAATTGAAGCTACCCTAAGTATAGATACCTGACTACTGGATAGGTAGACTCTGAGGCTGAGGAGCTTCAGAATACTTGGACTAAGGTCGCCGTCAAAGCCCGTAGCACAAGGCCGAGGCCATGACTCTGAGGGGCCCTCTCCTGTCCGTAGTCCTTGCCACTGCGTGACTGGGAAATCGGTTTATTGGAATACGATGGCCGCTCTCGTGTGTACATGCACACCGAATAGCATACCTTGGTTGGAACGTACGATGATGAAAGAGCGGATGAGAACGCTGTAAAGGGTATGCATGAGTTCGGTGTCATGGTGAGACGAGAGGGATCATGTTCAACCATCTGCATTCTAGAGAAATCGTTGAGATGCTCTTCGTGTCCCTTCGTACTATATCTTAAGACCAACATTTGGCAATTTCACAGATCGAATTGTATTGAAGGAAGCTCAACTGGACACAAGTGACGAAATGGCAACACCACGTCGTGAAGAGGGAAGTCCGCAGTTGCATGAGAGGAATTGAGTAAAGACGAGCACACTTGTGACCTCCACCCGCAGACATATCACTGCCACCATCGCGAGCCTACCTGACCGTTCCAGGTCGGGCCCTCCCTCATACTCAGCAAAGTGGTCCAACCATGCGAATGGCCCAGAGATCAGCTGCTCACTAGGTATCTATGGAATACTACCGAGTAGGTAGTTTCATTCGAGTTGGTGACATCGGAACAGCTTATTCGGGGGGATGAAAAGCATCAGAGCATTGCATTAGAACAGGCCGTGAACAAGGCGAGTTCAGCCTCTGGAACCTTGAGATCAGAGACGAAGGATAGCCCTGTGTTTAGGTCAGCAGTTGAGTTGAGTGCATACCAGTGACGCACTGCCCGCTCACGGACCCCCTCTAAGCGGTTGTGCTACCGACTCTGCCAGTGGACTCATCAACCCTTTCCAGTGCGGGCAGGTATTCTTGCGTACCGCGCAGGCAGCAAAAGACAACCAACAGATTGCGCCGAGCAATCAAACAGCACGGTCGAGATTAAAAAGCAGCCCGAGCCTGAAGGTTTATCTTCTTTGGCGCGCGCCTTGCCGAAGCAAGCTACGGGGAAGCGCCCGGGCTTCAAGGCTGACAGCCACCGACCCGTTGTAGCGAAACCTACAAAGAAGGTTGAAGGCTGGTTGACACCTTCAGTTGAGGTGTGTTATTTTTGGAGGGGGACCGGCGCCTTATAAAGGCTGTGCGCCCCTGGCCTTGTTGCCTTTTCTTAGTCAATTCCCTTGTCCCGTCATTCTCCCTCCTCCGTCTCCGTCACTGCCTTGCATCGATTCATCGTCAGCATCTCTAGCAGCGGCAGCAACAGCATTAGCTTCAGCCGACGCCCTTCCGTAACCCGATCGCCGGACAGCCACGCTGATACCCCGAACAAGCACGCTCGCGGCGCTGCTGCGACTCGTCCCTCGCGCAACAACCGACCAGGGCATCACAGGCTTACAGCGGCTCAACGCGCAGGACCGCCATGGCTGAGCTGATTGACCCGACAGCCAAGGGCAACTACCCCATCATCCTCGGCGATGGCTTACTGGGGAAGACCTCCAACGACATCTTTACCGGCATTCGCTGTACGTCGGCTCGGCACGAATCAATGTCATGGCAAGACACACAGATGCTAATACACATTGCGCAGACAACCACAAGCCCTCGTTCCCTGCGTCCGACGCACGCTTGAAGCCGTCGCTCCCTGGAAAGACAACCTCCTACGACTTGACCTTTCCCAGTCCCGAAGGAACGGTCGGATTCGCCGGAACGCGCTCGACCGACGATGACGACTACGTGCTATGGTTCGATCCCGAGCGGAAGGCGTTCATCCTGGACAAGGTTGATTCCACGTTCAACATGAATCTCACGCGCATCCCCGGAAACAGCAACCCCGAGGAGCTGCGACGTCGATACCCTCATCTGGAGAATGGCCAGTCACAAAAGGTGGGAGACAAGAAGAATGTATCGAACAAAGACAAATCAAAGTCGACGCCCAAGGCTGATGATAAGACTATCACCGTCCAGACCAAGGAGGTGATGCAGAAGAAGCTTGACAAGAAGTCCTCTGACAGGGTGCTCATTGAAAAGAAGAAGCCTCTCGATAAGAAACCTCTTATGGACAAGAAACCCGTTGACAAGAAGCCGGTCGACAAGCAGCCGCTGGACAAGAAACCGCTAGAGAAGAAGTCGGTGGAGAAGAGATCCTTGGAGAAGAAGATATTCGAGAAAAAGCAGCTCGACAAGAAGCTCCCCAAGAAGATTGACCTGGCACTCCCCATGCCGCAGCCGCCGAAGCCAGCACAGTCCGAGTCTCGAAAGAAGAAGGACGATGACGACGATGAGGAAGACGAGGACGACGATGGCGATCTCCTCATCGAGTACCCGGGCGCGGAGAACCCGGCCAAGCAGACCCATTTCTCGCCGGCGTTTCCCGCCCCTCGGCGCTTTGATGACTTTATGGATCAGCGCGAGTCCGAGGTGGAGGAAGAGGATGATGACCAGGAAGACGAAGACGACGGGATGGATCCGGACACGGAGTTTAAGCTGCCCAGTCCAGTGAAGAACGCCAGCCAGAGCCACTCGGAGGCCATGGACGTGGATGAAGAGGAGGAAGATGAAGCACAAGGAGAAGCAGAGGAGACCAACGATGTTGCCGACTTGGAGTTAGATTTGGAACAAGAGTTGGAGAACGCCTTTGAAAAGTTGGAGAGCAATGGCCAAGACAGTGGCAACAACGGCTACTACTACAACGACAATGCTAACGATGACGAAAGCGAGATCAGTGAGGAGGACTAGACAAGCTCTCCAGAGGCGATTATTGCTGGGATTACTTGGGCGACGACTTGGGAACAGACAGGGCAAGGAGTTGATGGGTTTTTTTGGGTTTTCTTTTCTTTTCTTTTTCTTTCTTTTTGCTCTTTCTTTATGATTGATTGACTTTACAGTGGGATTTGATTTGTTTGGTTGTTCTAGGGCCGGCGTTTGAAATAGGTCAACTAACGCCAGATACCACCTGCGAGAATAATGATGGCTTTTTCCTCCTCCTTGTCCGTGCCCGCTCTTCTTGCTTCTTTGCTCCTTGGTCCCTTGTGGCCTTGACGCCTCTTAAAGTTGTGGTAGCGTCATGTTGGAAACCCATTGAAGAACATAGACTAAGACGACGAGACATGACTGATATGTGAATACCATTGTTACTCGAGCCTACTACCAAGAAATGACCAAAGCGATTCATTCATCATCACCAGCAAACCTATTACCAACCAAATGGTCCGTCACGCCGGGCACCTCCCTCTCGCAGAAAAGGTGCCTCCTGGCCTTGGTCAGCAGCGGCCCGTACCGCGCCAGGATGGGCGCGTCGAAGCAGCCAACGGTGAGGCACGTGTCCTCGCGATCGTCGCGCTGCCAGAACAAGAAGCTGCCGCAGTTGGCGCAGAAGCCGCGCTCGCAGTGCGGCGTGGCCGAGTAGAGCTTGAGCGTCGACTGGGCCGTGAAGGCGACGGCGGACTTGGGCACCTTGTGGGAGCGGAAGATGAGGGAGCCTGTGTTTTTGCGGCACTGCTCGCATTGGCAGGTCGTTGACTGGAAGTCGTTCTCCTCAGCTCTAGTTCAATGGAGAGGGGAAATTATGGAAAAAGTAAAAAGAAACAGGTTGAAGAGGAAGAGGACTCACTCTGTTGGCGAAATCGTGGTTGGGGGGAAAGGTAACGGTGTAGCGGACTGAACCGCAGACGCAGCCGCCGGTGATTGTCTCTGGTTTGTCGTCTGATGAAGCCATCTCTGCTCTGATTGATACGGTCTGCAACTGGAAATACAAGAGTTGACAAGTAAGGAAAAGAACAAGACAGATTACTCCGGACGCTTTTTTCACCCAAAACTCCGTCGGCGTGCCCTTGTCAATGACGCCTTTCACATGCCCTCGAACTCGAGCTTATCGTCATCTCGATGCTTAGTGTAGGTAGTCGCGCATCGCAAGCACATGGATGTCCAGCTCAGGGCGCTTGGTACTAAAAATGCTGCTGGATGAAGCATTTCTTGCTTGGCGTGATTGATTCGCGTCGAATGCAACCCCGTGGGCGTGGATTTGGTATTAATTGATTGGACGTCAGGGTTGCAGACTATTGAGTGTTGTACCATCATCATCGTCATTATATGATCCTCTATATACGGGCCGGAAAAATGCGGCCATGCTGTTCCTAAGCAGTGAGAAAAGATGCAAGCACAATCAAACCACCTCCCACCTCGCGATCCAGCCAACATTCTCGCCGGCGTTCCTCACAATGCACAGCCTTCCCTCCTTGGGGTTCGCGCGGACATCGGCCAACACCTTCTCCACGGCGATGCTGCCAATCGCCGCCCCTCGACCGTTCGCCAGACAAAACGATCCCGTGGTGACAAAGCCGATGAGGTCCTTCGCATCAGGCACCAGCGGATGGTGTCCGCCAATGTCTGTTTCGTTGGGCCCCAAACCGCTTTCCAGACTTATAGGAGCACTGAGGAGCTCCTGTGCTAGAATGCGTTTGCGCGTCTCTATGTCGTCTAATCGTGACGCCGTCTTCTTCGACTGAGTCTGGAAAGATGAAGATGACCTAGACTTGGACACTGTTGAAGAGGATGAAAACGAGGGGATGCGCGAAAGCCACTGCGCCCGAAGATCGGACGGGAGAGACGACGCTCCTGGAGGCATGCTTGCGGGGACTTCGGCATCAGAAGATGGTGGTATCGGAATAGCTTCTGAAGGCAGACGGTAGATTCTCGCGCATGGATTGGCAACGCCTCGCGAGAGGAGCGATATCCGGACACACGCAATAGCGTATGGAAGGAGTGGCTGAAGAGTCGGAGATGGCGATAGTAGGCTGTTGAAGACCGATTTGGGGATGCTGTTCAGAAGCTTGAGGTAAGGTATTTCGACGTTATTCCCCTTCTTCTTGGTCGGCGCCGGGTTTTCATCATCAACATCCATCGCATCTCCTGAATCGTCGGGCGGTGCACTCTGCTGCTGCTGCTGCTGCTGCTGCTGCTGTGCAAGGCCAAAGAGAAATTCAAAGTCACAAGCGTGTCCGTCCCCAATCTCACCCTGTCGGCCTGCGCCTAGCGCAAGAGACGCCCACTCGACCCTCTTGCTTTTTGGGCGCCGTGCCCAATCCCTCTTTCGCCTCTGCCTCCGCTCAAGTTCCCATCCCGCTCCAGCATCAGTGCCCAGGAAGTCGGCGGGGAACCATGGAAGACTGCGCTCAAAAGCCACTTGCATCGTCTCGTTCAGCCCGGCGAACCGTGGGTTGCCGCCTGAGACAAGCGGGCAGTGCACGATGCTGTACCACAGAGGGAGGATGCATTTCCAAGGGGCGAGGAGAGTCCATGTCCCTTGCGCCTGCGTGCCTGGTGCGGAACGAGACGCGATGAGCGTAACGGGAATGGGAGGATCATGTATGGTCGGCTTCAGAAGTGCTCCGGACGTGGCTTTACTTCTTCTCCTGTTGATGGACTTTTGTGATGGCAAGCAGGAAGCCCTATGCCGGGCATGTCGGTCAAACAAAAGCGACGGCTGCAGGTCTTTCTCTGCGGGCCAGCTGGCGATTGTGGCCAGCAAATCCATCTGAGCCTGCTCATTCTCGGGAAACTCCATCTTCCGTGGCGGATACCGCAGCCGAGGGTCCTGGACTGCAAAGTGTAGCACTGAATTGCTCGGCAGAGCAGCCGGGTTCATCAGCCCTTTCAGAGACTCGAATAGCTCGGCGTGCTTGTTCTTCGGACCTGAGCCCCCTGAAGGATACGGCGTCAAGACTGACAGCAGAGTCTCAGTAGACGCAGGGCCGGTGAGCTCTATGCTTCCGATCTCGAATCTCAGATCTTCAATGTACAGCCGGGGCTTTTCCATCTTTATCAGCCGCAGCAGCTCATTGAACAGCTCTAGGAAAGCCGAAGGGTGGACTCTGAGAAAGACACGTCTTTGCGTCTTCTTATCGATTTTGCTTCGCTGCTCTCCTTCTCCTTCTGCGCCATCTTCTTCGGTATGCTGTGACGGTGGTTCAGGATCCCAGATAACAATCGATTGGCATATTGGCCGATGAACCCCAGCTCTCTCCCGACTCAAAATTCCAGTCCACGCTCTTGTGCCCTGCCTCCACTTCAATCCTCTGTCGTCCCAGCAAGAATCGTTCGTCACTCCGACCCTCCGGAGGACTCTCGCCATGCCGGCAAAGTTCCCATAGAGACCAATGGTGCTCATGTAGGTCATGTCCCAAACCATGGTGCCGCGTTCTCCTTGTGCCCTGTGTGTCGGTCGGTATATCTTTTCATTGGGTGTCAACGGGATGGCAAAGCGCCACAGGGGTTCCGTGGGCTCCGTCATGCGAGCCCTCTTTGCGTGCCATTGATGTGTCGGCAGCCAGGTCTTGTTGATCTGCCTCTTCCTGAACTTTGCGGCTGGTCTAGGAGGTTCGTTGAGCGCGTTCCTCCGTATCTTGGGCCTGGGAGCCCTTCCCACGACGTCGACGTTGGTGGTCCCTGACGCTTTCGGGTCGTCCCGCTTCGCGTCGTTGGAGGCCTGCTGGTTCCTCTCCAGCTTCCTCTTCTTCTTTCGCGCTGAGAGTATGCGAAGTCGCTTGGCTGTCTGGGCTCGTATCCTCGCTCTCGTCGTCCTCGGCTTTCGTTTTCGAGATTCGACCAGGGGAGTGTTGTCTTCGTCCATTTCCTTCCTGGCCCTGGCGCGAAGCCTTCGAGGCACCCGCTTGGGGTTGTGGCTCGCCGTCCGTCGTCTCAGCCCGCGAGGGACCTGCTGGAAGGCTCTGCTGCTCTTGACGGCCTTGGTCGTGGCCATGCTCTGCTCCAGAGCGCGAATCTCAAACTCATGAGCCGCCACAAAGGCAACCAGATCCAGCTCGCCATCCTTGAGCGCGGCATCAGCAGCTTGCGTCGGGATGCTTCGCGCAGCATGCACCTTGGCGCGCTTCTGCATAAACGCATCGCTGCGGGCATTGTGAGCCGGTGCGCCGCGCTTCTTGGAAGCAGCACCGGACTGTCCGCCCGTGGAATGGTTGGAAGCCATCTCAATGGCAAGCTGGAGAGCCCTGCGAAGCTCGATTTGCTGGTTGACCGAGGTTTGATGCGCGGTGATGCTTTAGCCTGGGAAACTTTCTTGCCCAGGCCTTATCGATAAGCAGGGGAGCTACAAGTTTGTGCTTGCCAGTGCATGCACCCACTGTAATCTCCCGCTATAATCCGCTGTAACACACCCGACCACATAATCCTCCAGTCGGCTTGTCAGGCTGCCCGCTGTATCACCACCTGGGTATCATCATAGGAACCCAGCTATGTAGGTAAAGTGATCAATGTTGTGGATGCTTCACTGCTTCAGATATCATGTCTTTTGCTCTTCTCTCGAAATGGCTTAGCTTTAGTGTCTCTTGTTCTTCTCGGCATTGACACTGCAGACAGTGATATAACTGTCTAATGACATGACGATGATTTTGTACAATGTCAAGTGCAACCAATTCATCGACTTCCCCAAGCATCATTGCCGATAGGTAAAGTTATCATGAAACACCTGATATGAGGCTTTTCCCAGTTCCACGTGCGTCATCCGTGCCAGTAGTACCTTCCTCTACCGACTTACAATTGTAGCTCCTTCCCAACCGCATATTGCACCTCATCTCCTATTAGTATCTGAGCTCCAGATTCACCGCCTACCGGACAGGACAAGACCTGCCCTAGGCCGTCCAATGGCTTACCGCTTAGAGTAATATTGCCCATCTCAAGCTTCTGCCCGCACTGCTCATCATCTCCACCACGTCAACGATCCGTCTAAAGGCATCAGCAGATTCAACCGACTCCCCATTCGATCTTCTAGCAATTTCTCATATGATCATTAATAACACCTACAATTGCAGCCGCTTTATAGCCCGGCTTCGATCTTGGATTCTGATTCCTTTAATCACAGCGATCCTTATACGAAACAAAAACGTCTCTCTTCTTACTGTACCCCAGCTGGGAGCATCCGAACCTCAACCCTGTCAGTTGCCAATACGATTCGGCAGTGCCGGGTTCTCATCTCTAGCGAGTCCACCCCTGACAGGTACGCGTATGCTGCTGCATTCATTCGCTCGCTCATTTCAAGCGTGCTCCATAGCACGCCAGACAGCTGCAGCTCATCTGTCTAATGCGCCTCGTCCATCAAGCAATAGGGGCACGCGCTTCACGACATCAAAAGCTGCCCGTCAGCTGGCGATGTAACATCCACATTCCTGCTTCTACCGCTGCAGCACCACTAACACACCACGCCTATCAGTGCTACACATCTTCGCCCTCGTACGCCTACTAGCGCTCAGCTTGTCATCGACCATCGTTCGTCCAACCGCATCCTTCGGGCCCCCTGGCCAGCTTCTGCTGCTTCACCCCACGCCCCAGCCTGTCGCAACGTCTCGAGGCGCGGCTGAGCCAGAACACATCCATCTGTTCCCTCCGGTTAATTTTTACCGGCCGGGTTCACGCAAACCACTAGCGTCTTGCGCCGCGGAGCTCAAGTTCCACTTGCAGTGGCTTGCTTCCCTATCTGCCGTATTGCCATGCAGTCTCAAACCATCTCATACTAGTGAGACTGCCTAGGCCTTACCGGCATTGGTTGCTTGGTTATTCTTAGCCGTGGCCTCGTTTGGCTACAATGTCTGCCCTGAGTAAGCCCCGATCCTCCCGCTCATCGTATTGGTGAACTATCACGGGCCGACTGAGCGTGCATCAACCTTTTGAGTGGGCGTGGCCCCTTGATGCATTCCTTCCCTCGTGCTCATGCTCTCTGTTATCCTGGACTATGCGTCGTCCGCTCCCCTCCCCAAGTCTTTCCTGAGCTCCAGTGAGCTGGTCTGACGCGACTTGTCCCTGTGCCCGGCCTATCCGGACGACAACTTGCAGCAACACTTGGCTAACATGCCCTTTTTTCCCACAGTCGGCAAGGGGCGCAAGGTGAGGCAATTCGCCGCCCATTTCCCATCCTACTGCTGGTCAGCCAAGAGATCTCTTACTAACGCCCCTCTGTCCTGTGTCTAGCCCAGATTTGACCTTCATCTCAAGGTGAGCTTACACGGATGAGAAACCTCATTTCTCTCAAAGACCCTCGACGACTCTTCTTCTAACGTTGTATGTTCTGGTATGACCTCATAGATTTTCGATCTGAACAATGTGCCTCTCGTCTCTGGTACCTCGTTCATCAAATGGCATCTCCCTCACTCTATGCATGCTGAGCATCGTGGCCGCACCGCAAAAGCGGCCATTGCGAATCACCGAGTTGAGTACAATTTCAGCAAGGTGGTCACCGGGGTTCGAATGTCCGTCGACAAGAACAACCACCTCAACGAGTGTCTCTTGGAGCTCGAAGTTGTCCAAGAGTTTGGCCTCACCGAGAAGATAACCCTTGGTCATATCAAGATCAACCTTGCCGAATTCGTCGAGGAGAGCGAAACCCTTCTGAGGGATCCTGCCTCGCCGACTTCAACTAGACGACGCAACAACAGCGCCGGACTGAGCCCTACAAGTGCTAGAGACTTGAAACTGTCTGATGAGATGCAAAGAGAGTGCGAAGATGGCATCGTGCGCAGATACCTCATGCAAGACAGCAAAGTCAACAGCACTCTCAAAGTTAGCATTCTGCTCATCCAGGTTGACGGTGAACGCAACTTCATCGCGCCGCCACTGAAATCGGCGCCAGTCTTTGGGGGAATTGTGGGCTTCATGGCACCGGAGCAGAACGAGGACGAGATGTTGGGGCGTAAGTTGAACCCTTTGGCCAGCTACCTGTGCTATACCCTTTGATTTGCGCGCTCTCGTTTATTGACTTATAGAAGCTGATGGCACCGTAGCTCTGCCAAACTTGTCTAAGAACCGAGATGTTGCCGAGGTCCAAGATCTGTATCGTCGGACCCTCGCAGCGTCGTGGACCCGTCAGCCCTCGGAGCTTCCCACTGATGAGTGCATCGAGGACATCTTCTCTGGCGGCAACGGCTGGAGGACCAAGCATAGAAGCGCCACCAGCCCCGATTCCGAAGACGAATACTACGAAGAGGACGCCGAGAACTCGGGAGGCCTACGGCCACCCGAATATCGCCGCATGGCCCTGAACCACCGCCGCAACCACTCCAATTCGTCCTCTCACTTCCGCCCGGGCAGCTCCTATCAACCCCCCCACAGCCCCAATCCTCACCATCGCCGCACCCATTCTGGGTCAAGCGATAAAAGCGTTTCGACCGTCACGGGTGGAGGCAACCGCAATCCGTTTAAGAAGGGTGTGCGGATCCGCGAGGACGGCCGCGAAACAGCATCCAGGGACGACGACATGGCCAGCACCAAGAGCGCCGGCAGCCTGCTCAGCCTGGCGCCAACGCTCGGGAGCAGCGAGCGCGAGAGGGACAATATGAAACGCGCAAAGGAAATTGGGGAGTCTGATGTTCGAGATGATTTAGTTGCTTGGAGTTTACCTGGGAGCGTCAGCGCATAGGCGGTGGATTATGTTTTGTACAGCGAATCTTGGCAGCGGTTTCATCAATCATCCTTTCTCCTTGCTTTTTTATTTCATCTTGGTTTTCCGCTGCTTTACTTTTTGATTTTGTCATCATCTCTTCAACTATCTTGTGCTCTATCATACTTTGGCCATTGGTGTTATATGGGGGATGGATTGTTCAACTTGCTTTCTCATAGTCACTACCCATTTACTATCAAACGAGCTGACACACCTCCACGTTTTACCGTCCAAACACACACGTCTGCACACATTCTCGATGGCCAGTAGAAATTACTGTCCTTCTCTTTGATGGGAAATGCCAAGCTGCCAAACGTCGACTCCGTTTTATTTATTTCCTCAGAACCCAGAAATCATATCGGCCATACTCTACTTACATGTCCCCCAGAATCACTCGAGTACAGCGAGCCTCTTTGCTCTTCATGAAATTCTATATGAAAAAAAGATGTGCTCCACCCCATATGAAAAGCGCACAGCCGGCAGATTGTAACATATACTTTCTACATCTCATGCCGAAGAATATTGCCTTCCCCTCTTCTTTGTTTTTAATGTCCTCCCCTCTTCTACTCAACCTTTCAGACACGTCTCGATTTACGGAGCCTGCAGGTTGCCCCGGACACCACCCTTGCCACCGACTTCCCTAGCCGTGACTATCACGCTGAGGTCGGCCGAGACGTTGATGGTGACCTCGACCTTGCCGCCCTTGGCAACGCCCCGGATGGCGGCCTCGGCGAGCGGTGAGCCAATCTTCCAGATCTTCTCGCGCGTCTCCTCCTCTTCCTCCTCCTCGAAGTCAGAGTCGTCCTCGTCCTCGGGCACGTCCTCGACCCTGGCCTTGGGCTCGGGCTTGGTCACCTTGATGTGAGTGCCACCCTCGACAACCTTGACCAGGACATCGCCGCCTTCGGCAGGGGCAGCGATGTGGATGGTCCGGCGGGCGGGGACGGCCGTCTCGGCTTGCATGACGGGGGTGAAGACATCCTCGCCCTCGGCGTTGACAGTAACGACACCGATGGCGTTGGAAATGTGCTTGACGGTGGTGACGGCGGGGTGGGTGGACTGCTCGATATCAGCAGCGTCGTACTCCTGGATCAGCGAGGCCTGGAGAGCAGCACCGCGAGCCTGCAGCTCGGAGGGGTTGATGGCGGCCGTGCTGGTGGAGGGGGCGAGGATCACGGTCGACTCGGGGAAGATGGACTGGAAGTTGGTGGCGATTCGGGGGGTGTGAGAGGTACCACCGCACATGATAACCTCGTCGACGTCCAGAACATCCAGCTCGGCCTTCTTAACAACGCTCTCGACCAGGCGGTTGAAGCCCTCAAAGACCTTGCGGCCAACCATCTCGTACCGTGTCCTGTTGAGGGTGGCGGAGAAGTCGAAGCCTTCAGCCAAGCTCTCGACGCTGAACTGAGCGTTGGTACCCAAGCTCAGGGCCTTCTTGGTAGCCTCGGCCTCGAGGCGGAGCTTGGCCAGGCTCCTGGCGTTGCTTCGCGGGTCAACGTTGTGCTTCTTCTGGAACTCCTTGGCAAAGTACTCCATCAGGGCCTGGTCGAGGTGAACACCGGCAAACTCGTAGTCGTGGGCAGTGGCCAGGATCGTGTACATGCCGCCTCTTGAGGCAACAACGGCGACATCGGAGCGGGTGCCACCCAGATCGGCGACGACGATGATCTTGTCCTCGGTCTTGGCCTCGGCGCGGGCATCGTAAGCCAGAATGGCGGCGATGGGGTCGGAGATGAGCTGCAGGACCTCGAGCTCGGCATCGTTGGCGGCCTTGATCAGAGCCTCGCGCTGCTTCTCGGTGAAGTTGGTGGGGACGGTGATGACGGCCGAGGTGACCTTCTTGCCCAGGTACTCGGAGGCGGCGGTGACGAGGCGTCGCAGATATCGGGTGGCAGCCTCGGAGACTGTGATGACTGAGGGTTCATCCTCCTCGCCGGCCTTGTCCTTGACGGTGAAGGCGACCGCGCCCGAGACCTCCTGGGGGTGGGCAGAAGCGTGGCAGTGTGTGGGGTCGATGGACTTGAACCTGAGAAGATGGTCAGCACTGCGTTTTGACTTTGTAGTCGTCGGTTTCCCCCTCTCCCCATAGAGCTTTTCATATCATTGTTGGCAAAGGGCGGTCGTACTCTTGGCCTAGGAAGTCCTTGAAAAAGGCAATAGTGTTGTTCGGGTTGCGGACCAAGAAGCTCTTGGCCTGGGTGCCGTAGTACTCATCGCCGTCGACGTATGAGAGAACCGTGGGGATCTGTCGGTCTGTAATACCGCGAGGTGTCAGTCAAAGGGAAACTTGAAAAGAATACTGGAGTAGCGGTTGGGAATCTGCTGCGCCATAACAACATCCCCTCCACTCCCAACAGCATGCTCATGAAGAGCCACGCAGCGTCCGCTCGTAATCAAGATGAATCAGAACATACCGCCGTCCTCGTTGGCAATGACCTCAGCCTTGTCGTCGACGGTAAAGGCAATGGAGCTGTTGGTGTTGCCAAAGGTGATGCCGATGGCGACCCGGTCACCGGGCTCGACCCCGGTCTTGACGCCGTTGCTCTCAGACATTGGGTCGGATTTTGTGAGTTGTGTGAAACTTGGCTTCGAGAGACGAGATCGAGAAAGAAGAACGAATAAAGGACACTGGACTGTTGCTGCCGCGTCGGTCAATTCGCAAGCAGAAAAGATTGTAAGAAGTTGCAGGTGGGTTGGAGACTCTTCTCTGGTGGAGGGGCTGCTTTTTTCCTCCTAACAAAAAATTTCGAGCAAAAAAAAAAGAGACCCAGCCAGACGGGTTCCTGTCCAGTGGCGACTACAGCCACCCCGCGCCGCGACGATAGAAGGCGACCAATCAGACAAAGCAAGCAACCTTATCGCTTATCCGTCCAATCAAAGCCCGTGGTCGGAAGCTCCAAAAAATCAAACCAACTTCAAGAGTTCCTCGAGGCAACGCAAGGCTGAACCTCAGCATTGTCCTTGTTCCTCACAAACCGATACAATCTCGGCATCACATCACAGCATGTCCTCAGAAGCAATATTTGTCTTGCCGGGCGATCGCATTGATGCCTCGCTGATCCCCACGCACGAAAAGAAGCCTCTCCGACTGGGCCCCGGCCTGCGCCATGTCCCTCCCAGCGATCTTGTACCGACGCTGGCTGGTCAGCTGGTGACAGACAGACAGAAGAATGCCATCCGTGTAGAGACGGCAAATGGCAGGGTGAGACTCGGCTGTCAACTTGATTGTTTTTGCATCGATGTCGATGCCATCGTGGTGCTTGTTCAGCGGCTAACGCTTTAGCTTGGCGATATCATCGAATAGTACATACCGCGAGTAGGCGAGCTCGTCATTGGCACCGTCAACAAATCCGCCCAAGAAGTCTACTTCGTCAGCCTCTCCGACTACACCGCTCCCGCCCTCCTCCCTCAGCTCTCATTCGAGTCGGCGACGAAGAAGACGCGCCCCATCCTACTCCCCGGAGCGCTCGTCTACGCCCGCGTTACGCTCGCCAACAAGCACATGGACGCCGAGCTTGAGTGTGTCTCCGCTTCAACAGGCAAAGCCGATGGCCTTGGACCGCTGGTAGGCGGCATGCTGTTTACGATATCGCTCGGCATGGCCCGCCTCCTGATGATGCCCAAGAAGGCGCAGCAGGGACGGCTTGTGGTCCTCGACGAGCTTGCCGACGCCGGTGTCCAGTTTGAGACGGCGACCGGCAGAAACGGCAGGCTGTGGGTAGACAGTGACAGCACCAAGGCCATCATTGCCGTCGGCAGGGCCATTCAGGAAACAGACGAAAAGTCCCTCGGCGTGGACGAACAGAGGAAATTGGTCAAGCGATTAATCAGAGAATTGAGCTGAAGCAAGCTCGAGCGAGAGAGAGAGATAAACATCAAATGTTCGCAGTATACCTACGGAGTACTGGCGGACGGCTTTCCTTCGTGGGCCGTCTGCTCATGTTGAATATACCCATCACGCGTTGTTTGTTCCTTTAGGGTTGCATGTCTACCTACCCTTCGAGGTAGATTGAAAAGAGAGGACGGAAAAAGGAGGTAATAACGCCTTCCTGAAGTCCGTCCCCGCGTGATGTATTTTTATCCATTAACAGAAAGAGGCTGGCTCATCCTTATTATACAATAACCTAAGTTGGGTGAAACGCTCACCAGAGATATCCAAGCGCTCGCTGAAGCTAAAATGCCCTTTCCTCGATGGAACTCTGTACCATATGTGCTCGATGCGGTAATGACAGATTATGCCTAGAATGGAAAAGTGATTCATACAGGCAGAAGACCTGCCAAGATTCAAAAAATTTCATGATGCGGGAGTATAGCAGTGATGGTTGAGTCCGCTTCCGCCGAGGTCACTCGTCGTTTTGAGTCGGGAACGCCAGCGGCGCCTGCGAGGTTGCCACTGAGTGAAGCGCGGTGAATGATGAGCCCTGACCTTGCAATGCTGCAATAGCACATAATCCATGAAGATTTCGAAGCGTCATGATGCGTCGCAAGTACGTAGACCCGTGTCCTCAAGGGCGCATGGAGGTGAAAAAGGAGCCTCTATGCGTCTTCACTCACTCTCGCATTTCGTATCCCTTTATTCCTTGTATGGGAGACGTCTGTCTCCACACTCTCTTTTTCGCCCCTTCATGTTCCCCGTGTTGGTCATATTCCGTCCAGATCCATATCGACCTCAATCGGCTCCGGAAGCTGCTGCTGTTCGATATTGTGTATCTTGATCATGTGTCGCTTCCAGTTATCTTTTCTAGGAAAAGCCTTGCCCCCTGCTCTGGAGTAGTCGCATCCAACAACAGAGCAATGGAACTTCTTCTTCTTCTCATGCCGGTCATTGATGTGCCTCTGCAGATGAGTCTTGGTGCCAAAACCTTTGCCGCAGCCAGCATACGGGCACTTGTGGTCTTTGCTATGATATCGCTGATGATGCCTGTGGCGGGAAAGGACATGAGGTTAGTACAGATCTTAGACAAAGGGGGGTGGACATGTGTGTCGCATACTTAAGTTTGTGCGGCTGATCAAAGGACTGGTTGCAGCCCGGCTCATCGCATCGATAGGCTCCAGTCCTGGGGGAGTGGCTGCCAGCACCAGAGTGTGGCGACGCGCTGTGTCGGAAATCAGAACTTCCCATGGACTCGGGGGAGGGGGTATCTAATTGAGTCGAGGGCGTGTTCTGTGATGAAACATCGGTAAAGGAAGGGCCGGGGAGCGGAGTGGAATGGTCGGAGGGGTAGCTCGGGTGTCGGCCGTCTGGGGCTGCCAAGCTGTGGTCGTGGTTCGGAGTAAGAGTTGCATCTAGCATAGCGACATCGCCATTATCGCGTTGGGGATCGGCTTTGTCGTTGTGAGTATTAGCGTTGGTGTTGGTGATGATGATGTGATCGGGAGTGAGTCCGGTGTGACTGGTTTCGCCCGGGGACTGTATTGTGAATATTGGCTGAGGCTGCGTTTCGGGAGGCGTTGGAGAAGGGGACGGCATGGTGGATGACGCATCCTGCGCCGGGACCGAGACCGGGTCGCTTGTCGACACCTTGTGAAAGGCCTCGTAGAGCTGGTGCTCGGTCCTATGCCAGACCTCGGTTTCTGTAGAAGCGGGCATAATGTCCATGGGGTTTACGGTTCCGGGAGCAGCAACAGGCGGCGAGGGAGATTTTCGGAACTGGTGATATGTCGGAAACGGGGGTGACTCTGGAGGCGTAGCCTTGGAGGAGGGCTCCGGTGCATTACTGGTGGGCGGGCTGACCGGCGCTAGGCTTGCTCCAGGCGCGGCTTCAGCGTGGGGTTGGTGATGTGAGGGCGAGCGCGAAAGGGGTAGGGAGGCAGCCGATAGGTTTGTGGGAGACTCGACTCGGTCACCCGTCGTTATAAGTGTCTGCAGCGGAGTGGCACCGTTAAGGTGAGAAGATGCGGCTCCTTCTGTGATGGTTGTTCGTGAGATAGTCGAGTCTATGGTTGCGTCTCTGCCCGTCTTGCGGCGGAAGATCTGCATCATGTTCTGGCGAAGAGAGCTGGAACGAGAAGAGGGTGGCTGGACGGGCGAGTCAAGCGCCGCGTCGGGCTGCGTAACCATGCCAAAGGCCTCAGAGGGGATATGGGGGCTGTAGTAGTCGGCGCTGGTTCCCTTGAGCACGCCGGGCTGGTCATCGTCTATCGGCGGTGCAAACTCGCCATCTTCGCATCCCAGCAGCGGAAACGGCTGGGCCTTGACTCGATGTTCTTGAGCAATGTTGCTGTCGACGAACCCGGGATCCCCAGGTTGCAGATATGCCGCGTTGAGAGGGAAAGAGTAGCCATTGTTGATGCCGCCGTCGACGGGAGCCTCCCAATTGCCATAGTCGGCGCTTCCTCCATCTCCATCTCCCCCGCGTGTCAAGTCGCCCCGGTGCTTATACGAGTCGCTCGACGAGAGGCGCTTGGGAGGTGTGTTTGCTCCGCCGGAGGCGCTGCTGCGGTGGCCAGTGTTGGGAGCGATGCCTGCCTCGGCATCGAATGCTGGATGCAACTGGCCGCTTCGACGACGTTTGAAATAGAGGAAGCACGGATAGAGACAGATGGCCAGCAGTGCAACCGCAACAACCGCACCGATGGTGATTCCAGCAATCGCGCCGCCGCCCAGGTGTCGCTTGTGTAAATGCAAGCCATCACGAATGTCCCTGGTGTCGAGGTTGATCCCAATGGCAGTCCCCTTCGGATTTCGATTCCAATACTCCTTCTCGTCCAAATCTACATCCGCATTCACGCCGATGTTGTCGCTGCTGCTGCTCCCGCCTTGGAGCGCCAGCCCGCGCAGCGCCTCGGAGCTCCTCTCCAAGGCATGACTCGCTATTCCGCCTGCAATCCTCACATGGCGGCTGATAGGGATCGTGTCGGTCGTGACAGCTTCCGTGATGATGGAGCTGGACGAGGCCATTGCTCCTGGCTGCTTGTTGTCGTCGGTCCGGTTCTCTCTCGCTCAGTCGCTCGTCGTTCTCGAATAGCGTGGGAGGCCGCCCACGGGCAGAAAAAAACGGGTGTCTCGCCCGCGTGCAGGGGTCGTCAGTATAAAAGATATGAACGCTCAAAGGCCTTCTTCTTCGGGTTGTCAGGAAATCCTCATGATGGAGAGGTAGCAAAAAAAGGGAAACTGATTATTCACACTAGCAAGTCAGAGGATGAGAAAGGCAAAGAACGACGGAATTGCTGGGCTTCGTACAAGTAAAGTAAGGTACGAGTAGAGTCAGCAGGGCCTTCCTTCGCTCTTTCTCCAGCTAATAGTTCTTAGTACCCAGCACAAGCACTTGCCACGGCACGGGAAGGTGCCAGGACACAGGGCTGAGCAGTTGGTGGAAAAGTTGCGGCAAGTGCGTAGCACATGCATCGTTGTTGCGCACGCAATTGGCGAGATGCGCACATGCTGCTAGCCCGGAGAGTCAACGCGGCGGATATTTCGATGTTCGTAGGATCACCCAGGCCGGACCACTCGAGGGGATTCGGGTCCAGGGGAGTACCTCTGTTCATCAGCTCGGCCATGTACTAAATTACAGAGACTTGATCAAAGTACGGACTTGTGATACACTTGGCTGAAAGAATCAATGGCAGGTGAGTCGACGGATTGGCCTTAGCTGTGCTGCTCATTATCGTTCTTACCTACCTTAGTTCGCTGGACTGATCTCATTACGGAGACTGGATGTTCCAAAAAGAAGTTGGAAGCTTGTGGGGATACCTCAATCCTGCCGGGCCGCCCGCAATGTGGCACCAGCTAATGATGAGCTGCCAGCAGTCTAATTTAGCACAGACCCCAACTCGCTGGCAGCCGGTGCCAATTTCTCCCCCGACCGTTGATGATTTCTCCCCCACTCGCTGCTCGGCGCTTAGAACCGAGGGTTGCAGTGCCAAAGCAACCGGCCCAGAACCTCGACGTTTCTATTCTATAATTGGCATATTGTTATGTCACGACCTTTGCCTGAAACCCGACTCCGTTCAATGATGCAAAGGGAAAGCTACTCTCTGTTTTTGAAGCCATATATATAGTTCATCAGTTGGGTCAGGTTGCTTGGGCTGTAAAGATACCTAATAAGTAACCGGAGGTACGTGCAAGTTTCGCAAGCGAGTCTCGCCCCCTATACCGACATGACTTGGACAGCTCCGTGCAACTCCCTATTCGCCGCCAACGCTTGGCTTGCTGCATCCCTTGTCTGACAACAAAGTCCATGACGGTCTTACTTGGTACGATTCAGGCATGATCCTGCCCGCAATCAGCTGCAGTTGGCATCTTGTCCAACCACGGCAGCCAATGGCAGCGGCACTTGTCCCGTCAGTGCCGATGATGCCCATCCTGTACTCGATGCATTCGACGCCTGTGCAGTCTGGGAATCTAAGGTAGAGAGATGCTACCTGGCGATTACGCATACCTACTATCCAGGCACTATACTTGATATTTTGCTCTGCAGAGCTTGCCACCGAGACCAACACTCCAGAGGCACTTAATGGTCAGCATGCTGCAGAAACAAGTACCGGTACGGAGCAGAAAAATGCAGCAGCTGTCTGCAACTACTACCGTGAAATCAGCCTTGCGATCCGCCAACCCTCTTCGTCCAACGGTCGGTATACTTGCGAGATTTGCCCCATATTATTGCCGGCTCTCTTCATCAACTCGGCTGGCATCCGTGTCTGTAGAAGCCACTATTACGGCAACAGCTTCTTCTGCTCCAGCCGCGGGTAAACGGGCCGCTTCAACAGCCCGAAGCCAAACTGCTTCTTCTCAACCCTATCTCATCATCAAGGTATTACCAAGGTACGGTAATGGCTGTGCGTGGCGACTTCTTCAATCCGGAGATAGCGCTCTCCCCGCGTTGCCCAAGACGGCAAACCTGCCTGTATCAACTTGATTTCCCACAGAAGCGGAGTCCGGGCTGCTCGCCGCAGATAGTATTCCCGTCAACTTCCAGGTTTCTTCATGCAGCAGCATGGGGTAATGCATACATACTTACCAGCCTACCTACATACAGGTACACATACAATTCAGCGCAGAATACGGGTCCGAAGTATCAACTGCAATGGTCGAGGTAGCGACACTGTCCGGTGATATAGGTAGGAGATTTGATGCAATACACGAGTCGTCAGAACAGCACATTCGCCGATTTCACCTGGCATCCCCACAAAGTACCTAAAGCAAATTCGGAGCTTCTCCCGTCGGGCTCAGCCCCAGCATGGCTTCAACGCTCTTTGTACGGAGGTACCGTACCCTGCCATACTCCGTACACACTGAATATCACGTACGATAATGCAAAGCTGTGGAGAAGCCGACAACCACATAGTACTACTACATGTACATGCACTCTGTCTACAGCGGTTGCCTCGCATCTTGTGCCTCAATCCGGCGCGCGGGCCTTGCGTCCAGCCCGCAAGTCTAGCCCCCTTCCATCGTGAACAAAAGGAGGTCTTGCGCCTCGGACCGTAAAGTACGAAGCAATGCATACTAGTACCTTAGTTGCCTTATTATCATCTGCTTCGGGCTCCGTAATTCAGGAGAAGAGACAAGGTACGAAGTAGACATGCTGAATCAACTTCGTAGCGAGCTACAATATGAAGAGCTCGCCTATCTGTCTGAGAAGCTTCGATACGGGCTATCCATAACATGGGAGAATGGAAACCCAGGAAGCGAGAGGCCTCTTTTGCGTCTTTCATTTCAAAGCGCATCACAGGCGCTACAACAAGTCTCCTCAGTTCAAGTTCGTCTATTCATAATTACCTACCCGCTCATTGATCTTCATACTCTGACAGTAGTAGAACCTAACAAGCAAATATCAATCCATTCTGTGGACAACTGTCTTGGTGAATGACACAGTCTGATGCTCCACAGCCTCCTGTGCTGCTTCTTATACCAACAAAGCACTCCAATCTTTCTTAAATTCCACAACCATATTCTTGTTGCTTATCCTCTCACACTCGATGCTTTCATAGCCTTGCACCAATCAATGCTCCCCGCATCGAAATTTCACATCTCAGAGCCGTGAATCAAAAGTCACTCTTCTCATAGTCATACCAGCAATGCAGTAGAAACACTAAGGCAGATGAACAAGGCGTCGGTGCGCGTGAGCGTCTCCCCAGAGCTGGGTGGCGTATTTGGTGCGTCGGCAGCCTTTGGCTTGGCGATAGTTCATGCGAACGTGCATGACGATGATTTCCGCCTGTCTCGCTCGAGTGATGGCGACGTTGAGTCTCTGTGGGTCGTCCATGAAGCCGACCGATGTCGTTCTCACCATGTCGAGGAACACCACGTCGGCTTGATTGCCCTGTGCCTTGTCCACGGTCAGGACCTGGACACGGCCCTGCCATTCCACAGGCCACTGTTTGACCTCTGTCTGATATTCTCGATACGCGGTGCTATAGGGTGTCTGTATCATGATGGTCCCGGGAGCTCCAGAGACGCTCTGAAACTTTGAGTCTCCCAGCAGACACTTGGCTTGTTCAGCCACCCAGTTGTGCTGCTTGGGATTCCAGAAGCTGCTCCGGTGATTCTGCTCAGCGCTGCTAGCAAAGCTCACCACCAGCCGGTTCTCCTGCAAATTTTCACGGCCCGAGAGTTTCTCCAAATGCTCCCTCAGGTATGCAGTGCTTGGAGGATACATACTCTCTTCGTCGTGCCCTGACACCATCTCCCCATTGTAGAACATGGCCGACGGGAGGCGGTGGAGGTTGCCATAGGCGCGGTTGTTGACCAGCAGCTTGTGATTCAGGGCATCTGCAGCGACGGCTCGCGCCATTGTGCTTAGTCGCAGCTGTTCGGTATAGGGATTGAACTTGAGCCCCTTCATCTCGGCATTCTTCGCGGAGCCGCAGTCTTTCACAAAGGGGCGCGTCTGCTTCACATCGCCTGTGAAGATCCAAGCTACAGGATCAAAATATGCCAAGGGAATCAGTGTCGTCAATTCGCGAGCATGCGGTGCCTCGTCCACAAAGACAATCTCCGGCTGGAAGAAATGGGACAAGCTGCCAGAGGCGGCTACAGGAGTGGTGGCAACGAAATCAGCGCCGGCAAGTGTATCGCGGTATAAGCCGGTGACGAGGCGACGAAGGAGTCTCCAATCCTCACTACCAAGCACGTCTTCCGTCTCAATTTGATCCAGTAGCTTTGTGAGGCCAGGATAGCCATCGTGCTTGTTTCTCTCGTAATGATCCCACGCTGCCTCATCAAGACTAGGGGCCCGGGTATCATCTCTCTCCAAATGGGCGTGACGGGTTATGCCTGCTGTTGTCAGAAAGCTCTTTGTGAAGTCTGCAGCCACGTCGCCGCCTTCATGTTTCTGGCCACCTTGCTGGTTCAACCGATCGGAATGACGCATCTCATATGGCCAGCCATGCATTCTGATAACCCGGACGTCGAGCCCTGCTTCCCTGCACAGACTGTGGTACCTATCGGCAGCGTCCGACACCGTTTTGTTGATGTCGACCAGAAACAGAATCTGATGGCGAACCTTTTTGGTGCCGTATGTGAAATGCGATTGGATGAGCGCCGAAATAACCATGTTCCATTCGGTTTTGCCAGTCCCAGGGCAACCATTTACAAAGTAGAGGCCATTCTTGATTTGACCAAGACCCTCGTGGGCCGCCAGATGGTCGCCGTTGAAGTGGGCAAATTTCTCCACGAGGACAGGAGAGATCTTGTGCGCGGGATTGTGTGGCTCTGCAAGTTGGCGATATTTGGTGAGGAGATTGATGATTTCCGGGTCTTCGGGCTGAAAATGCTGCAACATGTCGAACGCAAGCTTCGAACGATGGGAAGGGCCCTTCTTCTGGGACCTTTTTGGGGCCACGAAGAAACGCAACGCGTCTAATTCAGCTTCAAAGGTTTGGCTCGTCACCTCCCAGCGAATCGAGATGTTGTTCCGGTTTTTCTCATCCAAAGACCATCCAGAAATGTTATCCAAAGCGCCAGCCACCTGCAGATGTGACATGATATCCAGCTCGGTCTGTTCGCCATCGTCCGTTCTCTGGCAACGTGGGACTTCAACCTTGAAGGCGGCGAGCTTCTGCAGGCGGCTTCCTTTAGGGTCGGCAACATTTTCGAAAGGGTTCTCGATCCGTGTCGCAGGAAGATGATAGAGGGTAAACACACCCTGAGGCAGTTCGACACTTTCCTTGATGTCAATGGTGAATCTGTCGGCCACAGTGGGGAAAATAGTGTTTTCAGCAGACGGCGGGCTCTTTGCCATCAGCAGCCAGGATGTTGTAAAGGACGTCTGGCATCCTGGGATAGGGGCAATGATCCAGGCCGGATATGTATCTCCTCTAGCGTTGAGCTTCTTGAGCTGTGACAATTCATTCTCCATCTCGATGAGGGTGCCCTGCTCCAGTCGACGGACGAACTCCTCCTGCGAGGGAAACTTGACAACGGGCTGTTGCATCTGTAGCTAAGCGGTACTTTATTAGCATCACCGATTCTCAAGGTATAGTACGTGGTCAGTGTTCGCTGTGTGGTTGCCCCTTACAGTTGTAGAACCTGTGAAGGTCTCGAAGTTCGGTTTGATGACCATTGTGGTGTGCGTAAAAGCTGCGAGATACTCAAAACTCCACAAGGGCGAATCGAAAGTTGATTGCAAGGAACGAGGGATGCACTGGAGAGAGAAGAGTCAATAGTCTGGCGATACGGTAGGCTCTGGGGAAAGAGGGAGGCTTCTGTACCAGATTCCTTCTACAAAAGGAATGCCTCAATAGGTCGACGCGTAGTTAAAACACAAAAAGAAGAAGTAGATTGGAGAAGTCTGAGACGAATGATTGATGATTAAGTGATTCTGTCAAGAAATTGTAGTATCGAAAGGAGTATGGTGTTGGAAGGAAGAGAGGAGGGAGAGCAGGGAAGAGTAGGAAAGAGCAGGAAACGGTTGGAACCGCAGTTGCAGCCCTCCTGGTCAGCTGACTTTGGGAGACAATCTGGAGGCAGGCAATAGCATCAAAACTTGAATAGACAATCGCACACGTGCTTTCTGCCAGCTGCGTGATTCAGAGCTGGAGTTTTGGCGGTCAGTTGGCGAAAACGCCCAGGCAGCCGCCGGAAACTGATCCTCGATAAGCGAGTCCAGGCTTGGCACCTTGTGTAAATAGTGGCATATTAGATCTTGGAACAGGTTCTGCTGAAAGAATGGCAAGCGTCTACTAGTAGGTAGTATCCGCTCCTACCTGAACAGCTTTGTTGGAAGGATGGCAGTAGAGGACGATACGTGAGGACAGCAGTGGGAAGCGGCTCAACTTCACAAACAAATTACAAACGAGCCAGTTGAGCATCAGAAGACGGGACTATCTATGATACAGCATTTGACATGTTGAGATTATACCTGCATGTGGCCAAGATCATGGCTACAATCCTATACCTGATCTCAAAGAGACAGCATGAACTGGCTCTCCACTGCGTTGATAGCATACAAAATTCCTACATCTAAACCTGACTTTCACCCTGCCTCCGCCACAGATGAGATACTCTCTTGAATCATGTATCATCTTCTTATATCTCCCATTCGAAAAGATTATATGGCCAGAGCAATGCTGCCGTTGCTTTGGGCTTCTGAGCCAACTACCTTACCTATATAGAGTATGCTCATCTAATGCAGCATTACCTCAGCATGCCCTGCAATAACGTCCGGAGATATGAAAGGTCTGTAATTCTTCAACAGACATGATTGGAGGCATCATGTGAGGTCAACAACGGCGCTGCGTCGGTGGCGAGTAGTTCGAGACCTTCCCCGTGGGCATATGAGTTCAACGATATCCTCATCCATCTCAGGAGATGACTGCACCATTGAAGATGTTTGCGAGCCCGTATAGTGCTCAGAATTGTCGCCGTCAGAGTCGTCGACACTCAGCACGCTGTCGGGTAGAGGCTGGTATCGCGTCATTCCATCTTGCTGCAGGAGCCAGTCTTCCAGATGCCTGTATAGCACCCGAACAGTATTGGGAGGGAATGCGTTGCCGATTTGTTTCCTGATGCATGTCTTCGTCCCGATAAACTTGTGGTACTTTGGAAATCCCTGGATGCTAGCATACTCGCGGATGGTAAGATCTCTTGTTCCATCCGGATAGTATACCTCGTTGCCTCCAGTTGTGATTGTGCCTGCCAGCCGGTTCGGATCCAGCGGTGCTCGAGGCGGATGGAAGTATTTGACGCTGTCCAGGTTGTGCAAGTCATCACCATTGCGAATGGAGCCAATGGCCTTCCCAATGGTCGTCCATGGCTGTAAGCCTCCAGCACCGTTCTCGGAATGAGTATGCTTGGGAAAAGGAGGGAGCTTCTCCCCCGGCGCAGCCGCAAGGATGATGAGGCGTTTTCTATCCTGTGACGATCCCCAAGTACAGAGTCGAACAACTTTCCATCTGACAGAGTATCCAAGTTGGGTGTAGTCCCCAATCAGGGCTCTGAGGTAGTGGTGATGCCGCTCGTGTGTTATTCCAAACGTTTGTTCAAGCGTAATCAGGCGGGGCCGCAGCTTAGAAATCAAGGAAAGGCACCCAAAGAGCGCGAAGATGTTGGTGTCGTCATGAACTGATTGATGCGTATGCGCCGGTGAGAAATATTGACAGGGCGGCGATAGATGCAATACGTCGACCCTCATCTGCCTGTCCTTTGTGTCCCGGATAAACTCGTCAACTGACTTCTTGAATAGCTCCGTGTCGTGAAAGTTGGCCTGATACGTTTGCTAGACATCGGCCCACTTGTCCACGGCATACTGGACCTTGAAACCAGAGTTCTGCGCGCCACGAGATACACCACCCGCCCCGCAGAAGGAGTCGAAGAGTGTATACTTCTGACCTCTCCGTCTACTGTTTGTAGGAAGAGCCGTGTTCCCAGAGGAGGACCGCGATGCCAGGTCAATGATCCTTGACTCCCTGTGAGGCCACGATCCTCCCTTGATGCGTCCTCCCCGCCATTGGTTGCAAAGGCTCTCGTCCGATACACGATTTCTCGACACTGGAACGTCGTCGGCCTGGACTCGCTCGAGAACCTCTTCTTCTGGCCTGGTAGCCCGACTTTGGCGTTGCATGGTAAAGTATATCGTAAATTTCCAGCGGCAGACTAGCTTGCCATGACTTTCAGCCAGTCTCTGTTGCAGTTGTCCATTTTGGGCACGCGGTCCAATGTCTTCTCCATTGTAACAGTGCTCGGGATAGATCGCGTTGGTCATGACAAGTTCTCTTTTCTTGACAATCGAGATGGTGGGAACGTCAATGAGGAGTGCGGGCAGCTCTTGTCCATCGTCTCTTCTCTGAATGTGAAGTATCATGCATATCTCGTTAGTCTTCTTTGGCAATTTCCCCGACAATTTCCTGGTCCGCACAAACGGGATTCCGCGGATCTTGCATTCACCCTGACGATCGCTCGCGATGATCTTGACCTGAACGAAATCGATGGTATAGTTCCCAAGCTCGACGTTTTCCACCTGGATCAGGTCCCCACGGGAGAGCTGAGTCCCCGAGCGAGGTTCGCGATATCGTTCTAGGGGAGATTCCCCTGGGTGAATCAAATCGTGTGTGCCATCCTCTAATTCATGACCAGTGAGGTCGATGACTTCTTGTTCAAACAATTCCACCAGCTCTTCTGCTTCTTCATCTTCATCATCGGCGGCGCGGCCAAGTGTAACCGAGGACGAGGCTCTCGATCTACCCTCAGAAGCGACAGTGCGCGATGTCAGATACTGCACTTCCTCGTCACCGTCGAAGTCGATTATTATCCGAGAGGGCATTTTGTGGATGTAGAGTAGAGCGTCCTGATGCAGTCTGACGTATCAGCAGATGGTAGATATCAATCGAGGTTTGTGAAATGAGGAAGAGAGTGAGGAACCAGGAGAGACTGTCAATCTTGTGAGCTGAATGCAGCACTTCCAAGGTTGAGCATAAGGGCGAGGGGATGACGATGAATTGGGACGCACAAGCAATCGCCCAGTCATCCGATCATTGCGGTCAGGAAATAAAGTGATGCGAGCCGATGCCGCCAAGGTGAGAAGCAGCCGCAGCAGTGTGGCCAGAGAGGTGAGATGAAGCTGAAAGGTGCCTCAACAACAGGGTGTCTTGAGTCGGATGCTGCCAGCCGCCTGTGGGTGGCAACGACATGGAGCACTCGTTCATCTGCCTCGGCTACCCTACAGGCAGCAGGATCGGGAACACGAGAAAGATGAATGTTCGAACTCCAACAAGTCACGTCGCAATCATTGGGCAGTGTCCATATCTTTCACACTACATTCAATCATGACGTTGAGAAGCAATCACTGATGGCTGATATGCAGGGTAGCTGCAGAGGGTTCCCGAACGACGCCGTTGCAACACACTGCCTCTCATTCTTGTCTTGCATCCTTCAGATGACTCAAGGGACGATGGGCTACTAGATAGAATGCAGATACTGAGAAGTGCATTCACTGTGTCTCAGCATTTCAGGATACGACCAACTTGGCAGATGCAGGTACAGATGGGAAGCCTCACCTTTGCAAGGCACATATTGGGGCGTTCTACAGCGGCAGCGGTTGCCGTGGTAATACGGGGCAGTGGACTGGAGCAAGAAGAGGCAAAAGTAGAAGGAGAGAATGGCCACAAAAGCTCTCAATATCCCTTGTGTTTTTTCTCAGTGACAGCGAGCATGCAAGATGAGCTTTAAAGTCTGTCGTACTACGTCAACATTGGTAGTGCCAGAGACGCAGAATCTAGTCTAGTGTTGACGAGGTTCAAGGTTGATGTTGCACTCAGCCAACCCAATTTAGACCCTGGCAAGTGCTAAGCCCGCAAACGCGGATCACTGCGTCCAAGTCGCGCGTTAGAGACTCGAACGCACTGCAGCAGTTGAAGGCTGCAGGTACCGAGTACTTCTAGAGCAACCTCATGTAAAAATCACAAGCCCGCTTGCTGAGGTTGACGACCTTACTACTAACCTACCTAATAACACGTCTCCGACCTCTTTTAAACTTTACAGCCACAGTTATAGCAGCTTCTCTACAAATCATTCACCTATTTTATCTTCTTTCCACCATTTCTCAGAGCGTACAACGCTGCATTGCTTCGTCTTTCTCAAGGCAAGTGGTTTTTTCTTCTCTTTGAGGTTCGAATCTTACTCCGACAAGTTCCAGTGGTGCAACTTGAACCTTCTGTCGTCACTGCGCGTGTGCGAGGGGCAGGTATCTGGTACCTCCCTCTCGCGCCTGGTACGGCCCTTTCCCCCCCAGCCCGGCCCACATTATTCTTTTTTGTTCGCGATCTCTCTTCACTCTTTCGTTGTCTCTTCACCTCCCTCCAACTCTCTTTCTTCATCTTCTCCTCTCGCCTTTCCTTCCCGCAACCGAGCCACGGTCCTCCTGCTACTCCTCCCATATCTGGCATCAAGCAGAGAGCAACAGACCGCGTCGCCCGAGCGGCGTTTTCTCCCCCCCCGCTGCACCTTGATGAGGCTTCTGGCCATGGTAGTTCGTTACAATGGCAGACATCAACGAGGTGCTGGGAAAATGGTACGAAGAATTCCAGCGGATTCCGGCAGAAGTCCATCTTCTTTGTCCACGTATTAGCGCCGACGACGACGAGAACTACAAGGTCCTCGAAGATCCCGACTCAAGCATATCGATCGAAGAGAAGCAAAGCCGCATTGAACAGGGCAAAAAGCGAATCGAAATTACCTACTGGAACAGCCTAATATTTGGCTTTGACAAACAGGAGGCTGGAAGATGGCTGGAGGAATTCACGGGCAGGCTTGAGAAATGTCTCAAGTCTTGCCCAGAATGTGTCCTCAACTGGCATATGAAGCGCAGGCATCACCTCCAAGTTTTCTCAGAGTGAGGCGCTCCACGTCCACGCGTACAATCCACATACAGTTGCTGACAGTCTCTGACATAGGCGGTGGAACGAAGAAGCTGTTGCGCAGATCCAGGACATGCTCGTTAACATCGACGTCGGCCGAATCGACCACAACCTCACCTGGGCCAAGCAGTTCATCGAAAAGATCGAAAAGTCCGGCGCCGTCTTCAAAAAGTCACAGTTTGGTGAGCACCTTACCGAGGTCCACGTCACCGTTTATGAGGCTCTGTGTTGTGTGGCCTACCTGGCCAATGCGGAACAAAGGGCTGTTTTTCAATATGTCTTCATGCGTTTGCAGGGAAAGACGTACCTCAAGCTCGGGACTAAGGATCCTCTCCCCGGCATGACCTACTTCCTTTTCGACCAGAAGAACGAGGACCGCCGTAGATGGGCGGCAGAGAACTGGAAGAACATTGATAGCGGTGGCATGACGGAGGACCAGTTCGACTGGGCTGTCAGCGACGGTCTGGTCAGCGCCATCGACGACATCAGCAAGAAGGATCTTTCCTCAGCCACTAGCGAGATCTACCTCGAGATCGAGCGGTTCTGGCAAGGCTTCGAGGCTATTCTCCGGACCCTCAACGACGACATCATCCTCAGCCGTCTGCGCAGCCTCGAGATTCCTCAAGGCAGCTTTAACATCTACGATTTGCTATTTCGGCATATTCAATTTTGTCGCTCCGAAGGTGTGCTGGTGGTCGCCATCAGAGTTCTTAGTGGCCTGTTGAAGAAATCACCAAAGGCCTTTTGGGATGTCGTCGGTGATGCTCGGCCAAACGTCATCGCCGATCTTCTCTTTGGTAGCCCCGTCTACAAGACTCTCCTGCGCCAGTCCCTCGAGGAATGCTGGTCTGTTGTCGACCCCAGCTCACAGTTTGCGCCGTTTCCTACCTCGTGGATCCAGCCTTGGCTTCAGTCTCTCAGCCGCGACCGCAGGTATGACGCCTGCGAAGTGTTGATGCATACGCTCTTTGAGACGCTCGCCAAAGATGCGAGCATTGGCGAGCCCGGTCAAGCCGCTTGTGTTCGCGCTGGCTTTGACGCATTGAACTTTACCATGAAATCGTTCCTCGACCCGGAGACGGTCGTCACGTCGGGAAGTACGCATCTCTACGCCAACGCTGCTTCTAGTCTCGTCGTCAAGCACCTCGGTCTTATTCTGTCAAGCATGAAACCAACTGGACGAAACGGCGAAGTTGAAGGTTGGACCACGTTCAAGGTTGCTGAGGCTGCCAACGAAGTCATGGTGGCTGCAATGAAGCTTGACATGAAGCTGCTATCTGAGGAATACCAAGCCATTCATGCCAATAAGCAGCTTCAAACCGCCATCGTTAGGAACTCTAAAGCATTCTGGGAAGGAGTTCTAGAAATGTTTGATACTGCCTCCGACCAAGTTGCTGTTGCGAAGGATATTTTTGTGTCGTTGGCGCCTCTTGTAGCCGTGGAACAGATCAGGCCTCGCAAAGCCGACGACAAGCTCGAAGAGTCCGGCAAGGCTTTCAACAAGGCGCTTGGCGATACTGCAGACGTGCTGGCTCGGATCCTTGGGCGCATATCAGAGCTCGACGTAATGGACTTGAACGACTTGTATGCTGACCGACTCACTTTTCAAGTCACCACGGCCTTGTCCGTCCATGAGAATTCAGATCTTGCAGAGGCTTCGGCAGAGATTCTGAAGAATTGGACTGGGGAGCTATCCCGGAGTGGTGCACTAGAGCAGATGACGCAGCACCATCCAGACCAGACGCTTGCGTCTATCGTTTGGTCTTTGGAACGCGTCCTACGACCGCCATTTCCTTGGGGGCCGGTCAAACCATTGTTGAACATGAGTCGGGATGTTCTCAGAGGCCTGGCAGATCCGTCTACGGGAGTCCTTCGAGTCAGAACTTTGGACTCCAAGTCGGCCGCTACTGTCCTGCGCTGGTGGAATGAGCAGTGGCGCTTTGTCTCCAAGGCCTGTCTCAATATCGAGACGTGGTCTTTTTACATCTCGAATGTTATTATGACTGAATTCTGCCGAGAGATCATGGAACTGGCCGAAGCCCTCATCGCCGAGGATGGCCTGCTCACATCTGCAACAGCGCTTGGTCGGAGCGAGAAAGACATGATGATCAGAATCCTCGCTCCCGCGAAGGACAATTTTCGTGGAATGGAAAATATGATTCGGCTTAAAGATCGCTGGCTCGTCGATGTTACGGTTCGCGTTCTGTGCAAGATTCTCAAACGACTTCAAGAAAACGGCCTCGAGATCAACGCAGCCTCTCGCAAGCTTATTACAGATGCTTGCCTGCCAACCGCCACTCCGGGCAAATACGTACGATCTACAAACTTGACCGATCAGCAGCGTGCGGAGCTTCTACAAGCCCTGGGCCAGACTGATGAGGAGGTGCAGATCTATCAGCAGGGATTGAGTGCACAGCAACGCCAGGAGCAAGCACTCAAGGACAAGACGAAGAAACAAAGCAAGCTTGATGCATGGTCAAAGTCTGCAGTCGCAGCTGGATCATCATCATCATCTTCTGCTGCCTCCACCCCGTCTAAGCTTGGTCGCTCCAACCGAGATGATGTGTTAGATTTCAGCAGATCGGTGGAGAATCCTCTGCTGAAGCAGATCGAGGCCCGTCAGGCCAAAGCAAAGGCCGCCAGGCTTCCCGACCAAAAAGCTATCATGGCACTGAAAGAGAGCAGGCAGAGAGAAAAGCTGGAAAAAGCGAAACGAGATGCCGAGGCTATTGCGCGAGCCAGGCAGCTTCGAGGGGAGTTTGTCCGGGGCGAAGGCTCTGGCATGCAAGGCCTCGGCCTCACTGGCAAGGATCATTCGAGAAGTGAAATCATGGTCAACAGCTCTGACGAGGAGTCCGAGGCTGATAGTGATGGCTCGGACGCCGACAATCAGCTTGCTGCCCTTAGCACGGGAGGCCAGAAGTCTTTGACGGAAGCCGAAAAGCGGCGCCAGCAGGCCCTGCGAGACAAGATACGCCAGCCAGTCAAGAAGGTGAGACAGCAGCGCTCCGTCAAGGAGATGCGAGCGCGGCTCATTCCCCCGATGGACCGGCTTCACAACACTATCCTTGCTTGGGACATCTTCCACGCCGGCAACGACCCTCCCAACGGCCCCAAGGCCTCTGAGGTCGCCACTAAGTACGCCGACCCCAAGTCGTACCAGGAGACCTTCTTCCCGTTGCTTGCGTCTGAGGCCTGGCGCTCTTTTGTGACGTCCAAGGATGAGATTACGGCCCAGTCGTTTGGCATGAAGATAGCCAGCCGCGCGAGCGTCGACAGCTATCTTGAAGTGACGTTTACAATGCCCGTAGCCCCTCATAGGGATCGCGGTATCTATGAGGGCGACATTCTTCTTGTGTCCGAGGCGGAAAATCCGCTGGTGGATGGATCCGCAAAGCACTGCCTGGCTCGAGTCCATCGTATCACTTATAAAAAAGACACCGTCGAGGTGACGTATCGCGTAGCTTCTCGTAATAATCCTCTCTCGCCCAATCTGACCCCTGGCGTCACCATTTACGGTGTGAAAATCACCAACATGGCGACTATAGAGAGAGAGTATGCCGCCCTGGAGAGTCTGCAGTACTATGATCTCATGGACGAGATCTTAAAGGCCGAACCATCGCCCATTCTGCGCTACGGCGAAGAGCGCGTAACCAGCTACATGGGAAATTGGGCTCTGAATCGAGGTCAGGCCCTCGCCGTACTTGGCGCACAAGAGAACGACGGCTTCACTTTGATCCAAGGGTAAGCACACTATCAAGGTTTCACAGAACTGACGTTTCCATCTTTTCCTTTCATGACCGTTTTCCTTTGTTTTTTTACTCTTCTCCTTTGTATATCACGGTACTGACTCCACTTCGCTTTTGCTTTCTAGTCCCCCTGGTACAGGAAAGACCAAGACCATTGTAGCAATGGTTGGCGCTCTGTTGTCAGAACAGCTTGCACAAGTTTCTGTGGCTGGAGCAGGAGTTCCTCTTGGTACTCCGATGAAGCCTGCCGGTGCCCCTGCGGGAAACCAAGCTCGGTCAAAGAAGCTCCTTGTCTGTGCGCCGAGTAACGCTGCTGTCGATGAGCTAGTCCTTCGATTGAAGGGCGGCGTCAAGACAATCAATGGCAAAGAGCGAACTATCAACGTCCTCCGTCTTGGAAGAAGCGAAGCCATCAATGCCGCAGTCAAGGACGTTACCCTGGACGAGATGGTCAAAGCCCGTCTCGAGGGGGATACAACCAAGGACAAGGCGAAGGCGGATAGAGATAAGCTTCACGAAGAGGCCGCTCAGATAAAGGAGCAACTGGCACAGCTCAGGCCAAGGCTGGAAGAATCTCGCAACAACGATGACCGATCGTTGCACAACTCCCTCTCAAGGGAGTTTGACGAGCTGAAGCGAAAGCAAATGCAAATCGGAAAGCAGATCGACGCCAACAAGGACAGCGGTAACTCGATAGCTCGCGAGATGGAGCTACGTCGCCGACAGATTCAGCAGGAGATTCTCAACTCTGCCCACGTCCTGTGCGCGACGCTCAGCGGAAGTGGACACGAAATGTTCCGCAACCTGGACGTGGAGTTTGAGACGGTCATCATTGATGAGGCAGCCCAGTGCGTGGAGTTGAGCGCTCTGATTCCGTTGAAGTACGGATGCTGCAAGTGTATCCTCGTCGGCGACCCTAAGCAATTACCTCCTACAGTCCTGTCCCAGTCTGCGGCGCGGTTTGGCTACGACCAGAGTTTGTTTGTGCGGATGCAGCAAAACCACCCGAAGTCGGTTCACTTGCTGGACATGCAGTACCGAATGCATCCCGAGATCAGCTCTTTCCCCAGCAGGGAATTTTACGAGTCTCAACTCAAGGACGGTCAAGACATGCTGCGGCTTCGCCAAGCACCGTGGCACAAAGATGCCCTGTTTGCCCCTTACCGATTCTTCGACGTGGAAGGTGTGCAGGAACGGGGCAGAAAGGGCCAGTCGCTGGTCAATACAAAGGAGCTGGAGGTGGCGCTGCAGATGTACGAAAGATTCAGCAGGGAGTACCGTGACTGCGACCTGACACGGAAGATTGGCATCATTACGCCGTACAAGGCGCAACTTTACGAGCTGCGGTCTCGTTTCCAGGCTCGTTACGGTGAAAACATCACCAACATCATTGAGTTCAACACAACGGACGCTTTCCAGGGACGGGAGTGCGAAATCATCATCTTCTCCTGCGTCCGGGCAAGTTCCACTGGCGGCATCGGTTTCATGACGGATATTCGCCGTATGAACGTCGGCCTGACGCGTGCAAAGTCATCGCTTTGGATTCTAGGCGACTCGCGAGCTCTTGTCCAGGGAGAGTTTTGGCGCAAGTTGATTGAGGATGCGCAAGGTCGAGACCGTTATACAAAGGGCGATATCCTATCCCTGTTTCGACGCCCACTTGAGAGAGCCAAGCCAGACGCCTATGTCCCATCGCCTATGCCGAAATCTGACCCTCCGCCTCAACCCTCCCAGCAGGTGGATATTGTCATGAGGGATGCGCCTCGTAATGAGGCTACAGAGGCTACAGATGCACTCGCAAACGCTAATAGCCCTGTGAACCCGGGTCCAACAGCATCAACAGCATCGTCCGGCTTGGATACCGTCATGCCGCGGTCGAGCGGGCCTCCGGTTATTCATACTTCCGCCGGTACAGAGACGAAAAAGCGACCGTTAGAGTCTCCTGACTCACATCAGACCGCAACGAAGCGGGTGAGTAGCAGTTTATGTTTGCAGGTGTGACCGAAGAGTGAAGGACGCTAACCGGGCCATAGCTTGCGAATGACAGCTCGCGGCCGACCAGCGGCCTGATGGGTAAGTTTGGTCAGAGGCCGAAGCCCATCAAACCCGCAACCGACCCGTCCGCGATGTCATTGCTTGGAATGGTGCCCCCGGAACGGCCCCCGCCAGTTATCAACCCTGCTCCTCCGGCAGCTCCAAGACAAGTGCCGCCAAGTGGTCCTGCCGCGGCGACTGGTAATGTGAGTAATGGTTTTCGAACAGTTCGAAACAACTTGGCGCTTGCTAACTGGGGAGACTCAGGCGAATCCCCAAATACCCCAAGGCCCACGGAAGAAGAAGAAACCAAACCTGTTTCTTCCGAAACGAAGATGACCGGTATAAGCCTTTTCATTGCCAGTCTTTTCGCATCTTTTTCTTCTCCTTCTTTTTCCATCTTAGATTTCCCATAAACTTGTTTGAGTATTAGGAGGAAGATCAGAAAGGGCATTGCTAGGCGTTAAGACGCATCGAAGCCAGGTGGACGACATATTCCACAAACGGCAAGGCGAGTGGCCGCTCTCTTGAGAGCTGGTGATCTACTTGCCATGTGCTATCCATGACCACTTGCTTGTCATTTTCTTTCTCTATTCGCTTATAGTATTTTTGTGTTTCCCTTCTCGTAGAAGGGGAGAAGGATTGTATAGAAGGGGAGGTCCCAGCCTATGAGGCATACGCAGCAACTGTAAGAATTGCTCATTTGAGTATTGTAAAGACTACGTGAACTAACGAAAAGTTGAAAGGGAGGTTACAGAAGATAAAGTTGCATAGAAGGATGGTCAACAACAGTCTTGGCTATAGAGGAACGAGGCGATGTATATCGACCGGAATGAGGCATGCACACTGCACTGGTAGCCTGCCTCAAATCTTGAAATGGCATGCAGTCGAATGTACGTTTGGTAGCTGACGCTTCCGATTCTGTCGTCACATCACACGTCACGGAGATAGGTAGGGGCCTCTAGTTGGTCCAGGCACCTTGACCATTGTCGGCTGGTTGGAAACAAAGGTCTACAATATGAGCTCGAGGCGATAACACTCGATGGGATGCCACTATCAAAGGCTACCTTATCTTCGTAAAGCAAGTTAACTGAGAACCGAAGAGTCTGGGCAACACTCATTGTACGAGCCACTCTCGGCTCTCCAGTTGAGACAGTTGACCGAACGCCCAGCGTACTGTATGTCAGGTATCGCAGACCCAGGATGTAGGTCACTGAGCGTCTGCAGCGAGAGGCAAAATTCGATTGCCGAGTCTCGGTGGAGAAGCTCATGGGGATCAGCATGTCTAGTTCGTGCAAGACGAGCCAAACGAGTTTGCGGAGCCGGCGCTTGCGGCATTGCGCTCGCTAATGAGAGACACGGAGGTTTTTGCGCGGGTTGCTGGTGCTTAATCTTGGACGAACTCTGGATGACCTTTGACGAATCTTGTCTTTGCTTTTGTCTTGTCTGCCGTGTCAGGGATGGGATGCGTATCTGGAAATTTCTTCGGCGATAACAAGAGGATTCGAGCGGACGAGGGATCGTATAGCAAGTCAAGGATGTTGACAGAGATGCCGTTCACGCATTGATGGATTTCCGATCCTGGGTCGTCCGGCTCTTGGGGAAAAAATCGAACTTGATAGTGTCACAAGCCGTGCTCGAACGCGATAGGCGTACTGAGACTCGCCGAGGTGTCAATCTTTCTGCCTAGTCAGCTAGTCAGAACATGACCGTACAATGAGACGGCGCTGATTTGCAAGCTGAAACACGTTCCCATCGTGAACCTGTGGGAGATGTTCGTTCATCTGCACATATTTTGCCTGAAATTGCAAGTTTATGGGCTTGTGTTGACTGGAGCCTCTCAGAGGGGGGGAAAGGGCAAAAGGGCGCCAGATCAGCGGGTGGCGCTGATTAGGTGGTCTCTGGTCACCGCGGAAGGTGCTGCTAGTAGCGACTTGGTGTGCCTGCCGAACTAGAACCCGGGCGGGCTGACTAAAGACTTCAGCTCAGGTACGGAGTACTATCTCAGGCTTCAACTTCCGTTTCTCCTTCTTCCCCCTTCCATGCAACATCTACTACGAGTATTACCACGAGATATCCGTCTAGATCCTTCTATTTGGCCTCACCCTGCCAACGTCCTCGCTTCGTGTCAGCTCAGCCGGCGACGCTGGAGCACTTTCTCCCCTCAAAGTCGGCACCAAGACGGACCCGGACAGGGAGGCTGGCAAGGGCACACCAGAGCCGAGCGGACATTTCCAGGCTCCCCAAATCAGAAGACGGAGGAGCCACTTCGTACCCGGGGTGGATAATTTCGTCTGCAGCTCCGTCCCTTGCATCGCTAGAACATGATGAACTTGTCGACTTACTCGCACCAAGCTTTTGTACCTACAAGCACTTCATTCATGAGCTATGAGAGCCTGACACGAATGTTGTCCGCTGCCTGCTCTGGCAGGCTGGGACCGGCTGCTATATAACCTCACAGGACGCAGCAGCCCGCCAGAGCTACCGGATACTGGTATCGCGTACGAAGTACACGCTGCATCAGACCCGTTCTGCTCGTGTCAGGACAACGTCGACCGGGCGAGCGCATATTTGAAGACCCAGACTGACTCGTACGAGTACTTTACCTACCCGTACGCACAGCAACTCAGTCGCCCCTTGAAGCGCGCATGCTGGAGAACGCTCCCGAGGCAGCTCCCTACATACAAGTACAGCATCGCGTGCGGACACAGTACGAAGCACTGGGCAGAGAGGCGGTACTTGTGCGAACCCCTGTCAGAACTAGACGACTCCACGGCAATCAGCGAGCTGGAGCCTTGAACCCTGCAGCATACCCGTCGTTGTCATCATCGCCCGCTTCGTTCATCTCGGCTTCTTCTCAGCAGTCGTGAGTTGCTATATGACAGGCAGATGGGTACACGCGCACACGTGTCATAGCAGGGTTGACCAGGACACGAGCCGTTTCTGGCATCACATTCAGCAAACGGAACAATATGTCAATTACTGATGCTGATTGTACGTGCAACTCCCGGTGCCTACATACAAAGGGGCAACATTTGGACAAACGGCGGAGAGGACAAGGGGCAAAAAGAAGCAAAGGGGCATCATGAGGAACATGACGGCTCGACGAAATACTACTTGGGACTTCGTATACTACCCAACTACCGTTAACCGCTGCTTCCTAGCTCGTGTACGAGCATCATCCCGCTGATGGCTAAAACGACAAATCGCAGGCATCTTCCAATAGCACTTGATCGCTACTGTTTAGACTGGACGTCCCAGGACCGAGATGGCCAATGGGCCAGAATGGCGGAGTGCGCCAACGAGTCGGGACCACTCTGCGAGCTAAATTGGCTCTGGAGATACCCGCCCAACCGCCATCCCATTGGAGGTTCGCCCTTTGATGGCTCGGTTCCTTGCCAAACTTGCCCGTTCATCAGCCGGGGCCCCGGGGGCTGGTCGAGGCGACTGCCAGGGTGCTGAGAAGCTCCTTGGCTCACAAGGGCCTTTCATCAAAAGGTGACCCGATATTTAAGGAGAGGACCCATGTCTGAAGACATTTGCTTTGATCTTGGCCGTAAAGCGATCGTCAGGGCTTCGTTCTTCATCATCTCCATCTCCATCTCCATAGCCTCCGCTCTAGCAAGGCAGCGGGCCAACGCTACCTATCCCTTTCAAGTTTTCCTCCTCTTTGCCTCATCTTTTCTCCTCCCTCTTCCTTCTTCTTCCCTTGGTACTTGTGTCCAGAGTTGCCACCGTGCGCTGCATCGACTTCTTCGTCATCGTCCCCTTTAGTCTCATGTGAACCAAGACTTGTCGACGTCTCACACTCTTATTTTTTTTCTTCAGATTGCTTCAAAGCGCTACGATCCATACGTTCAGAGACATGCTTCGCCCCGCTTGATAGTATCAGAAAGAAGCTCGGTCTCTCATTCGCTCGCTCCGTCGATTCCCGTTTCTTTTTCTTGGCCCTTGTATGCATACTGTCTGGCCTACGCTCTCGGCATACGAAGTATTACTACGGCTATTACTGCGACAGACGGTCGATCACTCTCGCGCACTCCCAGCCAGCCGACTGAGACATACATCTGCCCTATCGAGGGCGGAAGAGCCCACAAGCGTCAATTCGATCTTTGATGTACCACTTTATATGCACACCTAGCTTGGAATAATCGACAGCCACCAGGTTTTCATCCCCAGGCGTCCTATCACCACTCCTGGCCAGGGAGGGACTCGCAGTCTAAGTGGCTGGATCGAGCACGCAAGGGCCTCGCCACTTTGACTGGTGTTTTGCTTGCCTACAATCTGACCGTTGGCCGCTGATAGTATTGTTGCCCGCTAGCCTAGCCCAGCCTATCCAAGGAAAAGAGAAGCAATGGCGGCGACTGTTGGGTCAAGATTTCTCGCGCCCTGGGTGGGGGACCAAAACCCTCCTCCGTCACCACTTGCTTCGAACCCGGTCGTCTTCCGTCGGTATAGCACGGGTATCGAGTTACTAGAAAACAATAACACCAAAAAGAACAGGAGGTCGTCCGTCATCGACCCAGCTATGGCGTTGAGGAACCTGAAGAACTCTTATATCAGCAAAGTCCATGGCGGTGGAGGAGGTGGCGGCGGCGACGATGATGACGAAGTCGAGGACGAGCGGTCTCGCATTGGCACGAAGCGTTACAGCCGGGATGACACCACGACCTTGGCGGAATTTTTGAAAACCCACGAACCGCCATCCACCAGCTTCATGTCAGTCCCCTTCGGTCACGCAGACGACAAGGACCATGAATCAAAATGGTCGAAATTCAAGGTCTTGAAGAAGAGGAGCAAATCCGTGCCCAGGCCTCCCCAGAACATCCAGCTACCAGACTCGGCAGTGTCAGGCTTGACAATCGGTGGGCACAGACACATTGCCATTTCAATTCCTCTCGAGGCCATGCCTTTCAGTTCCGAATCCAACGCGACACCGCAAAGCCCTGCCAATGCGGGCAGCCAAGCGAGCAATGAAAAGGCCGGGGGACCAAGGAATGAGCATGGAACTGCCCCGCGAAACTATGTCGTCCAGACATACTCACAGGAGAACGGAACCGTCACTGTTCTCCCCGCTGCGACGAACGAGGCGCGCGTGATGCCCAAAGCTCCTCCGTCGCATCGCTTCAGCCTCTTCCCCCCGCAGTCAACATCCATGGCACCAATGTCTCCAACAAGCCTGTCGCAAAGGAGCAGCCTCCCTCCATCCACCACGGTGAGCCCTAACAGGTCCAGCTTCCAGCCCACGGAAATGCCTACAGACGAATCAACGGGGTCCAGCGTCGGGAGCAAAAGGGATAGCAAACACTCAGCCTATTTTTCCGTATCCCCAAAGCGAGCCGATCCACCAACACACATTGCCTTGTATGCGCAAGGAACGGCCGCTTGGGGTCCGGGGGCGGCTCAAGAGGCTCCAAAAAGCCCGGCCAGGACGAACCACCAACAACGTGCAGCAAAGACGTCGAGCATGGTCGTTACTACCACCAGCCCGAAGCACCTTCATCCCGCGCACTCGCCGTCGATTGACGGCCTGTTGAGCGTGGCCAAGGGCGCCGAATCCGCTCGGGATGGCTACAATAAAAAGCCCCTGCCAAAACCGCCAGCAGTGAGCGACCCCCGGGCTAAGCAGAAGCAAAACCGAAAATCAGGCGTCGGATATCCTTCCCCCATTACTGAGGAGCTCAACGATGGATTCGCGGGAAGCCACAGACGTAGTGTTCGCCGAGCTGTATCCTCTCAGTCAATGCTAGCAGCTGGCCAAGAGATGCCCTCTCGCCCATCGACAGCAGGCTCAATACAGAACCGCCGCGACAAAGTCCGGGACAAGAAAAGGAGAGACATGGAAGCCGCAAAAGCATTGAAGGAGCTGCAGCGACGGCAGTCTGTGGACCAACAGAACCAACACCAAGGCGGAGAGCAGGGTCATGATGCAGGCGTGAATGTGCAAGAGGAAAACAGGCGCCCCCGAATGTCGTCTATCAATACCCTTTGTCCTGTCGTCGTTGTGGTAGACCTTCAGCCCTCACCGGGATTGCCAGATGACAGGAGCGCAAAGAAAGCCTCGCCTCCGACCTCTCCCTTGCCGCCCTTGCCGTCACCTTTACCGGACACGAAGAAATCGCGAATCTCTCGTGATATCGACAGCGAGCTGTATCTACAGCAAAAGCGTAATATGATGGACGAGCAAATCCTACGACTCTACGACTCTTACCACGAGAACCGCCTGCGAGATGTGGAACGCCGCATTCGGCGGCTGGAGCGCAATGGCGACGTATGGTTGCGGGCTCTGGTCCCCGTGCTCGACGACATGAGCCGCAATCTCAAGTCAATTCAACCATCCAGCCGGATCACGAGAGACGCGGATGCGAATGGTGATGGCCGAGGCTGGGCTTCAGATGACGAGGTGACCGGAGCGAGCGCGGAGCGTAAAGCTCGCAGCATCAAACGGGCCAAGACGCCTACGAGGAGAGCCAGCCTGTCTCGAGGCCGGATCATGGCGGGACTCATTGGGAGGAGACTGGCGTCCGACGACAGCGGAAGCGACTCGATGAGTAGAAGCGATGAGATGGGCGGCCTCGGCATCATTGAGCCCCTGATGAGAGAGCTGGCCAGCGAGGCGAGACGGAGACAGCAGCAACTCGCCGAGAGAACAGCGGATGACTGGCGTCACAACACCGTATAAGCATGTGGTTGACGGGGGCGCGAAACCTTCTACATCTGATTCTTCTTACACCTTATTTTCTCCTTTTCCCTCCATTTTGTGTTAGCGAAAGGAATGGGCGACGTATCTGTCAAGGCGTTCATTGGGGAGATGATCACGTTAGCTATATGCTGCATTTGATGCGAAGATCAAGTGCGAAGATGCTTTTGGGATGGATATACCAGCCGCGGTCGTATTTACCTACATATACCCGTACAACGTCTTTCTCTGGACTTTTCTTTTGTTTCTTTTGTCCCAGGTAGTTTCCTATCATATTCTGGCGTAGCGGCCAAATAGTAGTAGTAATGTTATTCAGATGTTGAATCGGTGATTATTAGAGTTTGACCCTATGAGATATATGAGACAATCGATGTGTTGGGTGGTCAGGGATTTCCTTGGACGTGCAAATGACAGAAATGGCTGCATATCGAGTCAATCATAGACGGCGAATCGTTGGCGTCATCAAGCCACACAGGACAAACTCCAGCCAACGATTCACAATGAGGGCGCATTTACAGACAAAGACATGGCATCATCTCATGTCTATATATGCTTCGTCTCATCACAATCGCTTTCACTGACTGAAGCTGCAATCATTCCAAGAAGCACGTTCAGGCCTTAGCTATCAGTAACGAGCTTCAGATCGCGATGCCCTCAACACCTTGGATCTTCATCTGCCCCTCCAGCAGAGGCATCGGCAACGCCCTCACTCGCCACGTCCTCCGGCGCACGGCTCGCTTGCCCACGGCCATTCCCATTCTTGCAACGACGCGGCATGTTGACCCCGGAGCTGCCAAGGCGGCTCTGTTAAAGGATGTCTTTCCCATGACGACATCAGCCTCATCAACATCGCCGTCATCGTCGTCGGAACAACAACGGCAGCAGCAGCAACAGCAACAACAGCAACAACAGCAAAGACGACTACTCAACAAAGAGAAGCAAAAGCAGCAGCGAGAAAGAGACGCGCTCGCAAAGCGCCTCTTCGTCGTCCGCTGCGACGTCACCGACGAGTCCACCGTGGCGTCCGCCGCCGCGGAGGCGCACCGCCTGTTCCCCGGCGACACGCACCACCTGCACCTCGCCTGCGTGCTGCCGGGCGTGCTACTGAACCCGGAGAAGTCGCCGGCGCAGGTGGACGCGGGCGCGGCGCTGCAGTCGTTCCGGGTGAATGCTGTCGGGCAGATGCTCGTCGCGAAGCACTTTTTCGGGTTCTTGCCCAGGAAGGCGACGGCGATGCCGCCGGCGGGGTATGAGTGGGATGATGAGGTGGATGAGGAGGAGGAGGAAGAGGAGGAGGAAGAGGAGGAGGACGAGTATGCTGTGTATGATATGGATGAGGATGTGGACGAGGATGAGGACCTTGAGGAGGAAGAAGAAGATGAAGCAGAGGAGGAAGTGAGAGGAAAGCAAAAAGGAGAAGCCGCAGCAGCAGCACCTCTGCGTCTCCCTCAGCACGCAACCTGGCTCAGCATGTCGGCGAGGGTGGGCTCCACGACGGACAACCGCGCCGGCGGCTGGTACTCGTACCGCGCGAGCAAGGCCGCCGTCAACAGCATCACGCGCAGCCTCGACGTCCAGCTGCGCGCCCGCGCGGGCGACAACGCCATGGCCGTGGCCTACCACCCGGGCACCGTCAAGACGGAGCTGAGCAGGGACTTTTGGGGCGGCGTGCCCGAGGAGAAGCTCTTCAGCGCCGAGTACGCGGCCGAGAGGCTGGTTGATGTGGTTTGCGGGCTGGGGGTCGAGGATAGGGGGCGGTGTTGGGATTGGAAGGGGACTGAGGTGCCTCCTTGAAGTTCCATTAGGGAGAAAACCTTGGGCATTTGTATGTGTCAGGCTCACAAGGCAGTCAACAGACTTGACAGCTACAATGTCGATATTGAACGAAATCTCCTATAAAAGTGGTCTTTGTAAACGACATGCCATCCCTGCTTTTATCTTTTCCCGCCTGCCCCAGATAGCCCGCTTCCTTTGTAGCATTAAAAGATATTTCACTCCACCTCATGACTTTCTCCCACAAGATGTAGTCCACAGGCCATTGAATGACAAATTGGCATGTACATATACCTGGTGTTGTCCATCTATCCGCAGAAGTACAAACGGCACGTCTACAGCTCAACTTCTTGAAACGACGCTCCGTCTGGTGGCGAGGCCGGCTTCGACTCATCCTCGCCGCCGTCGCTGTCTTCGACCTGTTCCACCAGGGCCTCCTGGGATGCGACAGGCCGCAATGCCACTTTCTGCTCCTGCACGTCCTCAAGCCGTACTTTCTGCTCTGCCTGCTCTCCTGATTTTGCCTTTTGCTCTGAAGTCTCTCCTTCTCCGCCCTCTTCTTTCTCTGGGGAGCTGGACTCGCCCTCTGCTTTTGTAGATGCCTCTGCTTCCGCCTCCTGGCTCTTCTTCCCGTCGGCCGGGGGTGACTTGCTATCTCGAGCCTTGTTATTAGCTGCGTCTTGCGCCGGTGGCGACGCTCGTGGTGGCGTGTCTTTGGGAGGCACGTCTTTGGCCGGAGGAGGGGGCAGCTGGTCGTCGCTGGGAGGCCCCGGTCGCATGACGTCGAGGTAGAACTTGGTGACGCCGAGGATCCTACCGTTCTGCTCACAGGCCGTCACCCACTCGGGACGCACCACGGGAATGTTGTTCTCAACGGCCTTTTCCCATGCCGTCCCCCTGCCCTCGGTGGTGACAAAGTGCGTCGTGTCGATGCGCACCCCGTCGACAATCTTGGCCCCGATGCGCTCCACGGCGCGCGTCAAGTTCTCCCTCGTCGCCGCCGGCAGGATGCCCGTCGTGATGGTGATTCCGCTCAGGTCTGTCATCTTGTGGGTGCGCACGACCACCTTTTCGCTCGCGCGCGTGCCGGCACTCGTCCGCAGGACCAGGTGGAAGCTGTATTCGGTGTCGACAGCCAGGCCGCTGATCTTGGTGCTGTGCATCTCCAGCGGCCGCGGGATGTTGCCGGCCTTTTGCCCGTTGCGGTACAGGCTCAGGGAAATCAGGTCGGCCGTGGCGAGCTCGATGGGGTCCCATTCCAGGACGACGGAGGTTTGCGTCGCATTGCGGCAGCGCAGGACCGGTGCCGCGGGTTCGGAGGCGCCAAACGACTGGAAAATGCGGTCTTGCAGGGCGCGGAATTCCTCTTCGGCAGCGGCCTCTTTGCTGACGTTGCGGGCGACGGTGATGTCCACGATGCTGCCGGAGGAAATGTTGGGAGGCAGCAGAATGGAGGGGAACTCGATCTATATTTTGCAAGAGCAATGGATGTTAGGCAATTTATCATGACATGTCGCGCAGACGAGACGAAAGCAAAGCAGCGCGGAGTAAAGGCAAATCAAGCCAGCTTGCGAGAAACATACCAGGCGTTTATCTGGGGTCAGCAGCACTGTGACGCCAGCGTCGACCTTGCCGACCGTCAGGGAGACGAGCATGGCTGGATAGGCGGACAAGAAGCGACAAGAGAGGAAGAAGATCACCCAGAGACGCAAGGGAGGGGAGAGAGGCGGCAATTGCTCGTCGAGGCGCAAGCGGGCTGCGCTTTGGCGACGGGTCAAAGGATCTGAGGCCGGTGCTGGACGGCCTGTTTATGGACAAATCTGCGCGCCCACACGAGATTCGGCAGCTTAGAAGCCTGAGAGAGGAGGATAAGGATCTGCTGTGAGGACCTATCGAGAGCCCTCAGAGGCGAGGAGACAGAGGGAGATGCGCTGGAAGAGAACGCCCGGATTGGACACGATAGTTGCAAGCTTGAGGAGCCACGAGAGATGCTGATGCGAGGGAGGATGTGGTGACAAGGCCAAAGTGGGTACTCCGGACTAGTAGCATGTACATGCGTTGATGAGCTCTGGTGGGCCGCGGAATTGGGCGCTTCTGTGGCATTTATTGACATTATCTAAGGTAAGTAGGCTTCGAGATGGGCTATTGTATCTAATCAGCTGCACTTGGAATATCTCTCATCAAAGCCCGAGGCAGCAGACAGTTCTGTCTACCTCAACCAGTAATTCTCTACGGATGGCATCGTCCTTGTTCCATTGCTTCGCTTGCCATGTCACTACAATGTACATCTTATCATCCCTTCCCCTCCAAACGACGTACCTGATCTATCTCACCTTGCCGTTCACCTTTGAGCTAAAAACCCAACATCACCAGAGTCTTCTTCCATCTCCTTCGGTTCCGCGACTCTCAGGATAGCCGTTACCAATTACCAAATCATGGCTCCTCTCTATCAATCCGGGTTCAGCATTTGCCGTGGATGCCGTCGCCGCCTCTCTTCCAATCACGGTTACCCTGCTGTAGACACGATCAGCAGGTATAGCAAAAAAAGCGAGCTCAGCGTCGGCGCCTCTCGCTCATCTCTCCAGTGCTCACTTCAACCCGGCCCTTGCGTAATCGCTACAGGAAATGCCATCTTGGAAGCTCTACAAGTTGTAAATCGGTGTGTCTCAATGGTCGGCGATGGCACCTACGTTACGCCGTTACCTGCATCTCTACCCAGCAATTAGCTTTTACAAGTAATCAGGGTATATTTCTTGGTGGTTGCGTGTTTGAGCGGGAGATCCAGGAATGCACAATCCTCCCCGTTCTCCGGGAATTTGAACGCAAGCTGCAGCGGTGACTCCTTGCCATTGGCGTCCTCCAGCCCTCAGCACCATCTCACGATACGCCTCGATCATTGACACCCACTGGCTCGAATGCTTGCGTTCTGAAACCAAGCTGCCATGGATCTGGAAGTTCCATCTACGCTTCCTTATGCCAAGTAATGTCAAATAGGCCAATTGACTTTCATACACCAAAGATGGCCAGGATGACACGTCCATAAGTTAGTACCTGCGTAAGGTGAGTTAGAGCATTTGTAACAAACAACATGATGCTTCTTGTCGTGGCGCTCCAGGGAGAAGCCTCCATGCGGGCTCTATAAACTGTTTGATTGCATATCAGGCAAGCTGCCTTTAGCAACAAATATTGGCATCGAGTCTTTACCAGGGCATGCACTCAAACTGCACCTAAGGTACCTGCCCAAGGTAAGGCACCCAGTGAATGGGCACAACCAGTGCCGGTGTATGACCTTCCCAATTCAATACACGACGTCACCAAGATCTGCAGTGTTGCTTTCGCTTATCAGAATGGCAGGAGTAGGCTCCAAGGCACTCGCAGACGAAGGTGCGTCCTGCTTGCTGCTTCAATCGGGCAGTTCCTTAGTACCTTACCTGCTCTCACCGACTGCTAGCGTATCGATTAGTATCCCGAGGTACCAAGATACTCACCGTCAGTCGTCCAGTCATCCTTCGATCAATGGGAAAGCGCGTCCTTTGAGCTGAGCGCTCAGTTTGGAAACGAATGATCTTGCCCTGTTGAACGGGGCCACAGAAAAAAAGCCACAGACAATGAAATCCTTTGCAAAATTCATTTCCAGTCGGCCAATCTTCTTTTCACAGTTTCATCCCAAAATTGAACCTCCTCCTCTCGGCAAATGCACAGAACAGTTCCACGGAGTTCATGTGCAGTTCCACGGAGCTCATGTAAGCAAGCTATGACATTCAAGCCCCCCCCCCGTCAGATCAGATCGCTCACCCTCAATGCCGGTATCCCCATAGCACGGCGCTAGATACGCGTATGAGCCCTGCCCATGCCTACTCGAGGCTAGGAAACGCCCGTCTTTGGCTGCCATGCCGAGGCCCCATGGTGGTAGCGTTGCATTGGAGAGAAGACACAGCTCCTCCACAAGGACTCTCCAACTATCCGCCTCGGCTGCCATGACCCAGGACCCGAGCCGCCCGAAACTTGACTGCTCCATACACGACGCGTGACATGGCCGCACAAGGAAACTGCACGATCCTTGAGTCCTTGGCGGGTGAGACACAGAGACATATCCATTAAAGACGCGACTACTCCCTGGCACATGGACCGCCAAGAGTGCTTAGCCTGGCCCTCTGCGAAATACTAAAGCTCGGCCTCAACATTGCAACCACACGTCTTCTTCCAATCTATCGAGCGGCGGATCTCCATCGATAGTTGATCCCTAGACCGAGGTGAGCATCTACACAGTCGTCACTGTGCGATGGAAACATTTCCTTTTCATGTTTCGGACCCTGAAGCAGCTCTTCTCCCGTCGTTGGGAAATGCGTTCACTGCTTGGACTACTATGTGGTCCATCGAGCTTTTCTCCTCCATGCGCTCTGTATACCACTACCACGTTTCCCCCTTCCAAATCCAGGTCTCAACCTCACCTTACACAATATGTTCTGATGGATAGCATATAATCTCCTCGGCTACTGCATGATAAATGTGTGCTAATCAATATTTAGGTCAATGCTGAGGTTGTCCGTGCACAGCTGAGGTCTTCACTTGTATTCTCACTTTTCTCAAACCTGCCACCTTACAACCACATCGTTGTACGCAATATCGACAAGCTACTGTTGCGTATAGTTTTTCAGCCCAACCAATATGTCAGGGGAGGAATCCATCGACAATGGCGCCGATACTGTCACCAAGAGGAACGAGGCTTCGGGCAAAAAGCGATCTCTGCCCTCGTTGCTGAACCACTTTAACGGAAATGACCTCAAGACCCTCTTCCGCTGTTCCGCAGCTGCTTGGGTTGCTTCACTCCTCATATTCATAGAACCTTCACTTCACAGCATTGGCGTTTCTACCTTCTTTGCCGCTTTAGTTCTCTTCGTCACGCCACCGGCTGGTATCCTCCTCATCTACCTGCTCGGATCTTTTTCACTGCTTTTCGGCATGTGTCTGGGGTGGGCTTGGGGCATCCTGACTATGAAGGCCGCATTGGCTGCGCGTCCAGCTTCGGATACCCAAGCACAGCTCCAGGCCCTTCAGCAAGCCGCCGTCGCCCAGGCGCAAGCTACCGGCCAAAATGCTACTGTCATCGGCCAGAAGCTGGTCTATCAAGGCCATATGCTGGACGCGCGCGTGACGGCTGTATACTACGTCATGGCCTGTGTATTCATATACTTCTTGGCGCGATTGCGAGCAGGTAACATCAAGCTCACTCTCCTTCATCTCTTTGGGACCATTGTCGTCGATGTCTTCCTGCTCATTGGGCCACTGCTCCCTTCCTTCACTCCTCTCTTGGGACAAACACTGGTGAAGCCAGGAGCCATTGGAGTCGGCATTGGAGCTGCCTGTTGCCTCATCTTTTTCCCACAGTCCACTTCTTATGTGGTCCTTCGGAAAATGGAGCAGCTTGTCCGCATGTTCGACATACCACTCGACTTGACCCAAAAACGGTTCGCTGCTGAGCCACTGGAACTTGCACAACTGAAGCAAAGCAAGAACAACATGATCATTCTTTATAAAGCTATGGAGCCGGAAGTCGCCTTCCTTCCGTTAGACATTTCCCGTGGTCGTTGGAATGACAGCGACGTCAAAGGCCTACAGGAATGTGTTCGCCAGACCATGCTGGCGAGCATTTCGTTACTCGATTTCCACATCACCACCATTACCGCTCTGCAAAAGGGGGACAAAGCAGGCTTGCGGTACGACAAATACTCGAGTGAAGGCCCGACTGGCGAGAAGAACAGCCGTGAGATTGGTCAACGTCATGTCCTACAATATGCCGAGCTGATCAAAGCCCTTCGAACGCCGGAGCATAGCGACCTTCGCCTTCGGATGACACAAGCCATGCGCGAAACAACTTCCCAAGTGCGGCAAGCTTGCTCGGAGTCTATATCCATCGTAGCTGAATGCATTCACACCGTCAATACTCGTCGCTGGATCCGCCAGCCCACTCAGCAAGTGTTTGATGGGTTAATTCAACAGTTGGAGACGGCCCTGGCCGCGCTACAATCTGCACGCGAAGCTTGCATCATCAACACCACCGAGGCGATTCTGGATTGCCATTCTGACCTTTTTGATCAAGCCGGCCAGCTCAAGATCACAGACACGCTCCAGCCACAGTCCCTGCAGGCGATGATGGTGGCCATGGTCATGGAAGAGCGCATCCTCAGCGTGGCCGAGGCAACGGAGACAATGCTCAAACACGTCCTGCAGCTCACGACTGTGCAGACGCACCATTGCATCTGGCTGCCGTCACGTATTCGCTACGCCTTCAACTGGATCCTCAACGGGAGCGAAACAGTCCCTATCGCAGGCGTCTCTGATAATGGCGGTACAGATGACCCAGACGCGGTCGATGAACAGTCCAAAAAGGTTCGCGAGCGTCTCCGCCTCATTCGAGGTTATGAGACTCCTACTCGAGCAGGTCCAGTCGCCAGAGCTATTGTCGGTACATATCGCTGGCTCACCAACCCGGCCGGCATGTATGCGATCCGAATGGTGGTCGTGACACTCGCCACTGCCATTCCAGCCTCCCTTCCTCATTCTGCCGGCTTCTTCTACCGTGAGAAGGGTTTGTGGGCTGTCATCACCGCGCAGACATGTGTCCTTCTCTACATGGCTGATTTCACTTTCTCTCTGGTCTCAAGAGCTCTCGGTACAGTAATTGGAGGCGTCTTCGGTCTCGTTGCGTGGTATATAGGGTCTGGGAGTGGCCCGGGCAACCCATATGGGCTGGCTGCTAGCGTGGCGGTTTTCACCGTCATCTCCATGTGGTTGAGGATATTCTTGCCGCTGGCCTACACCCAGGCGACCGCCATGTGTGGCGTCACCTTCATACTCATTATTGGCTTCAGCTACGACAATCAACACCTGCCACAGTACGGATCACCGGGTAGGGGCTACCAGGCGTTTTGGAGGCGATTGGTCACGGTCTTGTTGGGCTTTTTAGCTGCGACGATAGTCCAGCTCTTCCCCAAGCCGCCATCTGCCACCGCACACGTTTGCAAGTCTCTCTCCAATACCGTTCGAACGCTGTCGGACTACTATGCCTTGCTGCTATCACATTGGAGCCGGGCGAAGCAAGAGACTTCCATTGGTCCTGCTGCCATAGAAGATTTAACGCTGGAGGTTGCAGAAACTCTTTCATCCCTGAACGGCTCGATAGCCCTACTCAAGGCAGATTTCAGTGCCAGTCCATTCGACCAAGCGGTCCTACGCCAGACTCAGGAGCAATGTCAGAACATGAACCAAGCGCTCGGAAGACTCTTATACTTGTCGACTACGCTTCCTAAGGAATTTCAAGAGAGACTAGTCACCACCCTTGGAATATTGGATGATGGCGCCATCGGAAACGTTATGGCTGTGTTGGCAATCATCGAACAAGCCCTACGGACCGGGTCGTCTCTCCCCGAGAGGCTTCCAGTGCCTCTTGTGCGTACCTGCTTTGAGTCTCTTTCCTCTGCACAGCACCAGAAGATTGAGCTGAGCACATCGCTTGTGCGAGATGAAAATTATCGACGCTATTGCGTTGCTGTGTCGTCTTACCTCAAATTTTTGTCTGCCATTGACGATTTAGTCCTGGCTCTGAAAGAAACGCTGGGAGAACGCCACGTGGTGTACGTATGGGATGGCAATGTTTGAATGCCCATTGCGAATTTGAAAAATCGTCAGAGATGAGAACTTTACAACGCTCTGGGCAAAGGTTTCCAATTTGATCTATTTCGAACACATTCGACCCTGGGGACTTTCTGTATCGAGGATCATGTCGCAAAAGTCGTAGGTCCGATTGGTTGACAAGGCCATATACCTTGATGAGCTCGAAAATTTGTTATATGGTGCGTTGCAACGAATAACTTGTGTCGGTTTGGCGACTCCGGACTTTCGAAATAAAGATGCCCTGACAATCAGCATCGTCGTCCGTCCAATATCCTGGGACTCGTGTCGGTAGGAGCCGGGTCCTCATTGGAGGCCAAGTGAGGCCAAGAGAGGCATGTCTAGCAATTTCGCAGCACGTCATATCCCGCTCTCACAGGTCGCAGTTGGCAGCTTGGCAGCAATGTGCATTTTTAATAGCGTCTAGAGAGAGCGCTGTGATGACTTATCAATGACGCTATGAGCATTGTGACGGAATATGGAATGAGACATGAAGACGAGTCTTTTGATGAGTTCCCGACATAACTTAGGATCCGCTCGAGAGACCCGAAAGCACTTGAACTTGGATAAGAATTGCTCGCCACCGGCTCCATCACGCATGTGTTGCGCTGCCACAATGGGAGGCGACCTCTTTGTCTTTCTTTTTCTCTCCCTTGCTTGGTCCACCCACCACAGGAGCGATGGCAGACTGCCTGGCGCCTTTTCCCGACTGGATAGGTTTTCAGTCCGGAAAGATATGGGCGTAGTACGAGATTCCTCCAAACGCAAGATAACGTCTACACAGCACCAACCTGGACGAAACACATCTTGAATGTTTCCCAGCCTCAGAGAGACGCCTCTGGCCCTGGTCTATCCACCATGTCTCAATGAAGCCATTCGTGCTGCGGATGTGGACGGGGAGAAAGCCTAGGCGAGAAGACGAGACGGAACGAAAAGCAGCGGCTTTGCCCGAGAAGAAAAGGAAATAAGGAGAAAAGAGAAACCAACCTACGCCATCTGTGAAAAAAAACACCACACACTGCAAAGAGCGGGATGGGATTAGAACAAGGGCGTCCCTGTGGTGTCTCTCAAACCCGGTTGATCCACAAGGAGAGGCACCAACCATCAGTGTCAGTGTGAAAAGGGAGGCTGTGGCCGTGTATCAAATTGAGGGATATCGGAGCCTTCAAGACTTTGGACGAAAGTGGCTCCCGGCGTTGCACGGTTTTGTACGCAAATTTCATACATGACCCGGCCAGCAGATTATCAACAACTAGCTCGGGAGATGCTCAACCTGGCCATGGTCAGAGGATCCTTCTCCTACCTCGGGTTTGTAGGGCTCAGCCTTCGCTCGTATTACTCCTCTACCGGTGAGCGCTAAGTCTTGGCCTGACTTACAATCGAGTGACGATTTCGGTACAGCGGTCATGGCTGAGGAGTCGGAAGCGCAACGGGATTACCTTATGAATATGGGACTACTCAATCTGTCGGCCTCTTTGGTGACTCCTTCGCCCGTTCGTGCATAATCCGCTACTGCACTGCTAGTTCCAGTGCCCGTGGTTCTGAACACACCTTTTCAAGGAATTTACGATCTAGAGCCTCTGGTTTCTTGTTCCCTTTTCTTAAGAAGTGTCCCCTGCAGCCCGGTCGAGTGTCGGCGCTCCACTCGGAAGCGGAAGCGGGCAAGCAAGGGAGAGTGCTAGCACCCATCAAACGGCGATCAAGATAGTTGCTCTGCCATGGGAAGTGGTGGGGGTTACATTGAGCTGAGTCCTTATTATGGACTCTGCGGCGCCCTTCCCGAGCCCTGTGCTCCCTGAGATCTCGATGGCTACTCATTCATTCACGTCAGAGATCAAACTTTCACGGCACCATGCTTCGGAGATCGTCGCTCGTTATTATTGCGGCCGCTGTTGCAGCGTCCGCCACCGCTGTTCTACCTCTTGGCGCAAGGCAGCAGCATGTTAGCAACATGACCAATACATCAAGCTCCGGTGCCGTGCCCTCCACCGATCCAATCCACCTCCCGTTGTGCGCTGTAAGTCATGCCGATCCATGTCGTCTAAGTCCGACCTCATCGAGATGACGATAGCTAATCCGGTGAAATGAAAGCTTGAATGCTTCACGGCCACTTGTTTGAAGCTCGATTTATCATGTATATGCGAGAGCTTGACTCAGCCGTCTCAAGGCTTGTCCTGCTTCAAAGCGTCATGCAGCTTCCCCGAGAGTCTGAGTATGGGACTCTATCTGGTCTTTGTGTTTATGGTCTCTTGGGTCAACAGGGCTAACATCACGTTCTAGCTACGATGAATCTCACTCAGACAGTGTGCGGCGGCTCAGTGCGAGATCGATCAGGTCGATTCAAGACGATGACCATTGCTCTTAGCTCGGCAACCCTTCTGGTCGCCGGTATTCGCTTTGTGTCCAAATTTCTCTTCAGCGCCAGACAGGGCTTTGGTCCGGACGATTGGACAATGTTGGCAGCGGGACTTATTGGTGTACCATGCATCATATTCAACATCTCTGGATTGAGTGGCCATGGACTGGGCAATGATATCTGGACATTGGCTCCAGAAGTTGTGGCTTCATTCGCACAATGGTTTCTCGCCATGGAGATCTTTTACGTGGTCATAATATCACTTGTCAAAACCAGCCTGTCGCTCTTCTATCTCGACCTGTTTCCAGGAATCAGATTTCGCAGAGTGATATGGGGGACTATCATGTTCCATATCGCCTCCGGTCTCAGCTTCGTCATTGGCAGCCTCTTGCAATGCGTACCCCTGAGTTTCACGTGGGAGCAATTCGACGACAGCACCAACACTCCACCGGGATACTGTATCAACGTGAATGCCTTCGCATGGGCCAATGCTGCCATAAATGTCGCGGTCGATGTTTGGCTTATAGGGATTCCCCTATACCAGCTGTACAGTCTGGACACTCAGTGGAGGAGAAAGTTGAGTGCAGCCGTTATGTTTATGACAGGAGTGATGTGCGACTCCCCTCCCCTCCCTTGAACACAAAGGACTTATTCGCTGATTTCTTGCCATTAGAGCCACGGCCGTCTCCATCCTCCGGCTCCAGTCACTCATTCGCTTTGCTAACTCAGCGAACCCCACGTGGGACCACTGGAATGTCGCCTGGTGGTCTACCATCGAAGTCAACATAAGCATCATGTGCACGTGCCTCCCTTCCATACGGCTCGTTCTGGCGCACTTGTTTCCACGAATGATTGGTTCGAGTCTCGGCATACCTCCGATATCTGAGGACTCTTGGATCGGTGAGAAGATCACCAGTCCGAACCCTTTGGATGTCGAACGCCTGGAACTGTGCAACAATCCGAGCATAGACGCACGCTCAAAGGCCAGCGAATCTACACAGGTAGGGGAAGGGGTTCTAGAAGCATAAACATGCTCAGGCTATTGCTTCATCTTAAAAAAAAAAAAAAAAAGATTAAATGGTGTCAGGTTTGAGATGACAGTGCTGGATATAGAGAGGAGATTCGCAACATAAGGGGAGAAACGAACCCAACTGGGGCCACGGAACCTTGTTGCCGCCAAGGTTCGAGCTGGAGAGGACGCAAAATGAGCAGAAGGCAAGAAAAACTAAAGCAAAACAAAAAGAGATGGAGAAAAAGTTCGCCGCCGACTTGGACTATGGAGTAGAACCCATGCATTAGCAGCCGATGTTCCATCAATGGAGCTAGCTTCCACGAGAAGTTGGCTTCCACCACGGATTTCTGGTTAGGACTCATGGGTGTGGGCTCGAGTTGAATGCCATGATTGAAGTGTCTTCCGAGTTATCGTCATCTCATTGTCTTTCTCTTCTTCGTGTGCGGCAACAAGGCCTATGACCTCGACTGCTGTTTTGGCACCCATGGAGACAACGATTATACCCCTTTCCCCACCGACGACATTGGGAGGAAAGGATCCATCCAGCTACACCATAGGCCTCCGTACTGGCGTACCTATCCTCTGCGGAGACGCAGTTCCCCAGATGTGAGAATTTTTTACAAGCTGAAGTCTGACTTGATGATATCTCTCCCCTTTCCGGCAGCTCAATGCAAGGGGCAATGTTGGGATTCGTAACAACACCACACACGCGCACTAGACACGGGAGAGGGATGAAGCTGATAGGATGAGGTGGTCCAACCTCACGGAGCGTTTCAGCCGAGACATTTGATGCGGCCTCTACAATCGCTTCCCGGGTATCGTACCAGTCATCCGCGTACACATAACACAGGACCCTGCGGCTGAAGCGCAGTTCCGCACAAGTATCGATATGTCTTGTGGTTTCAGCTTGTGATGCTTGCCCCGGGTTATCGTCATTAGTGCTCCGGCTCGGCGGCGGCTTCTTATTCGATGCTGCTGGGACCGATGCAGGTCTTGAGCATGTCGCAAAGAAGCGGCAGCGCCATCACCGGAATTCAGGAGAGAGGCCCGTCAAAGCTGGTTGGTGTACGCGGCAGAAGCGCAGCCCGACATCGCAGCAGCCCGACTACAACATGCAAGCTCCAAACACGCACACAGGCGTATTGACTACAGTATGCATGCACATACGAGTACGAGTATGCACGCAGCTGCCGCTCCGTACACACAGTGTCAGTCGACGGAATGGTGAACTGCCAGTGAATTGGAGCAAAAGGATTTCGAATGGAAAAGCCCCCTTGCATGACGGGGTTTTCGATGAAGCAGCGGCTTATATAATCGGAAACAGCTCTTTAGCTCCTGGTCGGAAAGGTGCCACCTGGTAGCATCACTAGTAGTGGTGGCTTCCACACGACGCGCCATCCGGACAGGGAAAAGGGTCAGCCGCGATGACATGTGCTTGTTGTTGCAAAGTCCCGGACTGCGTCTGTGCTTCGACCTTGTGCATCACCTCAGACAAGCTCGCCATCTCCTCGGTCCCCTCTGGCCGTGTCGTCGCCAGCATTGTACCAGGCAGCAAACAGCCCTTTGTTGCACCACATCGGCCTCAAGCTGCCTTTGGCTGGGGACTTGCCGTGATCTCATCCTTCGCTTCTCCCGCACTCAGTTGGTTCGTCATCACTGGGTACCGATCGCTCTCTTCTCTCGTCTCCCCCTTCTTTAGCTAGATTCGGGTTACCTGCATCGCCCTCAGTCGTTTCCTTCTTCTCTTCTTCTCTTCTAAGGTCCTCTCTTCATCCATTTCCTGTCTCCCGGGCTCCTCCCTTGCACCGAGCGCCTGTGAAACATCTGCTACCGCGGTTCCGAGCAAACATCATCAGCAGGAGCAAGGCTGAGCATCCCGCAATCACCGCCATCAACGGAAGCGCGGCCGTCACACAAACCGACTCGGACTGCTAGCGAACGTCCACAACCTACATCATTCTTACACCCGACAAAATATAAAACCGATCCGAAAGGATCTTCCACGACAATCGCCTCTTCGCAATGCGTCGATCCCGTCCCGCCACGACGGGATACGAACGCCTCGCCCAGGCAGATCTCAGCGACGATTCCGACAACGACCTCCTTGCTGAGTCGACCGCGTCTCTCCAGCCCTTATCCGCGCCACGACATGCTCCCCTATCTCAACCTCGCCATCACTCGAGCGTCACCAGTCCCAAGCTTGGTCCCTCAAGACCCAAGTTTCGTCACCGTCTAGGAAGCAATGGCGGTGTCGATATCAAAGCCATCAATGCCCGACTTGAACGCTGGGCCGAAGAGATTGCGTCCAAGTTCAAGCGCAAGGGCAGGCATAATTTGGGGGAAGAGGAACGGCTAGAGATCCACCATTCCGTCTTCCAACCACCGGAGGGCGTACGACCTATATCTGCGGAGGAGCTGGCCGAGCCACACGTCACCGCCATGACCAAAGCAGAGTTTGACGCCGTCATCGAAAGCGTACGGCAAGCGATTCGGCAGGAGGTCCACCCCAGTATGATCTCTCAGGGCAGCTCTGGCAGCTACTTTGCTCGCGACCCGGATGGCAAGATTGTTGGGGTATTCAAGCCGAAGGATGAGGAGCCATACGCCGCAGGAAATCCCAAATGGAACAAATGGATACATCGGAACCTTTTCCCCTGCTTCTTTGGACGAGCCTGGTAAGTCCCTACTGAAATCCAACAAGCATAGTGCCTGCAACGCTGACAGAGTCGCTCTCAAAACGGCAGCCTCATTCCCAACCTCTCCTACGTTAGTGAAGCCGCGGCTTATGTGCTTGATTATCAACTGCGGACGCATCTAGTTCCCTACACTGACGTGGTTTGGCTCTCATCCAAATCTTTTCACTATCCCTATTGGGACCGGCGAAGCTTCCAGAAGAAGAAGAAGCCTCTCCCTGCCAAGCCTGGCAGTTTTCAGGTCTTCCTCAAGGGCTTCAAAGATGCCAACGTCTTTCTACGGGAGAATCCCTGGCCGGATCAGTATTGGGCAGGTTTCCGATCCACTGATGCCAATCGACAGAGGAGAAAGCGCTGGACCGAAAGTTGTCGGCCTTCTGCCTCCGGAACGGCTGATGATGCAGCCTCCAGTGACGAGGATGAGGAGGAGCGCATCGGCGGTCGGAGCGATGCACCTCCGGGGACTAACAAATTCGTCTGGACGGAGCAGTTGAAGCAGTCATTTCGAGAAGAGCTGGAGAAGCTCGTGATTTTAGATTACATCATGAGGAATACCGACCGTGGCCTCGACAACTGGATGGTCAAGGTTGACTGGGAAACGAACACGGTCTCGCTGGCTTCAGATCCTATCCAGATCAACATGGAGCCCGTCACGGAAGAGGACGAAGAAGGCATCAATGTTCGACCAATAGACGCTTCAGAGATGCCACCTCAACCTACCCGGGCCTCGTACCCCTACAAGCGCCAGAAGCCGATGAAGGCGTCCTCACCGCGCAGGAAAACTGAGCCAAAAATTGCCATTGGCGCCATTGACAACTCGCTCTCGTGGCCGTGGAAGCACCCAGATGCTTGGCGCAGGTCAGTGCTCCTTCAAACTCTTGGTTTTCAAGTGAATGGAAAGAGTCGTGAAAAAAACGCAGTCACTAACAGATAACTTGACGATCTAGTTTTCCATTTGGCTGGCTCTTTCTTCCAGTTGATCTCATTGGTCGGCCTTTCTCACAGAAAACTCGAGATCACTTCTTGCCGCTGCTGACCTCCACAGCGTGGTGGAGTGAGACGCAAATGGCTCTCAAGCGGGTGTTTCAGATGGATGAAGACTTTAAAGAACGCATGTTTGCCAAGCAGATTGCGGTCATGAAGGGCCAAGCCTGGAACGTCGTGGAGGCGCTCAAGACTCCCGACCATGGCCCTCTTGAGCTGACCCGGCGGGCCAAGGTTTGTGTGTGGGATGATTACGTCGATGTGCCTGTTGCTGTGCCCATGAGGATGACTTCCTCGGAGATGCGTCGCAGCACGGCCCAGCGGCAATCATTGGACGAGGCAGATATCACAGGCTTCGCCCCGACCAGTCGGGTGCCCGTCGACGATCTTCTCGGCCTTGCCTCAGCACCGGCAGAAATGCCTCGATCCGGTAGATTCGAAACGGCGAGTCCGCCCGAGGATCCTTTCATGTCCCCTGATGAGTCGTCTACAAACAGCTCCGGGGCTTCTGCCCCTATCAGGCCAACGATGGAAGCCCAGTCTCAACCCAGCAGAGGCTATCAAGGCCCGTCCCGCGCACTCAACATATACGAGCCGGAGCGCCATCAGAGCCAGGGCCAGAACCAGAACCAGAATCAGAAGCATCAGCGGCGATACTCGTATGCCACCCCTGCCACGCGACAGCACAGCAATAGCATAGCTCAGCAGCTTTACGGGGACATCTCGTACGGCGCCGATGATGACGACCTCGAAGGGGATCTTGGTTACGCCGCCGCGGAAGGACAGATGGGCCATCAACGAAAGGTCATTGTGGAGCGCCTCGAAGCCGTGAAAAGCAGGAACCCGGTCTTCACATGGTGTTAACGTGGATGGTCAGCACTAAAGTCGATGATCCATGTTGTATTGCGCAGGCTCAATCATCAATGCCATCATCAAAGAGTTTGGGGGCCGTTTTGGAATTGTATAATATCCATGCATGCTGCTGACGGGTCAGGGACTGGGGGGGCTTTTCAAACTGGCGTATGTTCCGTGTTGTATGTACTCGTAGAGGCAGTTGTCCTTGGTACCAGGCGTTTGTTAGAAGAACTCCTTTGAGAGGATTTGAATTTGTCCTGTCAATACTCGTCCGGGGTGATGACGCTTCGCTCAACTGTGATGTGACATTTCCTCAACGTCACGTCAGTTGTCTCTGTTGCGCCTAGCAGCTACTCCTGCAGCAACCTAGGCCCATGTGTGGAGATTTGCTATAATGACATACGTGTCTCGTACAGCGACAGCCGCCTTCAAAAACAACATGACGTTACTTTATCGCAAATGGACCATTGAATCTCGGAACCAA